ATTAGTGACGGCAACCATGTGCTTGGAGGCTATCAATTCGAATATTATATCGGACTATCCCTTAGTAAAACGGTGGTACCACACCTATAAAGAGGAATACCCGCAGCTGTGGGCTATCGTCGAGAGCGGATTGAAAGAGCTCGCTCATTTCGCGGCCAATCCGCCTCAGTCACATGGAGCACCCTAATCATCCCGTAAGGAAATGAATTTTTTTTCAACGTTCAACAAAAACGGACGAAAAAAACAAAATGTAACAAAACGTCTATAAAATATAATAATGTATATTGAATTTCTCTTTATTTTTTTTTGCGTCAACGCATCAATGATGTCATTTGTTCCGACGAAGACGTGCATCTACTAATTGTGTTCTTTGCATATATATTTATAACAAATTTTAAGTGAGATGCAAGCCAAATTCTTGAGCCTTTTATGTCAATAAAAGCAAAAAAAATGCATTTTCACACTGGAAATAAAACATCATTTAATACAATAATTCTGAAATCTATTGAAATAAATAAGATATAAATAAATTTTTATTTTATTTTGTTGTGTGTAACACTAATCATGTTAGTGAAATAAATCAATAAAAATTGTTAGATCCATTTTTTTCTGATGCTTATTAGATGGGCGTCAATTCGCAGGCAACTACATACGTCACCACCCGTTTTTCAGCTTTTTTGTTCCGAAACTTCGACGTCAAAGAAGCGTCGAATTTGGGTTATTGCGATTTACCTATACAAATAATACAAAGAGTATATTTTAGTTTTGCTTTAGCATGCGTAAAAAAGCGTTTCTTTCTGTTTTTGTTGTATCCTTAACTTCTATGTTGTTAGGCTTCGCCTAGGCGATGTCCCAAAATTTAATCCCGGGATGATCCTTTGATTTCATCAAAAATTTTGGTCCTGGGACTACAGAAAAATCACGCGACCTTAAAAGTTCGAGATAATTATAGCAAGCTGGCAACGTCGCGTCTCGTCGGTCTTGCGAGAAAACAAAACGACGACGTAATTTATCGAAAAATGTATACTATTTGTACTGTACTGTACACTTAAATCAGTTTAGGGGAATCACCGATTACTCGTAAAGTTTTATACTTATGCTCATCAAAGAACTTCAGGTATGTTCGAGATTCTTGATATTGTTTTTATACCATTATTTAGAATAAAAATGTATCTTGAGTCTCGCGATTAACTTCGGGACTTTCGCGACTAGTCTCGGAAACTAGAATTATGTCTCGTAGTCTCCCCTTTCGTTCCGGGACATGTTATTTTTGTAGTGTTCTTATTTAAAATTTTAGGTTTTGTTGTAGATAAGTTACCAAGGTTTAGTTTAGATACTCAGAAAATGTGTATATTTCATAATTATAATTATTCAGGAACAGTTATTTGCAAAAGATAATACGTAAGTGTTTGCAGAAAAGCTCTATGTTTTTGAAGCGCCTACAACAAGAAGTGTTCCTAATGAGACTTTTAAAAAACGTCTTCTTAACGTAAATAATATGACGTCACACGAGAAGCAGGTCACAAAATAGACGTAATAGTGACCAATTCGTATGCACCCTAATCATCTAATATCCAACATGATATTTTAATAGAGTTTAAAAACCGATGGTTACTTTCAGCGAACTATCTGTGGTGTAGTAGCAGATCTAAAAGAAAAGCGTTTTAAGTAAATTTTGGAACATACTTGTCATAAAAAATGTCAAAGGTATAATTGTTCACAAGCATTTCATTAAAAATAAGAAATAATTTTTATATAAAGTAAACAGTCCCTGTTGACATGAAATAGCACATATTTTTCCATACAAGCCAAGAACTTTTACCTAGTTTTGTACGATGATAATTTAAAATACGCAAACTGCAAGTTTTAGCCTGAGTTGGGAGCGAACCTCACTTTTGAAGCTAATAATCGATTGATTACCTTAATAACTGGCCAAAATTCGAAAGTTCACTTAACTTGTGGTTTATGAGTAAAATTCCGTTGGTGGATAAGCACATAGCTGCTTAACGGGCATTAGACGGATAGATAGTAAACATCTTTTGGTTGTCTCTGGGTTACTGTTCTGTGTCCGGGCGCCAAAATCCTAGAGTCGGCACTGTATATGGTTAACATGATAAACTAACCAATTTAGTTAGTTGGCTAAACTGCTAGGTTATTCCTGGGTTTTATAATTTCTGTTCAACATTTTAATTATATATTAGGTATACCAAGGGTAGTATTTCGAATGGTTAAGTGCTCTTCTAGTGTAACTACCAGAATTAAACCTTGTGCGTGCTCGTTACCTTAGACCAGCGGATTGGATACATTTTACGCAGTAAAGGGGCAGTAACAGAAAACGCAAGGTAAGGGGTTAACACGCTCCGTTTTGATAACAAACTCGAAAACTATTGGCGCAGCCCCAAAATATTTATACATATCACAGCAGAAAGCGGAAAATTTTCTAAAAATTTCGTGTATCAAGCTACCTAGAATGGCTACCGAAATATTCGAAACTAAAAAAAACTAACAAAAAATATTTTTAAAAAGTCTATCGAGACTAATCAGTAAAGTAAGCGGCTCTAATAGGTTATCAAAACATCAAAATATTCGAAACAACATTTCGCTAGGCTGCATCTTTATCCAAATTTAATCCCCCCGATTTAGACATATTATAACACCAATAAAAGTTGTTTTCACTATCATCCGCAGTGCGTGTCATCAATCGGAGTCGATTTTCTCCACCCGAAGAGGAAATAGCCGCTGACCTCTCCCAAAACGACGGCTATACAAAGCCAAGCGTTGTATGTCATAAAAATCAGCATCAAAAAGTAGCTGATTATTATCTGAATCCCGTGCAGAAACGTCTGAATCGCGTGCGTCTTACTCATCATCCTCGGCCTGTAAAACGGTTAATTTTGTTGATTTAGACAGTCGTTAGCGAACTCTTATGATCTCGCTGAACAGACATCATTTTCGCAACTTTTCCAGAAGATATAAAAATCCTTGTTACTTTGGAATTTTAAATAAAACACCCCATATTTTATATTGGCATGTAAATGAGCAATTAATTTGCCATCTAAAAATATCAAACTATGGTATATCTATTTTCACTGGTTTTGCAATTAAAGCGAAATAAAGTAATCACGTTTCATCTGGGTAGCAGGCTCTGGCCCGCCATGGTGACGTTTTTCGTAAACAAATTTGTCTTTGACATAAATAAGCTTAATATTCCGTTATTAGCATGTTCAAATCAGTAATTGTAACAATGAACCGGGAAGGAAATACATATGCCAAACAAAATTTAATATTTATAGAAACTGTTATACACCAAACTAACATCCAAGGATTGACTTCATAACATTGGATACTGTTGCCCTTTGAATTTCGTTTGGATCAAGTTGTTGAAAAGCATATTCAACAGGGCGTTCCAAATCTTCTATTGTTCCAACTGGAGTTTTTTTCTTTAATAGCGCCCCAAGGATAGGCATCAACCGGTGTAATATCTGACGAAAGCGGTGGCCAATTACATGGACCTAGACGCCTTATCCATCGGTTTTAAAACATGATTCTTACTTACTCTATTTGTGCAATGTATGTTGAAAAATGATGACCAATATCTCACACAATTCTACGCGTAAGCGTGATCACGAGGGAGAAATTGTAATGTAATTATTTTGTAATTATATTCAGTATCCGTTGAATACGCAAATAAGATATGCCGGAATCATCTTTAGCGCTCGGCATAGACGCATAAGGAAATGCGTGAAAATATGCTAAAAAGTTGGTTTCATCTTCTTCTAAGTTTGTAACAGGTTGTGGAAGTTCCCTTCTTCGTAGATTTCGAAAATTTGCTTCAATTCTTTTAAACTTTTTCTCATCATTGCACAATGGATTTTCGAATCATAATTTTGGTCATAATTGATTTAAAATAAACTATTTATAATATCCTTACAGTAAGCATTTTTCTAAAGCAAACAGTCTAGTAGGCCTAGAAAAATAAATGCATAAACACAAGTTGCACTGTATGCTGTTTGTGTACCATACGGATTAATTAGAGAAAGGTAAGTAAAACTTAAAAAAGTTTTTTTTTGTTAAAATTTAATTTGGTATGTTGCCGAGGAGCTTATTTACTGCTTACATGCACAAGATGTATTTAAAAAAAAAGACACACTTTCTAACATTAAAATATTGCTTTCTGTCATTCTCCGTTTTTCCTGTTTATTCGGTTTTAGATAGATAGTGTCTGTAGAAAAACAAATATTTCAAAAACTTTTTAATTTTTTGATGTATGTTGTATTTAAATAGAAGAAATAATAAAAATAATATTTTTTTTAACAAATACCTACTTAAAACTATTATAAAAACGAAATTTTCTTGTTTTATTGAGAAGGTACTATGCAAACCAAAGTCTATTAAGTGAAGTTTTCCTAGGGTTAAGCATTTTTATATACATATATACATATACAGGATGTTTGCAAATTAAAATTTTGAAAACTTCAAAACTCTTGTTTGAATAAATTCGTTCATGAGACTAGAAATAGATAGATAGATAGATAGATAGATAGTAGGTTCTTCTATTGCCGCAAATGCAAACGCCAACAAACTCGCTGGGAAAATTGAACTGAGGTGGTTTTTACTTGATGAAAATCCATTTATCAAAATAAATAAAAACTAAAAGTTCAGATTTTCACGAAATTATATATTTTGACATGACAATTGTTTTGACAACACCGTGTCTTTATCAAATGTGATAAAGATGTGATAAAGAGACGGTGTTGTCGAAACAATTGTCATGTCATAATATATAATTTCGTGAAAATCTGAACTTTTAGTTCTTATTTATTTCGCTAGGAAGACCCGAAAAGTCATTTTCCTCGAGTAGTGAAAGAACTAGAAGAAGAAAAATTAAGGAATTAGTTGTCAGCAAAATCAGTTAATTGGAGCGACAAAACTAAGTTTAAAAAAAGACGAAAAAAGAGATAAAAAAATAAAAAATACATATTCTAGGTAAAGTGCCGTCTAGTGACGGATTTTGACAAGCTATCACTCGGAAAATATTACAATTTCTAATGTTTGTTACAAGTTTTCGCACTCAATTTTCGAACACCCTTGCCATTGACGATTATATATAAGCACTTCCGAAGCAAGCATCATTTTCATCATCACTTTCAACCAATTCGATAGTTTGGTATGTTTTTGGTATGTGGTATGTTTCGGCAGTATTATTTCAGGTGTGCGAAGGGTGTTTGTGTGGAGTGCAGATTAGTGTCTAAAATTTGCGACATTTACGGCCTCTATTTTATCTAATAACTGTGTATTTTCTCGCCGCAATTGTTTCAGCTAACGCCTATTTTTTTCAACTACGAAAGAACGCCTTTGAGTCTCAAAAAGATGAAGATCGCGCTGGACAACTTCAATACGTACCTTGAAAGATCGGGCACCAAATACGCCGCATCAGGTACATTTCCTTCGTGTTTACTAGTACAAAATCACAAAATCATAGCAAAAAGTTCAGGGATAAATCAAAAATTGACTGGTGCTTAATAATTTCTTTAATTTCAAGAAAATGTAACAGGAAAGCTAGTAATCCGTGTAATTTTTCAATCCCTTGGCGATCCTGGAACTAATCAAACTTTAATTCGTTTGGAGACCTTTAGGTCCCTTTAATACATATTAAAACACCACGGAAGTAAAGTTTTTCCAATTCAATTTTAGGGCGAAAAATTCGAATTGTTTAAAAATTACAGGAGAAATAAAAACTAATTTACCCCTGTCTACAAAAAAATGTATTTAATTTATCATTTATTTAGTATAAAAGTTTGTCCGAGCAGATCTCAGGAATCTTGTAACGATCTAGTAAAACGTATTTACCCATTTTAAGTCAGTAAAAGGCTTTCAGAAAAAAATAGAAAAATAAAATAATGACATTTTAAAAGCGTTGCCCAATTTTGACTAGCTTTGACATGGCTTTGCATCCGTGGATTTTTTTAAAGCCTTCTTGTTATACATGTTGCGAAATATTACTAGAAAAAGAATTTAGAAAAAATGGGCAATAATGTAAAGTTTGCCTAAATTGCTTTACTTAAATTGCAATTTGCAATTTTGAAAAGTATTAAGCGTTTCTTCTTAAAATGTTTTATGAAGGTAATGAGTTTATTTCCAAAAAAGTTTTTGTCTGATTTGTATGTTCAAAAAGAAAACAGTTTTGCTCTTTTTCTGACATTTTATTCAATGTTTTTATGTAAAAGGTGTATACATTAAATAAAATCATTTTATAATTAAGACTTTGGTCTTCCTCTAGCCTCAATAACTACACAATTTCACAAACTGTATATTTAATTCGGTGTTTTTACCTAAAAGTTTTATCAATAAATTATTTTATTTTATAAGTAAGACTTGGGTCTTATGCAGCTGCAGCCTCAATAGCTGCCCAATTTCACAAAGTCCGCATTTTATTCAGTGTTTTTATCTAAAAGATGCATACAATAAATTATATTATTTTATAAGTAAGACTTTGGTCTTCCTCCGGCCTCAATAGCTGCCCAATTTCACAAACTCTGCTCTGCAAGCAGCTAGTTTTGACCATTTTCTTTACAAGTTATTCAGTGATGCAGTTTTTACGTTTTCTGTTATTGTCAAATTTTCAAAAAAAAAACCGGAATTTTATTAAATGTTCATCTTTCTATCAGTTTCTTTTTATACTTCAAAAAATATATGGTCAGGAAGATACCCAAATTATAATTCTAATCAAGCCAGAAATCAGAAAAATGCTGCTGAACTGAGGAGGCTTTTACATTTTACATTACATTTATCAAAATAAATAAGAACTAAAAGATTTTCACGAAATTATATATTTTGACATGACAATTGTTTCGACAACACCGTGTCTTTATCAAATCATTTGAAAAATGCTTTTATTATAAACAACGAGCCGATAATGTTTTATAATAAAATTAAAATATTAAAAAATAATACAATTAAAAAAAAGACTCAAAAATGTGTTATATTCCGAGGCAATAATGTTTTGGTGCAAATTACAACTCTATTTATTTCTCGCTTTCCTCCTCAGATAACAATTGAAGAAAAGACTCAAAAATGTGTTATATTCCGAGGCAATAATTTTTTGGTGCAAATTGAAACTGTATTTCTCGCTTTCCTCCTCAGATCACGTTACCATCGCAGATTTCCAATTAGTGACGGCAACCATGTGCTTGGAGGCTATCAATTCGAATATTATATCGGACTATCCCTTAGTAAAACGGTGGTACCACACCTATAAAGAGGAATACCCGCAGCTGTGGGCTATCGTCGAGAGCGGATTGAAAGAGCTCGCTCATTTCGCGGCCAATCCGCCTCAGTCACATGGAGCACCCTAATCATCCCGTAAGGAAATGAATTTTTTTTCAACGTTCAACAAAAACGGACGAAAAAAACAAAATGTAACAAAACGTCTATAAAATATAATAATGTATATTGAATTTCTCTTTATTTTTTTTTGCGTCAACGCATCAATGATGTCATTTGTTCCGACGAAGACGTGCATCTACTAATTGTGTTCTTTGCATATATATTTATAACAAATTTTAAGTGAGATGCAAGCCAAATTCTTGAGCCTTTTATGTCAATAAAAGCAAAAAAAATGCATTTTCACACTGGAAATAAAACATCATTTAATACAATAATTCTGAAATCTATTGAAATAAATAAGATATAAATAAATTTTTATTTTATTTTGTTGTGTGTAACACTAATCATGTTAGTGAAATAAATCAATAAAAATTGTTAGATCCATTTTTTTCTGATGCTTATTAGATGGGCGTCAATTCGCAGGCAACTACATACGTCACCACCCGTTTTTCAGCTTTTTTGTTCCGAAACTTCGACGTCAAAGAAGCGTCGAATTTGGGTTATTGCGATTTACCTATACAAATAATACAAAGAGTATATTTTAGTTTTGCTTTAGCATGCGTAAAAAAGCGTTTCTTTCTGTTTTTGTTGTATCCTTAACTTCTATGTTGTTAGGCTTCGCCTAGGCGATGTCCCAAAATTTAATCCCGGGATGATCCTTTGATTTCATCAAAAATTTTGGTCCTGGGACTACAGAAAAATCACGCGACCTTAAAAGTTCGAGATAATTATAGCAAGCTGGCAACGTCGCGTCTCGTCGGTCTTGCGAGAAAACAAAACGACGACGTAATTTATCGAAAAATGTATACTATTTGTACTGTACTGTACACTTAAATCAGTTTAGGGGAATCACCGATTACTCGTAAAGTTTTATACTTATGCTCATCAAAGAACTTCAGGTATGTTCGAGATTCTTGATATTGTTTTTATACCATTATTTAGAATAAAAATGTATCTTGAGTCTCGCGATTAACTTCGGGACTTTCGCGACTAGTCTCGGAAACTAGAATTATGTCTCGTAGTCTCCCCTTTCGTTCCGGGACATGTTATTTTTGTAGTGTTCTTATTTAAAATTTTAGGTTTTGTTGTAGATAAGTTACCAAGGTTTAGTTTAGATACTCAGAAAATGTGTATATTTCATAATTATAATTATTCAGGAACAGTTATTTGCAAAAGATAATACGTAAGTGTTTGCAGAAAAGCTCTATGTTTTTGAAGCGCCTACAACAAGAAGTGTTCCTAATGAGACTTTTAAAAAACGTCTTCTTAACGTAAATAATATGACGTCACACGAGAAGCAGGTCACAAAATAGACGTAATAGTGACCAATTCGTATGCACCCTAATCATCTAATATCCAACATGATATTTTAATAGAGTTTAAAAACCGATGGTTACTTTCAGCGAACTATCTGTGGTGTAGTAGCAGATCTAAAAGAAAAGCGTTTTAAGTAAATTTTGGAACATACTTGTCATAAAAAATGTCAAAGGTATAATTGTTCACAAGCATTTCATTAAAAATAAGAAATAATTTTTATATAAAGTAAACAGTCCCTGTTGACATGAAATAGCACATATTTTTCCATACAAGCCAAGAACTTTTACCTAGTTTTGTACGATGATAATTTAAAATACGCAAACTGCAAGTTTTAGCCTGAGTTGGGAGCGAACCTCACTTTTGAAGCTAATAATCGATTGATTACCTTAATAACTGGCCAAAATTCGAAAGTTCACTTAACTTGTGGTTTATGAGTAAAATTCCGTTGGTGGATAAGCACATAGCTGCTTAACGGGCATTAGACGGATAGATAGTAAACATCTTTTGGTTGTCTCTGGGTTACTGTTCTGTGTCCGGGCGCCAAAATCCTAGAGTCGGCACTGTATATGGTTAACATGATAAACTAACCAATTTAGTTAGTTGGCTAAACTGCTAGGTTATTCCTGGGTTTTATAATTTCTGTTCAACATTTTAATTATATATTAGGTATACCAAGGGTAGTATTTCGAATGGTTAAGTGCTCTTCTAGTGTAACTACCAGAATTAAACCTTGTGCGTGCTCGTTACCTTAGACCAGCGGATTGGATACATTTTACGCAGTAAAGGGGCAGTAACAGAAAACGCAAGGTAAGGGGTTAACACGCTCCGTTTTGATAACAAACTCGAAAACTATTGGCGCAGCCCCAAAATATTTATACATATCACAGCAGAAAGCGGAAAATTTTCTAAAAATTTCGTGTATCAAGCTACCTAGAATGGCTACCGAAATATTCGAAACTAAAAAAAACTAACAAAAAATATTTTTAAAAAGTCTATCGAGACTAATCAGTAAAGTAAGCGGCTCTAATAGGTTATCAAAACATCAAAATATTCGAAACAACATTTCGCTAGGCTGCATCTTTATCCAAATTTAATCCCCCCGATTTAGACATATTATAACACCAATAAAAGTTGTTTTCACTATCATCCGCAGTGCGTGTCATCAATCGGAGTCGATTTTCTCCACCCGAAGAGGAAATAGCCGCTGACCTCTCCCAAAACGACGGCTATACAAAGCCAAGCGTTGTATGTCATAAAAATCAGCATCAAAAAGTAGCTGATTATTATCTGAATCCCGTGCAGAAACGTCTGAATCGCGTGCGTCTTACTCATCATCCTCGGCCTGTAAAACGGTTAATTTTGTTGATTTAGACAGTCGTTAGCGAACTCTTATGATCTCGCTGAACAGACATCATTTTCGCAACTTTTCCAGAAGATATAAAAATCCTTGTTACTTTGGAATTTTAAATAAAACACCCCATATTTTATATTGGCATGTAAATGAGCAATTAATTTGCCATCTAAAAATATCAAACTATGGTATATCTATTTTCACTGGTTTTGCAATTAAAGCGAAATAAAGTAATCACGTTTCATCTGGGTAGCAGGCTCTGGCCCGCCATGGTGACGTTTTTCGTAAACAAATTTGTCTTTGACATAAATAAGCTTAATATTCCGTTATTAGCATGTTCAAATCAGTAATTGTAACAATGAACCGGGAAGGAAATACATATGCCAAACAAAATTTAATATTTATAGAAACTGTTATACACCAAACTAACATCCAAGGATTGACTTCATAACATTGGATACTGTTGCCCTTTGAATTTCGTTTGGATCAAGTTGTTGAAAAGCATATTCAACAGGGCGTTCCAAATCTTCTATTGTTCCAACTGGAGTTTTTTTCTTTAATAGCGCCCCAAGGATAGGCATCAACCGGTGTAATATCTGACGAAAGCGGTGGCCAATTACATGGACCTAGACGCCTTATCCATCGGTTTTAAAACATGATTCTTACTTACTCTATTTGTGCAATGTATGTTGAAAAATGATGACCAATATCTCACACAATTCTACGCGTAAGCGTGATCACGAGGGAGAAATTGTAATGTAATTATTTTGTAATTATATTCAGTATCCGTTGAATACGCAAATAAGATATGCCGGAATCATCTTTAGCGCTCGGCATAGACGCATAAGGAAATGCGTGAAAATATGCTAAAAAGTTGGTTTCATCTTCTTCTAAGTTTGTAACAGGTTGTGGAAGTTCCCTTCTTCGTAGATTTCGAAAATTTGCTTCAATTCTTTTAAACTTTTTCTCATCATTGCACAATGGATTTTCGAATCATAATTTTGGTCATAATTGATTTAAAATAAACTATTTATAATATCCTTACAGTAAGCATTTTTCTAAAGCAAACAGTCTAGTAGGCCTAGAAAAATAAATGCATAAACACAAGTTGCACTGTATGCTGTTTGTGTACCATACGGATTAATTAGAGAAAGGTAAGTAAAACTTAAAAAAGTTTTTTTTTGTTAAAATTTAATTTGGTATGTTGCCGAGGAGCTTATTTACTGCTTACATGCACAAGATGTATTTAAAAAAAAAGACACACTTTCTAACATTAAAATATTGCTTTCTGTCATTCTCCGTTTTTCCTGTTTATTCGGTTTTAGATAGATAGTGTCTGTAGAAAAACAAATATTTCAAAAACTTTTTAATTTTTTGATGTATGTTGTATTTAAATAGAAGAAATAATAAAAATAATATTTTTTTTAACAAATACCTACTTAAAACTATTATAAAAACGAAATTTTCTTGTTTTATTGAGAAGGTACTATGCAAACCAAAGTCTATTAAGTGAAGTTTTCCTAGGGTTAAGCATTTTTATATACATATATACATATACAGGATGTTTGCAAATTAAAATTTTGAAAACTTCAAAACTCTTGTTTGAATAAATTCGTTCATGAGACTAGAAATAGATAGATAGATAGATAGATAGATAGTAGGTTCTTCTATTGCCGCAAATGCAAACGCCAACAAACTCGCTGGGAAAATTGAACTGAGGTGGTTTTTACTTGATGAAAATCCATTTATCAAAATAAATAAAAACTAAAAGTTCAGATTTTCACGAAATTATATATTTTGACATGACAATTGTTTTGACAACACCGTGTCTTTATCAAATGTGATAAAGATGTGATAAAGAGACGGTGTTGTCGAAACAATTGTCATGTCATAATATATAATTTCGTGAAAATCTGAACTTTTAGTTCTTATTTATTTCGCTAGGAAGACCCGAAAAGTCATTTTCCTCGAGTAGTGAAAGAACTAGAAGAAGAAAAATTAAGGAATTAGTTGTCAGCAAAATCAGTTAATTGGAGCGACAAAACTAAGTTTAAAAAAAGACGAAAAAAGAGATAATAAAGAGATAAGAGAGACGATGAGAGACAAACTGCTTAAAGAGAGTCTCGAAGTCTCTCCTACTAGAGCCTCAAAAAGAATGAGCAATTGGAATATACAGAAATCAAAGCCAATTATACCATACACAAGTAAAGAAGCACTTAGCTTGATAATTGAGACTAAGTTATCAAAAAGTGACTATTTAATTATCAGAAGAGGAGGAAAAGAAAGAAACTTTGATGTTTATCCGTCATACAAAAAAATTTTGCAGGCAAAATTATGCTATTTTCCATCTCCTGATAACATTTTGGTAACAGCGTTATCTGCAAAAATTAAGTTACAAGGGCTTTTGGACCATACTGTTTCCCGAATTATTTTGTCTCAATCATCTTGACATATTTTTAATCACAAAATGGGCGGTGGCGGTAGCACAGGTCACCTTGAATACAAGCAGTTTATTGAAACTGAAAATGCTTCGAAATCAAATATTTTTTTAACTTCACTTGTACCTTTGCAATTATTTTAATTAAAATAATTTTAGTGTCATTTAGTTAATTTTCTATGATCCTACCCTTTTTCGCAAATTCTTAGGCCACACACATATTTTAAGGCTCATTCCTAAAATACTCATAAATGCACATAAGAAATAAGCTTTCTTCTTTTCCTCCACCCTGTATAATTTTTTGATGGTGGTCATTTCATACCAAATAGCGTTTCTGTCTTATACTAGTACATTTTATAAATTTCTAAAGTTTATTTTAAACAAACCATATGTTTTATCTTTCTGACCAAAATTGTTATTCCGGAGTCCATTGTGCAATGGTGGCAAATGAGAATATTGTTCATTAAATCTTTTGCACCACAAATGCAAAACAAATTCAAAATATCTGCGTTTGTATAATAAATGCACCTTTTAACTATGAAGATGCATCTTGACATGTCAGTTATTTTTTTTATAGGAAACGTCACCATGACCGACTAGAGCTTGCCACCTAGATGAAAGATGATTACTTTAATTCGCTTTAATTGCAATATTTTGGTTTTTTGCTTTTTGGAGTTTGGTACTTTTAGATGGCAAATAAATTGCTCATTTACCTGTGAATATATCTTGCCAATTGGGCCTTATCTTATGAACGCCGTGTACGCTATAAGTTAATTCTCATATTATTATGATAAAGCAATTTAATAGAGAACCGCAACCAAAAATTCAAGTGCTTAGCTGTACGGGTTGCAAAAAAATGTATTATTTTATATCGGGTTGTTTGTTGCCAAATTTCTGAATAAAAAAATTCTAGAATGTTTTACACAATCTAAAAATGTAATAATATACAGGGTGTTCCATTTAAAAAACGAAAGTTGATATACGTTACGAGTATTTATCACAATACCGCATGGCCAAAAATATGTTATGTAGGTAGCTCATATCGGCTTACATAAGTTACCAACATTTCAGGTTTTTACCGTAAGTCATTATCCATAAACGTCTAATAAGATCTCACCGTGAATAACCCTGTATAGTATACACTTACTTTAAAATCGTAAAGTCGCCGGCTCCTCTATTATTCTTCAGTACCACCAGCGATCTCGTGTGTAATTGGTCTCTAAAATTTATAGACGTTAAAAAATTGAAATAATAATAGAAACGCGAAAAATAATATTATTTTTTAATTAGTTTTTTTTTATTTTAAATCGTGTTTTGACATAGAAATTAAATATGTTAAAGACTCTCTGGATGTAAAAACATCGTATTTCGCTTTGGCCGCTGTGATGCAAATGCTTGTGTTGTTGATATTTACATTAGACGTTTTTTGGATTAGATTTTTGTTTATATTGGAACCACTTAGCTACCAAATGTAAATGCGAATAATACAGGGACTTTTGAGGCGATGATAAAAAAAATTGAGGTGTGCCATTCAATATGCGCAAACCTAGTTTTCAAACCTACCAATAAGACGCAGCGGCAGTCAACAACCAACATGGCTGCTGACATTTCGTCAATTGGACGGGTTTCAGTTTAAATGTAGCATTTTTACTTCAGTTTTCATCAATATATGTGCGGATCAAGTTAAATGTTCTGGGAAAACGATTGAAGTGTGCGAAGATAACTGTTTAAAAGCGAGGAAAAAAGTGCAGATTAGTGTGTGAGGCACGGAAAATATCATTTTTCCCTGAGTTGTATATTTTCTTAAGGTTAGGCCACTATATATCTAGTTGCTACATGATTGGAAACAACCTACATCTTTGTATTTGAATGTATATAAAAATAATAATCTTCAAGAATTAAAAGATTGAGGTAATGTGTTTATACCTGTATAGTAATTTTAACCAAATTTGAAAATTAATTTTAGATAATATGTGGCGTCACAGTTTTGAAGCGTAGGTAAGTACGCCGCACTTGATATTACAATAAGTTCCAAAAAATGATAAATTAACCCGATATCAATAAATTTAAAAAATGCCCGGATACCCAAATCCAAATTATCGGCACATTTTTTTTTAAGCCACCCCACCCTTCCCCCCAACATTTATCGGATAAATAGTTACCACGTGAATTATGTTTTATAGCTGCGATAATTGCAATAATAAATTAAGTAGTAGGAATGATTTATTGCATCTTAAAATGCATCCAAATTGCAATGGACCTTACCTGAAATATTTTATTGCCTCGAAGCTGAACGCTAACAAGAAAATGCCGACCATCGATGCTAATAGACCGCCGACACCGTCAAAGTCCCATTTTTTGAACAGCACCACAGCGGAAGTGGAAAATTCAAACTATAGGCAAAGATGGCAAATTTGGATATGATCTGTTAAGACATTTTATTGTTATTGCCAAATATGAAAATTAAAAATTTTTCAAAATGCAGAAAAAAATTAAACTTAATTTTCCAAATATCGACTTGCTTGTTTTTGCAAAATAGGGGTAAAAACTAACTAAAACTTGTCTCGACGGGCTAGTCTTTTTTTTCGAAAACCCGAAGAATTTTGAAAAATAACATATTATAAAGAGGCTCTCATTAGACTTAATATGGGTGCCCTACATATCGATACTCGAACGAGTAATTTGTCGATAATGACGCCATTGGTTCGTATATTTACCCACATATTCATGTCCATTCCGTGCATGTGCATGTCCGAAGCGCCGTTGGGATCCTCTTGGCACTCCGCCATCTCGGGCATGGTGGTACAATTCATTTCCATGTTTTCTACGATTGTCGAGACAATAGGACGACGTGTAAAATACGAAACTCGTCCAACAGTGATCCGACCGAACAAATAAAATCGAGATAAAACATTTTTTCGAGAATTTTTTCTTTCCGTATCTTTTTAGTCTTATCTGAGATGAGAGGTGTTGTGTGATTATGCGTATAAATACAAACCTCATGAACTATTTGTTAAGTGATACGCGTCGCTAGTGGGCCGGCACTACACCACAAAGTAGCAATGATTGATTCTATGCTGTCTCTTAATGCGAGAGTGATGTAAATCAGTATTGAAATGTAAAACTTAGTGATCTTAACCGTATTTCATAGGCGCAGTATTTTGTCAAGACTCCCGAGAGTGGGAGGTAGACGGGCAAATAGTTGACCTACCTGTGCTTTAGTCAACAGTATACCGACTTGTGCAAGAAGATAAATGCAGCCCTATCAAAAGAAAAGTACAGGAAGAGAAGAATAAGCAAAAAAATAAATGAGGCAGACTGCCATCAGAAAAATACCTACCTTGGAGAAAATAATGTCTGAAATGAAAATTTTGAATAATCCTACGGAATAGAAAATTATGGAAAGCTAATAACATGCTAGAAAATTATGTAGAGTCCCTTATTGTGTTTTTGAACTGCATATGACTACTCGGCACATAACGACTAAAATTTACCAATTACCCATTTTCATATTATTTATAATTATAACGAAGTATAATTATTGTATTTATTATTCTAACAAACTACCTGTAGCAACACAGCAAACACATTGCTTCATTCACCAAATTAGTTTTTCTATTATATACAAATTAGTCACCGCAATTTAGGCAAGATTCGAAGTGCATCTTGAAAAGTTATCCACCATGTTTAATGGTTTCTGTCATTGCAAATTTACATTTTATACTCTCTGGCATTAAGAAACAGAGCATAGATAAATTTAAAGGAAATATTTTAGCAAATTATTATTATTATATACATATAAATTTGATTTTATTCAGAACAGAAAACTCTCAACAAGATGGTACTAGCGCAAGCCATATACTACTTTTTGTATGATACAAGTGTGTTGTCGCGTAGTTATGCCTAATACAAAAAATAATCCCCAAGTAACCCAATTAAACACTTTATTTCTCAATAAATACACGCCTTTCACTTATTATTTCTATTCTTCTTCGCTTTAGTCCCCTTTAGAGCGCCACTCTTCGCCGCTCCGACGATATTCTTGAACTGGCCGGCCGCCTTCATCTTTTTCCTCTTGTTCAAAGCTGTCCTCTTGAGCGGCAAATACGCGTAAGGGTCGAGCTTCTTGCCCTTCCTTTTTACGTCCCCGTGCCCCTTCCTCGACCTGTATTCCGACCCGACCGACTTCGCCGAAGCCTGCGAGCCTGTTGGTCTGTGAATCCCGCCGCCTCCCGGCTTGTATTTCATCGGGGGATGGCTGGCCGCGCTAAGCCCGCTCTTAACGCTCCCCGACCTCTTCCTCTTCCGGTCGGACAGCGGCAACGTCTCCGCTATGCTGGCCTCGTCCTCGGACTGGGAAGTGTCCATAACCTCCACGTTCGACTTTTTACCGTCTCTTTCGTCGTCCGATGAGTCGTCTTTGATGATAAGCCTGCCGTCCGATGAGGTCTTAAACGCCTTCGACGCGTCTTTCTTCTTGCCACCTTCCTGCGGAGGCGGCCGCGGCCTCGTAGCCGAGATTTTGTTACTCACAGCGGGATCCGCAAAGTCCACAATGGTCTCTGGCTCCTCCTCGATCCACGCCTCCGTTTGTTTCCTGGATTCGCGCTCGTCACCAGAGTCTTCCCGGTCCGAGTCGAGATCGGCCAAGATCTCGTCCACGCTCTTGGGTTTGGCGTTGACGCTAAAGTCGCGATCGCTGTCCGAGCCGTCCTGACCCTTTCTCGCCTCTCGAAGTCGCTTCCTGCGCGCGTTCAGCTTCCTGAGGTTGCGCAGACGCTTATGCATGACCGCGTCAGTCTCGGGTATGTACGGGGTGATCGAGTCGCACCCGTACTTTCTCACCAGCTTGTCGAGAATATCACGCACCTTTACTCTAAAGTGCCGCTTGCAATCCTCGGTCATGTCCGTCAAGCCCTTAAATAAATAAAAGATGTTTATTAGCAATAGGGCATACACAGCTCACTTTTGAAATGGTTGCCCACTTGTTGTGAATTAGATGTGTCCATATTTGGTTCATAAGGATTGAAAGTCATTTTTATTAAATTTTTAGCTAATTGAAGTAACATTTTTTACATTAAAACATTGAGACTCTGCATTTGAAATACGTCAAATGAAAAAGATTTCTAACTCTTATTAGGTTTAGAAATTCCCTTAAGAGATTTATTACCTTATCTGTTCTTAAGCTTTTCGTCCAAGTTTCTTTATTATTTACGCTCCTCGTCCTATGTGAATGTTGGGTGAACTATATTTTTTCTTGTTAGTTGAAAATTCTTAACTTCACTTCATTTTTATATGCTAATGAAATAAATGGAAGTTTATTCCAAATAACAAAATACACACATATTTAAATAACTTTTTAATAACAATTTAATGAAAAATTTAATATTCAATTTCACAAAATAAACTAAATAAACGTTTAAATCCATAAAAGCAAATCAATGCTTGTTAGTGGTAGACTTTCGAGTTCACATTTCTTTTATTATGTTTACACCTTATAATATAAGTAGTACTTTTTTTTTTAACTAAAAAACGTGAAAAGTGCAAGAGTGCCCCACTACATAAAATTAAATTTGTTTACATCCCTCCTTTGACACAGGTGAAATCAGTATTTTAAAATCTTTAAGTTTAAGATAGTCCTTAAAGACAATTAAAGACGATAACGTAATTCGTTTGTAAAACTTTGAGGTTCCTGACCGATAAGTAGAGAAAGGAATAAAAAATATCTTATCTACGTTTAGGGTTAACCTATAAGAATCAAACTATTCTTTAAGTTTAAGAAAATCTGTTAACCACCTAAAATGCTCGCTACATACAAGTCAAAGATATCGTTCATATAGACTACAAAAAGTAATAGACGAGACTATCTGTTAAATAGCTTTTCATAATCACGTTGTGTAAGTTTAACCTGACATACTGTGTCAAAAGCTTCGGTTAAATCAAAAAAATGCATAGTTGTTGTCTAGTGCTCTATGTATTTAACGTTTTTTTTTTAATTACGCTTATTTTGGCCACTGCATCATAAGGCAATTCGGCCAGCTGACAACCAAGTTATAACCAATTTTTAACGATTACAGCACCCAAGTCACTCTGTGTAATAACCCAACTGATTTTTTGAAAGCCTATTATTTTTCTCCAAAAAATATACTATTCCATTTATCATTGCAGTTTCAAATATTTTGAAGTTGGAAGATATTAATGCATAGGTCTTCTTATACATGGGTTTAATTATGTCAAATTTTAATATTTTTGAGAAATATACTTTGTCCATGCATTTGTTAATTGAATTGCTGATATGTTAGATTTTGAGATGTTATTGCATCAGGAGCCCTTTTTAATTTCAGAATTTTAAATAGTTTTTGAATTTTTTGAGAAGCATTAAAATAAATGAAAGACATTAATAATGGTTGTTAATAGCGTTCGCAATTTCAACGAGGTCTGTAGAGATAAGTTTTTGTGCAGACTAAGTATGCTCGATTTGATTTTGATAATATTCCTTTATTACTTTTCGTTCCTTAATGCTATTGAGTAATAAAATGTCAATTTGCACTGACAGGGATCATCTTTAAGACCTACATACCTCAAATAGTTCCTAAATTAGGATCACACGATTTGCATATAATAAAAAGACGAGTTTGCTGAATGAAAATAATGTGACAGCGACGTTACTGCACTTAGTTAGAATAGTAGTAATAGTAAGTACTATAATAGTAATAATACATGATTACAAGTGTAAATAAAATTTATATAGAAGTAAGAATAATACGAAAATAGAAAAATTGTAACAAATATTATTTACAAAAAGATCTGCTATTTACAATACAGGAATGTAAATGTTAGTCGTCATGTACAAACTAGTCAGATAAACTATAGTCGTTAGAGTACAGAGAAATAATAATGGATATGGAGGAAGGGGAAGTAGCTTTACATTTCCTTTTGAAGCGATTTCCTTAACAACAAATTGCATACAAAGAGATTTATTCCATTTTCCTCTTGTAGCTCGTTTTTCATCGTATTTTTCTGAAATTGCTTTTTTTTTCTTTCCTGTACTTCTCTTTGGTGGCCTGATGCGGCCGCGATTATCATGGGGCACAAATCATTATATTGTTGACTGTCCAACTCCAGTTATATTCAAACAAATTTAAACTATTTTTGGAACTCTGAATGATGAGTTTTGGGTTTGAGTTTGGTGACGAAGAGTTTTCATCACATTTCAGTCATTTTCAAGAACAAACTTTGGCCGACAACTACCGTCTACGTGCCATTCTCGAGAACCTTGACAATCACCTAGTTTTATACTTCAATAATGATTGACAACTCTATCGCATTAAGAAACGGAGCGTAATTTTGTTAGGCTATTTTTATAATTTTTTATAAAGATGCTGAAGACAATTTGTTGTGAAATTGATTTTTACCTTAACCAAACACTCGAGAGAGGCGCCGACAGTCAACAGGGGCAGCGTGGAGCAATAAACCTTAATGAAGCTGAGGCAAGAGCCGACGATCTCGCGATTGGGCGACGACGCCAGCAGACAGACGTTCTCCAAAATCAGCTTGATGTTGTCGGGGCCGAGGGCACCCGAAAAAGCGTGCAATACCGAAGCGAGCGCCAACACGGTGCAGGTGACCAGCTGCCCACCCCCGGCCAACCCGGCCACCAGCATCGACGTAAACTCCTGCATTCGGTCGGTTTCCGCGAAACGCTCGCCGATCGTGTTCAACAGCGCGTAGGCGGTCTGCCTGCACTTCTCGTTCACGTCCTTGCAACACATCACCGCCTCCGGCACGATGGACCGGATCAGTTTGTCGTCGGGGTCGGCCTGCGCCTTGACCAAGTAGTTCAAGCAACGTAAACGCGCTCCTTTGCTGGAGACGGCCGTAGTATTCAAACACTTCATCAACAGCTTTTGGACGCGACCGCGATTGCTGGCTAGAAACCGGACGCAGCCTTTGCTGTCGCTCGAGCATATCTGCTCGAGGATTCGGTACGCCTTCTTCTGCTCTTTGTTGTTTTTGATTTCGGGCAGCGACTCGACGCACTGCCGGTAAAGGAACGCGATCTGGTCGTGATCCTGGTAAGGTACCAGCGCCCGAATCAGGTCCAAAATCGATTCCTTACGTAAAGTAAAACTTAATTTAAAGCCATCCTAATATATATTATGGTCTGTTCATAGATATAAGAAAGTGACCAATTGCTTTTGAATGGGATTATCCAAGGGTGCTCATTAACATACAATGCAACAAGATTATTACCTACAGTTTCGGAATTAAAATTCAGCTAAAATTGTGGTCCGTAATAGAAAATAATTTTATACCTACCTGTGTTTAATATTCTTTGTTTTGGTATACTACTTAGTTTAAGATTATTAGTAATCATTCTTATTTCGTGTGTAATACAGCGTGTGTTGAATCGTGTGCGAATTATGCAAAATATGTGCGAGTCTCGTGTATCTCAGGAGATGCTCCCGCCCAAATGCAAATAATATAGAACAAATAATAATTAGAACAGGCGATGATTTGTAATTTTATTTTAGATTTAAACATAAATACATACATAAATAAATAAATATCTAACAAAACCCCAAATAATTAAATTCTAAGCAAAGTACGGACCTGTTCGGCCATATTTCATTCTTACAGCTTGCCCGGATCTTTCCCTAATTCGTATCAGTTAGTCACTTTCTTATATCTATGAACAGACTTTACCCACATTTAAATTGATAACAATACACAAATTACGCAAGTATGTCAATGTACTTTGTATTTATTTATTTTTTTAAATTAAAAACATTTTTATTTTTAATTTGAAAATCTTTAATTATTTAATTAAAGTTGTGGAATTGATCTGTCAATTTTTTTTGTGTCAATTGATCTAAACAATGTTAAAAATACAATTTATATTTATTTGTATTGTGCGTTACATAGCCGTAGCGTCGTTCTCAGAACACTGAATGGACTGAATATTTTTATTGGGATTCCCCGAATCAGTAAGTATCGCATTCCGGTATTCCTTGAAGACGGATGGTTTGTTATACAATACATATTATTATTAAATAATGATCAATAACACTCTACAATTGCAAGATGTTATTTAAAACACTGAACAAATTTGACTAGTCAATTAAGAAGTGGTCAATTGACTAGCGCCAACACTACATTTAACATTATCTGGTAGCTTATTGAGGAATTTTGAAGCAAAACAATTCTGAGAAATTTAGGGTTTATATCTTCGTTAACGAGTATTATAAGAGTGAAAGGTATTGTGTGAACAGTGATAATGTCCTTTTTTCTCGCCCACCATTCGCCGGTGGAGATTCGCTTATGACTTTTTGGGGTTGGAGGAAGGAGTTTTTAGCAAAATAAATATTTTGGAGATAAAAAACTGGACCTACAACACTTCAATTTATTAACCGAAAGAGCAACTAATGACACCACCTCGTGACCAAAATGCTGAAGCGCTGATATCTGTCAAACTATATTCGGATTCTTATCTAAATGTTCTTTTATATAAACTAATTAATGCAATATATATCTACAAGGTATTTTAAAAAAACTCTGTTTATCCAAATGTTTTTTACATCAGCAGGGAGAGATAGACGATACGTATTGTAGTGTTTTTTGATTTTTTAAAAGAAACATTTTCTTGGATAATTTTTTGGCAGTCATGTCAATATAAAAGTTTAGGATCACATATTATTTTTATTATGTCTTTTTAGACCAATAACAATTTATTCTGCCTCAGAGGTATTAGAATGTCTAACAAACCATTCAAGCCAAGTCTGCTATACCTTCGATATCCTTATTCATACGCACTTCTGTGGTATCATTGACAGAGGGATATTTTTTATTTTTCTTGTCAATATCATTGATCTATACTGAGAACAGCCAAGGTGAGAGCACTAATCCCTGCGGATTGATGGTCCCGCCAACAGAAACTTCACCCCCATAAACAGTTGATAAAATTTATTTCACTAGCTTTTAGTGGAATCCACTGATCCAATAAAATGATAGATTTTTTGACAGGATCTAATGCGATATGCAGATCAAGGCATTGGTGAGCTTGCAGCAAGTCATCCCTATGAACTTACTCTCCTCAAGACCCTCGAACATACTCTCCATAAGAAAAGAAATAACTCTAGCTGTTGACTGACACTTTTTAAAACCCAATTGGCTCTCTGGATATCAAGATTGTTTCCGAAATAATCACAACGCTCATTATTAAATATGCGGATAATTTTCGACACTTTTAGACAATCTGGATAAAAACCTTCTTGTATTCTTATTGTTTTTGGACTAATCAGTTCATTTTTTAATGCTTTTGTAATCTGTGAATTTGTGTACCTTGATGAAGGAGTCCTCCGGCTCGTCGCTGGACGCGTGCAGACGTTCGAGCGCATTAGCGAACAGCTGCTTGCTCAGTTCCGGCCTCGATATCGTCAGGTATGTCTTGATGGTCTCCAACGCGGCCAGCCTCTGGCCTTCCTCCTCCGACCCGATGGGTTTCGTCGTGTAGACGTTGAACAATATCGGCAAGTAATTTTTGTCGAACCTGGCGAGCTCTTTGAGGTCGCCGTCGTCTCCCGCCTCTTTCGCGCCCGCGATCAATTTACGTAGCGACGCCATCACCGCGAGTCGCAAGTCTTTCCGGTCCGAAATCGCGTGTCCCAACACCTTGGCCAGGTTCTTGAACTCTTCCCGAATATCTACCGGGCGATTGCAGAAACAAGGCAGCAGGTTCCACAGTTGCAGGTAGAGGAGCTCGGAACTATGCGCGCCGATGCCGTCATTTTGTTGCGCGAGATGGGCGGACCTTTGCTGACAGTAACGTGCCAACGGGAAGACGTTCTCGCGGAAATACCGCAGAGTCGAGAACTTGATGTTCTCCTTCAGCACAGGCAGCAGCCACGAGCGTTCAATATTCAAATCGCCGTTTTCCTTTTTCAACGGCACGACGTCGAGCACTTTCTCGGGTCCCGCGGCTCTTATCGCCGCACCCATCGCGTACTCGAGCTCGTTGTTGTAAGGGAACTTGTACGAGTCTCTGAGCTCGGCCAACGACTTTAGCGTTTCGCGGATCAGGTCCGGAAGGGCGGGGCCGACGACGTCGAACATTACCCCTATAACGTGCAACACCTGATTCCATACCGCGTGGTACTGGTAACTGAGGCACGAATGTATGACGTCGCAGCATTTCTCCAAGCGGTTCTTGTGCTTTGCCGCCGATTCGCGGGACTCGCAAGCCGCAGCGATGGCGTCTCTAAACAATACCTCGAGGGTATGGGTGGCAGCGTTAGTCACCTCCTGCTTATCGGATAACCATAGTTGCGCGACCGTGGAAAAAATCTTCGGCAACGCGCCGCACCCCACGGCGACGTCGATGTCGGCCAAGTGCACGTGCGCCTGCTGCATAACCAGCAGCCAGGCCATCGTCGGTTGGACGTCGGTAACTCCCGGCTGATAGTCGTAAAGGGCTTGGATGAGTTTGGCGTTAAGGTCGGCGGACGCGACCGTGGTCGGTGCGGAAAACAACGCGTGGAACACCTGCAGACCCCACGAAGTGACCAAAGGGTAGTTGAGCGTCATGAGGCGGAGGATCGTTTCGCAACATTTTTTGATGTGAGATTTGCTAAAACTGCACACGGTTTCCTTCAACAAGCCCAACGTGTGCAGGATGGTGGTCTGGCCCGATTCTATGGAGGAAACCGGCACTTTGGTTCCGCCTCCCAAGCAAGCGTCCAGGATCTGCTCGCAGTATTCCGCCACTTGGTCCGCGGCCGGGTTGGGTCCGCCCTGGACGAAATAATTCGCTTTAACGACCGCCATCACCGCGTGGTGAGCGGCTTTCCTCCACTTGGGCTTCGAATGGTTGCAGAACGAGTTTAGTATCGCGTTGAAGATCTGCTTTGTGGACGGGATCGTCCAGATGGCGAATTCCTGCGCACGCAGCAAACTGGCCAAGATCCCGAGAGTCGATTTTATGATAATGTTATTTTCCGCCGAAGAGTAATCATTTAAAATGTGCAACATCTTCAGCGACGTGTCGCTGAAATTTTTCCTGAGCACCGGCTCGGGCACAGTCTTCACGCCCATATTGAGTAGCGAAAGCACCGCCGTTACCTGGGAAAAATATTAGGGTAGGGATGTAGTGTTAGAGCAGCTGACGCGGAATTAGACAAGGCAAGCTTTTTACCACTAAATGTAACTAAAATAAAGTTTATTAGTCTTGCTGCTCAATCAAAAAGAATGACATAGATTAAATTGTTCAAAAATTGATGCTTTCTGAGACTTGTTTTTTATCAAAATTAACATTGTAAATGAATTAATTAAATTTATTCTACCTAAAGCCTAAAGCCTTTAATAATGTAACTCGTACAATTATAAAATTATTGTACAAAATTAATTAATTACGCATATTTTACCCCTAAAGGGTTCAAGAGTATCTTATTTTTGTTAGTGGTGAGGTCTAGGATATATATAGAGAAAATAAAAAAAATGGTTATAAAAACGATACTTTTGAAAAAGAAAAATACCAATGGCTTTGTCTTTTGAAGAAACTTCAATGTTTCATATTAAGAACACTTCATTATAGAACTGAAACAAAACTTGGTATAGCCTATATATAGGTACATATATTAACATAAAATGTGACTGAACTAACTGAATTAATCAAACACATTTTACTTTTGTTTGTTTCAACTAGAAAACTTTTAGTTTACCAGCAAGCATAGCAACTTGCTTATTGCCGATGGTTTATTAAATTTGCACATTTTCCTAAAACATGATCTTCTCTTCTCTCTTGAAATTGAAGATGGCATTTATAGTCAGATTTATGCCCATTTGTAATGATGTCAAGCCTGTTGACAAAAACTTATGTTCACTGATTATTTCAAAATATAGGTTGTTAATTGACAATGACATTTACTTTGCTGAACAAAAATATCATGTTATCTTGAGAATAGTAAGGCAATGTTAAAAGTATCAGCTGCGATTGTACATTATAAATATTGTATCCATTTCTCGTCATTATTTAAAACTTCCAGAAATAACTTTTGACAAGTGGACAAACCAATGTTTAAATAAAGACATATAAAAAATGAATAACCATCCACATCCATTTATTTCAAATTTTCGGTTTCCCATGTTAAACAAAGATAATCAAAAATTACAAATGGGTATAATTTCGACTTTAAGCATATTTTACCAAAATACAAAATTATTTTTTTAATTATCGACGCTAAATATGCCAAAACTAACTTTACTACGAGCGTTTTATAGATCCTAAAATCTACAGTTTTCTTACACTTTCTTGACCCACATTATGGACCCAAATATAGGGTACTTAATCATAGGTAACACCTAGTGTGCTGATAATTTTTATTGAATAAGTAACTGTTTTCTTCTCATTTTTCAGACTTTACCTCCATTTTAAAGAATTGAATTCATTGCAATTACAAATTTTTTGTGAAGAGGGAAGTCATACTTCAACATCATAATAAAATTTACAAAATATCTGTAAATGAATTGAGCTGGAATTATATTTATTTATTCACCTGGTCTTCATTTCTGTCGTCGACATTGTAAACGCTCTCTAATGTTGTCAATAATGCACAGAAATATTCTGTAGAGGTCTCGCTGCCGCCGTTTTGCTTGATCACTTCAGTTATAGCCGCCAAAATAGCGAGCATTTCTTTGTGAAGCGCGGAATTGACCTGGAAAGTTTTCATGAACCTGCCGAACGACATGTTGCTGCAATCGGACCACTCGGACGCGAACGACTGCATACTTTGAAAAGTTGAAAAGGAACCGGCGGAAGATTCCATATCATAATCGGTTTCCACGTCCGGTTTTTCATTAGGTAGAGGCACATGTCCCTGCGACGCATCGTGCTTTTTCAACGAAGAGGCGGTCAGATTGCTGGGACCCAGATTTTCTTGGAAAAATCGCGACTTTGCCTGGTCTCTGTGTTTGCGAGTCTCCGGATTAGAACTAGAACTTTGACCTTTCGGCCAGCGCTTGCCTTTAGCTTGCCCCTTGAGTTTACTCCGAAATTTTCCCATTACAGGAACGTATTTCAACAAATACAACGGAAAAGCACGTTATTTTGCTATTTATATCAAGAAAACTAAGACCATAGATCAAGACTAAGGTTACGTGTTACTATTTTTGCCTCTTCTTTTTTGAAAAAACTAATTGGTATTTAACGTATTCTGTCGTGAACATTGCACAGAACCCTTTGTAATCGTCCCACAAAGTTTTGATATCGGTTCCAAAAGTGTAGCGATTGTTTTGTAAGTGTTTTGTGAAGGTTTCTAAAGTTGTAATCGTTGTCGGCCGCGCTGTTTTTTTCCGCCGACGCTGGTTAAAGGCCGAATTGGAACGGTTAGTCAGCGGGAGTAGTCCTTCTTTGCTATCGGTCAAAAGTTCTTTTTTGTAAAACCAACAAACCTGGAGAATGATGGAATGGTCCTGACCCGTCTTGTCCTAAAGGAATTTTGAATACTTTGGCTATTAGAAGTAAAAAAGAAGATGAGATTGGTAACCAAAAAGATGAAGAATATGGCTGCTGAGCTTATTTACAAATAAATAAAAATTCAAAAAGAGGGTCATATTTTAGCTAAGGACAATTTTGCAACAATGGAGGAACTGAGCGATAAATTTTTCTACCTGTATAGTTCAGATATTAATTCAAGAATCGAAATTAAAATGTGAGTGAGTAAAAGGTTTCAACTCTATTTTATTTCTTTCTTCATCATAGCGGCACCTTGGAAGGCAAACGAGAGAAACCCAGCTACGATGAATTGTTAAAAGACCCTTTATTAAGGTTTTCTGGCTTGTGTCAGGATAGTTGTCCAGACTTAATGGTTGAATGTCAAATTTTTGACAATAATGAGCCTCTATCCCTACCCATTACCACTGAATACAAAGCGTTCACCACTAGATGGAAGTAAGGGGTGATAGGTTCGTGAGTTCTTGAGTAGAAAACAGTTCTACTTTCAGTTGGAACGAATGGTTAGCTTTGCCTCTGGAATTTTGCGATGTGCCCAGAACTGCCCAGTTAGCTGTTACAATATATGATTGCGGAGGCCCTGAGAAATTACTCCCAGTGGGAGGCACCACAGTTTCACTTTTCAGCAAACATGGTGTCTTTAGGGAGGTAATGCTTTCAACCAAAATTAGAAGTGTACCCCTTCAACCGGTTTTGTAGGGAATGTTGGATTTAAGGGTGTGGCCCAATGTTGTGGCAGATGGCAAGTATCCAACTTCAACTCCAGGTAAAGGCAATGACGGTAAAGATCATTCCAAGGATCAGATGTGGAAGTTATCAAAATTGGCAAAGAAGCATAGGAATGGCCATATACCTAAGGTAAGTTGTTAGGCGGCCCTCTTTTCTCTTACTTACTAATGAGTAACTGCCTTTAGGTTGATTGGTTAGACAGGCTAACCTTCAGAGAGTTGGAAGTAATTAATGAGCGTGAAAAGAGGTCCTCTGAGTACATGTACTTAACAGTGGAGTTTCCAAAAATGTATTTTGATGGTATTTTGCATCACATTGTCTATTTCGAACAGAATGGAGAGGAAATTCATATGTTTAAGGCAAACGCAGACGTTGTTTTTATTCCTGACCCTGAAATTGGAAAGGTAAGTAAAAGACAATGTTCTAATGTTTTCGTTTTATTTTTGGAAACTCATTTTTTTTTTTATTCTGGTTTTGATATCGCGGTAATTTCAACGGATTCCATTTCTAAAAAAAACCTTAATATAATATTGAATTGGCAAGTGAGTTTGTTTACCATTTTCATCATCAGAATCTTGATTCCAAGGTTGGACTTCACCCGATCCAAAAACCATAAAAATACAGGCTGCCCCAATGTAAACTCCAGACGCCAATAAAAATACAGATCTCCACTGAAGGGGGTCCCTCTATAAAATTTATTGATGTTAGAGTTTGACATTTGACTGCATTCAATTTGAATTGCTAATTCAGTTTCTTCTGAAAAAGTTACATATGGAAAACTCTTGTTGAAATTTAAAAATAGTAAATAGGAAAGCTTTCTTTTCAAATTAGGCACTCATAATGAGGCCCCTGTACCTTGTAAGTAAGTAAAATATAAATAAATATATGACTATGAGAATTTGCGCCACCCTACATTTGTACTTAATATTGCATAGATTCTTACTTCATCGTCCACCAAAAACTGAACTACCAATGGTGCTATTATACCGCTTATATTCGATATACCGCTGGTGAGACCCATCATGGTGCCGGCATGGTTCGGCGATAAGTCCATGTGGTTTATGCTCCACCCACAAAGGGTGGCAGCGTTAAACGTCACGCCGATCACTAAGAGTGTTACAGCGCGCAACGGCTGGTCAGGCTTTGTGTAACTCAGTAAGATGAGCATGACACCGGGCGTGATCAAACCTAAATGTTGAAAGGTAAGGGTGAAGTCGCTCAGTGCGTTGCTTACCTATGGAATTGAATATTTTTCTCGTAATGCCGATCGGTAATATTTTCCGGGAGATTAAAAAATCCGAGGTGAAATTGAATAGTCCACTGATCAGGGTGAAGGAGATGTAAGGTAGGGACATTAAGAAACTATCCTGAAAGTCAGCGACTAAGCTCACAGTCGTCGAAATAGAGAGATTTTTTTACCTCTTTGAGGTTAAAGTTCATGACGTACTTCATATAGGATGGTATTTGGGACAGTAGCGTCCAGAATCCAAAAAGATCACCGACGTGAGACGAGAGTAGCGCCCATAATGGTACCGATGTCGCTATCGACTTCCATGGGGTTTTGTGGGTCTGCAACATGGGAAGTTAGTGCTGAATTGTGCATTGAAAAACAGAACAAGTAGTTACTCTTCACCTTGTTCTGTCCTTCAATCAACGCGGTCGCGCCTATCTTTGGTAAAATATCAATATCAGTTTTTTTCAACGGTTATATACAGGAGTCCAGCGAGACGTACTTATTATGAAATATTATTTCCACGTTTTATATTCTTATGAATTTTATATTTTCACTACTGGAGTGTTTGGAGGTCGATTTTAGATTAGCCCTGTGATAGAACTCACCAATTTTTCGTCAGTGTGACCCAAACTTTTCTCAATGTACAGTTTCTCCGCTTGACTTATGGTGGGATGCAACGATGGGCTGTTGTACCCGAAGATCGCCATTATTATGCACCAGCCAACTCCCAGGCTTCCGTACAAATAAAAGACCGCTGGCCAGCCGTATGTGCTCCCCGATATAAACCCAGTGACTAGCATGGCCAGTACGGTGCCGAATAGCGCAGCTGCAAGTGGAGAAAACGTAAAACGATTGCCTGCAAGCTTCAAGCGGGGGCTTACACGCGTACAAAGACGAGCCGAGACGCGAACGTTCTTCGACAGGGACCCATTGGCTAAGAAAGTGATGGGTCGATGGAAATATAAAGCCTTGACTCAATCCTTGTATCACCCGACTGGCCATCAGGCCTACAGAACCAAAATACGCTGCGGTAGCCGGTACTAACACGCATAGGGTGGAGCATACGGCCATACCGCCGACTAGGAAACGTTTGGGGCCCCACTTGTCGGCCGCCCATCCGGCGAACGGCTGCGGCACGATGTAGCCCCAGAAAAACGCGGACATTATGACGTTTTTGTTGTCCCACTGCGGATACGTCTGAAATTTTTTTTTGCTTCGGTACCGTTGGAGAGGGGGGGTGTTACCACCATATAGCTATAAGATAATATAGTGGCCCCACTACGGCAAAAATTGATGCGCCGGAGGTGGCTATGATATTTACGTAGAGAAGGTATGGATCTTTTGCGCATGCGTCACAACAAACAAACAGAATTCTTAAATAGCTACTAACGAGTGATATGTTTTACTGTTCAGGAATTACAGGAAATATAAGAAAAGAATTAAGCTACAAGTTTAATTTTTACTAGAACAAGCACAAGAAATACCCCTTGTCTATAGGAAGTGCTTCTTGAACATTTTTTAGCATCTCATAGTTATTTCAATAAAGGGTAAACCTATGAGTTTATGAAAACTAACGCTTTTCCCCGATTTACAAGCAAAAAAATCAGAAACAATAGGTTTCATGAAAAAATTCATGTAGAAATTGAATCGTATCTACAGGGCTTAAAGAACAAAAACGCCAAATTAATTACAGAATTATACTGACGCCGACGAGGGTGCTACAATTCTTTTCCACAACTTAACTTCTTCTTTGCCTGAAAATTTAATAGGATTTCGACATATTTTGGGAAAATATGGCATCCAAACATGGTCGATCTGTCAGCGGCCATCTTCTTTATTGAAAGGCGTCTTGTGGGTCCAACGTCAGAATTTGCCATTAGAGCTGCCATTGGTTAAAAACGAAATTTAAATTTCGCACATGCGCACGTTGAATAAACCTCAAAAAAAAACGTATTTGCTTTATAACTTGGTGTACTGTCAGCATAGACAGGGCCTCTCTATGTCTAGTAGCTATATGGTTACCACTCGATTTTACCGGTACGCTTGGGCTGCTGCTGACGGTAGGATCCATCATAGCCACTATGGCCACGGAAATCGAGACCTTGATGCCGAATGCGATTAAAATCAGCGCGAAAAATATTAGGGTCTGCCAGTGGCGGACTCCTATGGTGGGTACTGCGGAAAATTTGCGTTAAGTACTGCCTGATAATCAATTTTTAATCAATCCTCAATTTTCAATTGTTGATTGATTACATAATACGTACTTTCTTAATGCGAGAGTGTAATAAGCCATCTTCAAACACATTTCATGTTGACTTGAGATCTCATTTTTAGAAAGTGTAGTTTTACTAATCCTTTTCGCAGCAAAAAACTCAGTAACATTAGCTATTTTCAAGAACAAACTTTGCCAACAAATGCCGGAAAGTAACTATGATTGTAATTGTAAATACTAAGGCAAGCAATTTTTATTTGCTTTTTTCCAGTATTTAAAAAAATAGAATGAAAGCAATCCGTTTTTGGACCCTCATAAACAACACTATATAACCGGAACATAATGAAAATTTTTTTTTTTCACTTTGTGTCTTTTACGGTCAATATTTCTTAGGAGCACGGGGCGTACTGTTTTTGCCTACCTTTTCCTTTATTATCGATAGTTTCCAACTTCTGTTGCTCGACCTTGGTGTACTCAACTTCCACGCGGCCATTTTCCCCCGTTTTGTTCATTTTTCTTATTCAAAGTGTTTAGATCTTCATTTCGAACATACAGATGACGTTTGGTATAATATCCGTATTTAGATTTTCGACGTGTCGAGTAGCTAAGGCCATCGCAAACACGGAATTTACTATTATCTCTTTGTGTTTTGACAAAACGCAAGGATAGCAAACAAACGATCCTTCGTTCACAATGGTGATATCGCATTATTTATTTAAAAATTTCAGTTTGCTGGTGTGTCGGGTGTGTGGCTTCAAGGAATGCTTTTCGACACATTCGTAAGGCTTGTGGGGTTGCCACTATAAAGTATAACTATACTAAGTCTGCGACAGACAAGTTCCAGCTTTACGTTGTTAGATTTAATTAGACAACTTTCGCAAAATAAGGACACAGTCCGGGGCTTTTTTTTTTTTGTTTGTTCTCCTTCGAACCAATTGGCAAAATGAGCGGGATTATTTTGTGCATACTATATGCAATAAGCACTCGGCGTAACTGAAAAGTTGTGTCTACGTGTCTACGAATCGCCCTATTTTTCATGGTTTTTCATTTACAGCTAATAATAAACCGCCAGAAAGCATGTTTCGTGGACTTTTAGTTTTTGCCCGTGACCGACGCACCATGTACCGTGCGTTCAATTTATCTTGACAACATTTTATTTGGCTGTAACGTTTTTTGTTTTTAGAGATATCAACGTAAACAAAGAAAACAAAATATAGGGTGGCCAAGTTTTTTTTTCCAAGTGACGTATAAAGTAAAACACTCTCAATTATTTTTAAATGGAACACCCTGCATATTATATATGTTTTTAATAAAATATCTTATTACGATTACAATGACGTAACACTTTATATTTTAGTTGACTAATAGGAAATTTTTCTATAATTTCAAAGAGTGCCCTGACTGACAAATAAACATATGTTTATGTTTGACATATTAGTAAACAACGTTGATGGTGGAAGTATTGTCCAAGTCATTATTGTTAAAATTGTTCTTCTCGACTTTAGCATCCATGAAAGGAGTGATATGCTTCAAGTATACTTTTTAAATAGCCGCAGCTCGTCGTCAGTATATTAGACTTTATCCAGAGCCCCGAGCTCCTTCAAAACGATATTTCCAAGGCTGGCAAAGAAATTTGCAGAAAACAGTAACGTATTAAACGCAAAAAAGGTATGCCTGAATCATAATGTTTGAAATGATGAAAATAACGCAAACATATTGTATTACTAGAGTATATGAAGAGACAGGTATTTCTCGGTGATCAATCTACTCAGTTTTGAATAAATATAAATATATTGCATTTAAATTTCGTAAAACTCAAAAACTAAGTGCAGAACAATGTCAAAGGAAAATGGAGTTTTGTTTGTATTTTTTAAATAGACCTAATAAGAATAACAATTTTTTCAAAAACATTTTGTGGACTGATGAAAATTCGTTCACTACAAGAAAGGGTTGCAATAGACAAAATACGCGATATTGGTATTTAAATAATCCTAGACAAAGACACGTAATAAAAACCCAGGGGTATGGTGTGTGTCATAGATAGGCATATTTTGGGTCTGATATTTATAGATCAAATGTTAACTGGAAATCATTTGCAACTCCTAGAGCACCAAATAGAAAATTGTATATGGAAGATTTACCCCTAAATATATCAGCGTTGATTATATGGCAATAAGAGGGTGCCCCTCCTCACAATGTTGTGCATGAGAAATATGTTCAGAAATTTTTTTACTTTAGTGCGTCCTATCACTTTTAGTGTTTTTGTTCTAGGTTAATTTGTAAATAATTATTATTGTTGCAGTCAGTCATATATAAAATGCAGGGTGTTCCATATAAAAAAATATGATGTAGGCTTATATGTTAAAAAATTGATAGTGTTTTGTTTTATACGCCACTTGGGAAAAAACTTGGCTACTACACCCTACATTTTGTTTTTTTGTTTAGCTTGATATCTCTAAAAACAAAAAAGTTGCAGCCAATTTAAATGTTATCAAGATAAATTGAAACGCGCGGTACATTCTCCTAGGAATGGTCAGAGTTATATACCTCTCGCTTTTACTGGTTCAACAAAAATATTTGTTTCTGGCCGCCAAAATGACAGAACAAATTTTTTTACAAACTATTTCCTAAAGACCTATTGCATTTTATATGGGGGTAGTCTTTTACCCCCTTGCCAAATTTCAAGTCGTTATCTGCACCCTGTATAATATGCGAAACTTTAGCACCCTTTCTTGTGTAGTTCAGTGCAACCTAGTCCAATATGAGATCTGATTTGTGACTTGATGCTACCTCTGCTTTTAGTTTTTATTTTATTTTTATGTTGAACAAACGTCGGAACAGCTATGGGTTCTCCACTATCACCAGTCATCACGAATATATTTATGGAAGCCTTTGAGAAGAAAGCTCTCGACAAATTATGGACCTCATGGTCAGGAATCCCTATTATACGTTAACATACGTTTCACCATTGAGTTGGAAACTAATAACTTTTCATTCTTAGATATTCTTATCAATAGAAAATCAGACCTAACATTGGGTCATTGTGTTTACAGAAAACCTACGCACGCAGACTGATATCTTAATGCATGGTCACATCACCATCCGGCCCAAAAATCATCGGTTATCAACTCTCTTGTTTACAGAGCCGTCAAACTATCTCAGTCCGAGTCATTGAACCCAGAATTACACCTTACCTTACCTTATCTCTGCTCTTCTCTCTAATAATTTCCACATTAAAAATATTAAGCGTTGCATCACAAAATACACTTCACCGCAACCTTCCAATAGAACTGAGAAACTGAAAGCAATCCCACACTTGCTATTGTTCCTTATATTCAACTAATGTGCTTAAATTAAAAACATCACTGACCACATATCAAAAGTTCTAAAGAAGTATAACATCAAAACCAGATTTACCATTTGTCCAAAAATCTCTCAACATCTTCGATTCGTCAAAGACAAAATTCTATTTGAGATGCCAGGAGTTTACAGCATTTCATGCATATGTGGACAGACTGAACGAAAAATATCAACTAGGCTCAAAGAACGTGACAGAGCCTTAAGACTAAGACAAATAAATTCATCAACAGTTGCCGAACACAATCACAAAACCGGACATAAAATTTTATTCAAAAAAACTAAAATCCTTGCATGTAATCAATTCTTCTACCAACGAAAAATCCGAGAGCCTATAGAAATCTATAAGTAACCTAACAATATTAACCGCAACTCAGATCTCTACCTGTCACCAATTTGGGACACAGACGGTGTTTATGCCCCTCATTTAGCTCCGCGCCTCTCAAACAATATAAAAGCAAGTACAGAATAAAATGCAATTCAGTTTCAGTCAAGCTCTGAAAAAGCCAACAGGATGATTGGCGAAACGTTATCTAGTTCGAGTCAACAAAAACCGACGCAGGAGAAATTCAGAAGTTTTGTAAAAGTATAACTAACTTATGTGTTATCCTTATTCTTTTCAAACGAAATATCACGGTATTACAATAAATTGGCCCTTTTATTTTGTAATTCTTGCCATTTCGTTATACACGTCCACATTTTAAGATATCGCATATCGCTCAACCGGCGATAAGAGCGAGTCGATCTAATCTTACAGATAAGAAATTCAAAATTATTTTACTGTCGGCTCTGTGACAATTGGGAAAACGTGACCGGTGATGGCGCGCAGGCAGAGCCTATGGACCACAATTCTGCCGCGTATAAGTCAATACGGCGCGCCGACTTGTCGTTTGTGCGACCAACAGATCGTCAATTCTAGCGCCATCAAATGTCTAAAGTGCGCGAAACACTTGCACAAGAAGTGCTTCGAAAGGGCTTGCACTTTGTTCTTCGTGCGCGACGTTCGTTGCTGGGTGTGCCGGGAGTGCGAAAGCTCCGCCCACTGGCACTCGATGCGGAATGAGAACGATTCTCTGAAAGAACAAATTGATATTTTAACCAGGTTGGTCAGCGAGCAGGACCTGACCAACTGCTCGCTTAAAGAGAAAATCCGACGTATTAGTGGACAAGATGTAAGTTATACGAGGCCAGTCGCATATGAATTGTGCCAAGGAGAAATACTAACACAATGCTGAATTTGTAAACTCATTCTTATTTATTTTAAATAACAAAAAAAACTAAGATAATTTGCTGCTGCTGGACTATATAGTCGGTACGATTTTTGGGGGCATAGTCGGCAATAAAATGCCAGGCGAACAAAATAGATTGTACATCTTGCTTCGACTTATACTTCAACAGATGTTGTTCTAAATGTCTATCTGATCAATACAAGACCGTCGTCACTAACATTCACGATCATATTACTTGGGAGTAAGAGAGACAGAAACAGTTGTACTTGCCATTTATTAATTTAACTAATACGTCCATATTTAGAAACGCTTTTTTTTCGTATAAAGAGTTATAAACGCTTGAAAAATAACAATCCGCATATGTGTTCTGTAATATTTAATTATTTTATATACATATTCTAACATTTACTTAGGAACATTTTATATAAATGTTTAAGAACTACGTTTAATGTTTCAAATAATCGGTCATTTTCTTTTGAATTTTTTTAGTATGGCAATATGCATCTCGTCCTTTGGCTTATATTTTCACCATTTCTTCGAGAGGGTCATCTTCCGTATAATACATAAAAAATATCTCTAACAGCTTAACTGAATATATGGCTTGTTGAATGGTTGGTGGTGGTCCCAGATCAACTTCTTCAACTTCTTCTTCCTCTTGGTGCTCTTCCTCACCCTTTCTTCCTTGCTGTAATATGGCTTCCTCTGTCAAGTCGGCTGTTGTAGGCAAATTCTGATCTTTCACCATAAAATCTTGCAACTCCTCACTTGTAAACGTTATTGTTGTTTGAAACTACTTTATCCACTCGCTTAGTGGCTGATCATCTTCCAAGTCCAGTTCGCATTCTGTCTCGGTAATAAGTCCTGCATGACGATAGGAGTGTTGAATTATTTCTGCTATCACCTCTTTCCAAGCTTTACTAATAAAGTTGACTGCATCTAGCATATTAATTAAAAATTTGTCTTCGGACTCGTTCATTTCCATTAAAATGTTTTTCCTGGATTGACTCTTAAGACTTTTTATTACGATCTGAACCATCGGCGATAATACACTTTTTGTTTTAGCTGGAAGAACTGCCAATTCAATATTTCGTAGATTTGGAATATGGGGATGTGCAGGGCAGTTACCTAAGAGGAGTAATATTTTCCTCCCCTCTAATTCTGCATCCCATTTCCGTATCTCCTCTTCAAAAATTTGCGATGTCATCCATGCAGACTTGTTTGCCTTGTAAGTGAGCGGCAAATGCTTGATGTTCTTAAAATATCGTGGGTTAGTTGATTTTCAAATCACGACTAGCTTTCTTTTTTCTCCCACTCATTGACAGCTACAAGCGCTGTTATACTTTCTTTAGAAAGTTTTCCACCCACACACTTTTCGCTTCGAAATTTAAGAGTTTTATCTGGCGTCATTTTGTAAAAATACCAGTTTCGTCAGCATTAAAAATGTCTTTTCTGCTAGTTTTGGCCACGTCTTCTCCAGGCAATCATTAGTAACGTTTCTGTCGACATCACGGGCTTCGCCACTTGTCTGTCCATAATTTATACCATATCTCTGTTTGAACTTCCCCAACCATCTTTCCGAATCCTTGAAATCGATAATGCCAAGCTGTTCAGAGAGTGGTACATTTTTAAGGAACCACTTCAACATTGCCCGATCCAAATCTTCAAATTTTGGCTTTCTTATTTTTTTATTTTTTGTTTTCTCCCCGTTCTATATCCCGAATTACAGCAACTTTATCATATAGAGATAAAATTTTTCGCTAACTCCCCATGCTTGCCTTATTCACTAAGTGTGTCCTTTTTTCTTTCGGTACAGAGAGAGAAATTCGTTATACAGAAAATCGGACAAAATTATTATTCTCAATGTGTTCAAAGCTCTTCGCCACCAAAACTCAACATTCGAAGTTGCAAAAATAGCTAAAATGTGTTCGAATATGACAACATACCAACTTGTGCACGAGGATAAACGCGGCAGGACAGAGAAGTTCAGGAAGCGCGAGGCAAATTGTCATGGAAGAATACTTCACTGTTATAAACGCACCCTTGGGTAAGGTAAAAGACTAGTAATTACTCACATTGGTAGCAAAAATGGATTTGTCGATGGTGGCCTAATGGCATTTCAATCAAGCGGACTGTACACAATCATGAAGACATGAATGTTAATGTTTTTGAAGACTGCTTCCTTCCTCAAAACACTATTCCTCCTGGATCTGTTATAGTCATGGATAGTGCCAGCTACCACTCAAGAAAATCCAAAAAAATACCTAGGTCTTCTTGGAAAAAAAAGATTTTGCATTAGCTTATTTTAAATAACCAGAAATTTCAGAAAGATACATTGAAAAGAGAGTTGTTGCAGATTGTAAATTTGAATAAACCTTTTTGTACGAAATTTGTTTGGAGGGACGATGAAACCCTCTTGCAAGAGAGAATAAAGAGAGTGATTGTGAAAAATAGAATAAATGCGTCGAAAGAAGAATCCGGGAAGCTGTTAACATTTTATATAACACTGTAAAAACCCTTATTTCTCTGAACTTGATATGAGTATAATTTGCATTTGCTCTTTGTATATTTTGCTTACTTCTAAATAAATTTTTATTTACTGCATCTTAGAATAGGTAATATCTCAATTATTTGTCTATCTGTATAATTATAATTGCGACATGTATAATTTTTATTATATTTATTGTTCTAATAAAATACTCGTAGTAACGCCGCTATCTCACATTCCTTTAAGCGTAATTTAACGATTCGGGGTGTGTGTAGGTTTTAAAAACTGAAAATATAAACTTTCCCTGTCATTACACATTTACATTTTATTGATTTCGCGCATTAAGAAACGAAATATATATGGTATTGGATCCCAATCAATAATTCTTTGTTGCTTATTTTGATTACAATAATTAAAAAAAAAAAATAAAAATAATTCGACCAACAGTTTTTGAAAAATTGGTTACAGTGCCAACATGTTTTACAATACCTGGGCAAAAATCATTCCTGCTTCGGTTTTAAATCCGGAATAGTGCGGACTAGAGGAGGTTCGAAGTACTTTTTTCTTTTGGCACTTGGAGATTAGTCCGTGCTACTCGAAGGCCATTTTAAAACAGGAATATTCATTTCTTCAAACCATGACTTGGCATGTCTTCGTGTTGAAATAAAAAAAGAAGTCCAACTCGCGAGGATATACATCCACACACCATTGCAGATGCAGGAAACTTAACTTTCTTTTTGTGGCAGTCAGATAGTAATCCCATTAGCGTTAGACTGAATTTTTATGCTCCAATACCTAGAAAAGTCGATTTCAATAGAATATTCTTGCAATAAATATGACTGTAAATGTGATCTTGTTGTATTGATCGAAGATCTCCCTCATATGTTTTTGAAATCTTAGAACGACGCCGGTTTTGATTTTTATTTAAATATTTCCATTTTGTTTAAACAGTGTGATATTGTTCACTATTCTTTAAAGAATGTTTATTTTTTTGGTCAAGAACAATGAAATTTGTCGTAACGTTTGATGACTCATTTCAACTAACCACTTTGGCAAAAACCTACGCGAAATTGAGATTACTAGGCAGATTATTATTTCTGTTTCTTACTATCACTATTTCTTTTTTTTGTAATTCAAATACTTCACAAATAATAGTTATTGTTTGTTAAAACGATATGTTATTACATTATTTTAGTTGCCCTTGTTTGAGTTTTTTAAATAAGTAGATATAAATCCGGAAATGGAACATTGTGTTATATATTGTCTTGGTCCTGGGCTTATAGTCGCGGTGGTTCAGATCGGTTATTTGTTTGCCTGGATCAGATTACGTCCATTTCCCCCCTTGTCCGCAGGAGAATTTGGTCGAGAGGAAGCATCACATGCTCGCGCGATCCTTGCGGAGCGGCCATAATGACAAGGACGCCAAGCCCAATGCCGCCGTCAGGGACATTTTGAATACAATCGTAGCGTATCCCGCGACGCAGCAGCTGTCGAATGAAGAGCAAGATTACGTATGGAAGTTTAGGTAAACAGTTTGGTGACTGTATCATTTTTTTTTTATCCTAGATGTATATAAGCTTTGCCTATGCTGAATCAATACGCGCATGCGCGATAATTTAAAATCTTGTTTTCTACCAATAGCACTTGTCATTTCAAGCAACCAATAAGTAATAACCAACATGGCCGTTGACAGTTGGTCAGCTCGGCGGGTTTCTGTTCAGATGTAACATTTTTACAGCAGTATTTCTTCAAAATAGACCTAGATCTCTTTAAATGTTGTGGAAAGGGGAGTTAAGTGTGTGGAGATCCCTGTTTAGAAAGAAAACGAAGCAAAGGCAGGTTAGTGGGTGAGACTAGTCATTGGCGTCTGAGACGCATCAATTTTCACCGTCCTTGGGCCACCATTTAATACCGGAAAATATGGAAAGGTTTGTGATTGCAGTATGGTAAAACACTGCATACGTGGTGTGTTCAAAGAGTAATGTGACTTTTAAGTTTTATCCCCCCAGATATGCACTTTCACTCGGAAAGTCATAAATGAGCAGGAATCCGGCATTGTTATGGTTGGGAACAGTTTGCCTCCGTCGTCTTCCCTGTCTCTCCTGGGAGTTATTGCCAGCACTAATTTCTCCTGGCACGATCACGTCGTTGGTTTGGCAAAGATCGCCGCCCAGAGATTCCATTCCTTGCTAAAAGATATTTCACGCCTGCACAGCTTCTTACTCTCTACAAAGCACAGGTCAGACCAGTTATGGAGTATTGTTCTCATATTTGGAGCTCGGCCCCCAAGCATATTTTGGCAATTTCGGACTCCATTCAGAGAAGAGCTGTGCGTCTTGCCGACGATCCGGCACTGATCGGCTCCCTGCAATCACTCAGCCATAGAAGAACGGTTGGCGATTTATCTTTGTTCTATAGATACTTTCATGGACAATGTTCCGACCAGCTTGCTGAGCTCATTCGACCAACAGCGAGGTTTGGTCGTTCTACTCGCCAGGCAGCATCAGCATATCGCTATAAAGTCCACTTCGAAACCCCACGAACGTCAGTGTATCAAAACTCATACTTCTGGCGAATATCAAGCTTATGGAATTCTCTTCCGGATAGTGTATTTCCAACGGAATAAAACTTGCAGAGGTTCAAAGGTAGTCAATAAACATCTTTCTTCTTCTCCTCGCAGTGTCACCTAGTGCACCATAGGCTTGTCCTTTGCGAGTGGAATTCGATAAACAAAAAAAAGATATAATACACTTGTGCCAACTTTTTTTTTTTTTAATCCTCAAAGCACTTTCTGGTATAACCTTGAGTTGTTGTAGCGATTCCAAACCGTCTTACTTTTGTAGGTTTCTTGAATTGGTGAATATTGACAAAAAGTTAGACACAAGCAACGATGAGTGAGCAGCATCTTGAATTTTTTTCCCACAATTCCTGATGTTTTCTTCGTATTGCTTCTCGCAAACGGCACATAACTTCAAGATAATACTTTTTACCGTACAACTTTGTGGTAAGAAAGTAGTACGCCACGATAATCAAAGAAAATAGCAAGCAAAAACTTGACATTTGATCGAACTTGAGGTACTTTTTTTGGTCTTGGCAATTCTGTGTTCTTCCGTTGGGACGACTGGACTTTGGTTTCGACGTTATAACCATGTACCCATGATTCGTCACCAGTTATGAACTTTTTGAGCATATCAGGGTCGTCAGAGAAGTCGTTTAACAGGTTTTCTGCGATGCTCCTTCGACGGTCCATTTGTTCAAAATTCAGCAGTTTCAGAACAAATTTTACTGCTACACTTTTCATGCCCAAAACTTCGGAAAAAATTGCTTAGCACGATGCCGACGTTTTCAGCCACTTCTCTAATAATGATTCGACGATTTTTAACACCATTTGTTTGATTTCTTCTACGCTTTCATCAGTTATTGATGTGATGGGGCGTCCAGAGCGAGGTTCGCCATCGGCGTCTTCTCGGCCATCTTGGAACAGCTTGCACCACTTATAAACAGTTTTTTGCTCAAAGTAGCTTCGCCATATGCCGTTGTCAATATTTAAAGTGTTTCGCAGCACTGTATTCCATTTTGTTACACAAAATTTTATGCCAATTGCAGTTTTAGCTACACTGAGCAACTTTTTTTTGTGAAACCAAAAATTACCTCCAATATAATTGCCATTGTTTTGGTTTCTGCGATACAGAGTGAAATTAAAAAGGTGAAAGCGCGTTATTATCGAAATTTCTTGGTAGAATATGGCGATCCGAAGATTTCTTAGTCAGTAACAAGTTTTAACAATTAACACGTTTCAGGTTTTATTTGAGCACGCAGAAAAAGGCACTGACCAAGTTCCTGAAATGCGTCAACTGGCACCACTCCAACGAAGTGCGCCAAGCGCTGCACATGATGGACATTTGGCAACCAATGGACGTCGAGGGTATACATTTTGAGTTTCCGATTTTTCACGTTTCACTCGTTATAAATGTCGCCCGCAGACGCGCTAGAACTGCTGAGCCCGAATTTCGCCCACCCCGCGGTACGCCGCTACGCCATTTCGAGATTGCAGCAAGCCCCAGATGACGAGATCCTGTTGTACCTGCTGCAGCTCGTGCAAGCGTTAAAATACGAGAATTTCGCGTCGATACAGGAAGGTAAAACGTCTGAGACTCCCATGCCACATTAAAACCTTCGCACGGAACGTTTTTCCAGGATACGAGAGGATATCGTCGGGCCACGAGATGTTCCCTCTCAACGAAGACAACGTCAGCTACCTGGAGAAGAAGGACAGCAAGGAGAGCAACAGCACCATCACCGGCGAATCGGTGTTGCAACGGTCGTCGAGCTACACCCACGAGGATCACCTCACGGCGACCGACGGTACCAGCGTCATCGAAGTCGACAGGCATTTGGTAGCGGTAGCCAGTGGTAGTCGTCGCATTTTTTTTCCTCAAAACCCGATTTTTTAGCCGTCGCAAAGTCTACCCCCTAACCTGCTTCAGAACGTATTTACGGATTCGGGCAACACAGACACCCTGCAGGAGGAGGAGGAAGAGGAGAACGACGTGCAAGACCTGGCGTCGTTCCTGGTGCACAGGGCGTGTAAAAACTTCACGCTGGCCAACTACTTCTATTGGTACCTCTTGCTGGAATGCGAGGATCAAGAGACCACCGTCAAGCAGGACGTAATTACGGAAGTAAACTAGCAGCGACGACGAGAAGACTAACGTGAATTGTTGTTTTCGCAGGAGGAGGTGCGCGGCATGTATTTGACGGTGATGAAGACGTTCTCGCAGACGCTGGCGAAGGGCACCGAGTCGATGCAAAAGAAGAGGGGCATGTTGGCGAAGCAGCAAAAGTTCATAGACAAGCTGGTGCAGCTGATGAAAGCGGTCTCGCGCGAAAACGCGAACCGAACGAAGAAGATCGTCAAGCTGAAACAGCTGCTCGCCGATCCGGACACGTTCAAGTACAACTTTTCCAAGTTCGAGCCGATCTCGTTGCCTCTAGACCCCGAGGTAATAGCTGATAACATTGTTTAATCGCATATTTTGCAAGCCTTCAAGGTTCGGGAATATTGCTTAAAATGCGTTATTCTTCCTTTTTTATTAAGGTATCTATGTAAAGTGCGTAACATAAAACGACCCCATGTTCACCAGGTTCGCTTTTTAAAACTTATCGTTTTGCATGTCTTATAGCAGTATTTCTCTTGCAATAAATTATTTATAAAAACTTCGCTTTGGTAACGGGAGGAACAATCGAAAACTATTAGTGCGCAAATGTCAAATTAAGTTATCCAATCATAACCTCGCTTTTTAGTTCTTTACTTAAGTTTTTCTTTAAGTGTCTAGAAGAAGTTTAGAATTAAACTAAACGGGACTTGTGCAAACGAAACAAGTTGGAAGAACAGCACTGTCTCTGAAAGTCCATGAAAATTCAAGTTTCATAGTAGCTACTGTAATACTGAATGTCAGAGGCATGCTAATTTAAGTAAAAACTTTCGTGGAAACCATTTGTCAGCTAGTGATTTAAAAATGTTATAAATCTGGTTATGTGTTTTTAGAGTTTATTAAATTTGTAGAAATTGCATTTTCATTGTTTAACTGTAGACAGCTAAGTTTCTGGGTGACCAAAAAAACACAAACTTTTCGGAAGATTGTTTTTCTTTTTTTTTTTTGGATGTCGGAATACGAAGCAAACTCTTCAAGTGATGAAGAATTTTTGTTTTATCTTCTAGCCAGAAAACTGAAAAATATCTGTCATTAGTAGTTCCAAGTAATAACAATTAAAAAATTAAAAAATAAATGGAAAATATCCCTCGGGCTCTTCGTTGTAATGACGATAAAGTTAGGTTAGCTGAAAATTATACAAATTTCGGCCCGGTCGCAAAAAAAAATTGCCAATCGATTTGAACTTCCAGTCTGGGACCAAACCAACTTACCAGCGTTTTGGTATTTATAAATCTTTAAGGTGCGGTTAATGTTAGTTGGGACCGGTGGTTCTCCACTCATAATTTTATTTTGTCTGTTGTCGGATTCTGTGCGTTTCAGTAACGACTTTTTAAATTTAAACACGTCTGACCGTTCGTTTAGGTAATAATAACGGGCATAGTTCCGGAGAAGGCGAGTCTTTTCAAGTCTGCAATGATGCCAGCGAAATTGCACTTTCACACGGGCGACGACAACGAGTACATGGCGATATTCAAGCTGGGCGACGATCTTAGACAGGACCAGCTCATACTGCAGATGATAACCCTGATGGACAAACTGTTAAACAAGGAAAACCTCGACCTGAAGTTGACACCGTACCGCGTGCTAGCGACGAGTACCAAACACGGTTTCGTCCAGTTCATCGAGTCGGTCACGGTGGCGGAAGTGCTTGCCATGGAGGGCAGCATCCAGAACTATTTCCGGAAACACCATTACCAGGAGACGGGACCTTACCAGATCCAGCCGGACATCATGGATGCGTACGTCCGCTCTTGTGCCGGCTACTGCGTGATAACGTACATCCTAGGCGTGGGCGACCGCCACCTGGACAATTTGCTGCTCACGCAGGACGGGAAACTATTCCATATCGATTTCGGGTACATTTTGGGACGCGACCCGAAACCTTTACCGCCCCCGATGAAACTGAGCAAGGAGATGGTCGAGGCGATGGGCGGCATGAGCTCGGAACACTACCAGGAGTTTAGGAAGCTGTGTTACACGGCGTTCTTGCATTTGCGCAGGTGATCGTTATCGTTAACGCGTCTGCGGCGTTGCCATGTACTTGTTTTTAGGCACGCGAACCTCATGCTGAATCTGTTCTCGCTGATGACCGACGCTAGCGTGCCCGACATCGCTCTGGAGCCGGACAAAGCGGTGAAGAAGGTTCAGGACAAACTGATGCTCGATTTAGGCGAGGAGGAGGCCGTCCATTATTTCCAGAATCTGATCGATTCGTCAGTCACGGCGGTGATGGCCGCCATCGTCGAACAGCTGCACAAGATCACGCAGTACATGAGAAAGTGATGTGGGCGCGAAGCATCGACCTTGTACTGCAACACTGTGATTTTTGCGTGCAAATAAGAATTATTTCCGAGATTTCAAAAAACCATGCGAGCCTAGCGGCTACCGAGCGAACTTGGGAGTGATCAACGTGTTAGGGGCAGTTAACAAGTGAAAATTTTTGAAAAATCGCTCTAAAGTTAAACACTTGTGGAAATAGTATTTCATTTTGGTGTCGTCGCCAAATGGAGAGGAAAAGGTAAAGTTGAATAATGTTGTAAACGAATAGAGTCAAAATTGCTTGTATTTATAAACACACATTTTACAATAAATATTCTAAAACCAAGAAAAACTGAACTAATAGGAATAACAACTTAAAAGAGAAAAAAATAAGAGACATATACCCGATATCCGATCGAACACGGTAACAGCGGCCGCTATAAAAATATACCCTGTGTTATAGCTAACAAGCCGGGATTTGAGTGTCATTTTTGGAGGTAACCATCGGCCTCACATTGTGCGTTTCGCCGTCGGATAAGAAGAATAATCTAAAATAATTTTTATCCCTTACTGAGTCTAATAATACTTATGCGCAAAGAGGCCCCTTTTGCCGCTGGAGTCAACAATATTCGTTAAAAAAAAAGTCGATATAATCTTAAAATTAGATCGCGGCGATAACGAGAAAAAAAAAATAGCGGGAAAACAGTTGGGCATTTCGGAGCGGTAAAAAAATGGCCTTGGTTCGTCCAGCGACGCCGCCCTGCTTACGTTATTATTTAAAGGATACATTTATAGCCTTCTTTTAAAATACAGTCATTGTCGACGAAAGTTAGGTTATGTTGGCGTCGCGTCTAGTGCGAGCGCGGCGGCCCGTTTTAAAAAATTCGCGAGGCACAGCCCGTTGCGACACGTCAAAATGTCGGTCCGTAATCGAACAAACTAACGTTACTCTTGACTATGACCACCCGACGTCAATGGCAGTGTTCCGTCACGTCGACGATGACCGACTTCTTCCAGCCGAAAAGGAAGTACCCGACTCCGGCGCCGGCCACCACCGCCAGACACAGCCACACGTTGTACGTCATGAAAATCAACATCAGAAAATAGCTGAGCACCATCTGCACCATATGCAAGAACGTTTGGAAGAAGTGGATCTTACTCAACATCGTCGGCCTAGAAACAAATTCTCCCTTAGCTATTTGGAATCATCCCCGAATTCCAAACGCGAAAACGCACCCGGGCGAATTTCGGGGAAATCCCGGCCAATAATCAAAAGTGCCAATCTAAGAATTTTTAGTAAACCCCATTAAAACTTAATTGACTAGTCACTGGATTATTCTAAATATTTTCAGGAATATGTCAGTTATTTTATCAGTCAGTTTATTTATATATGTGGTATTTATGAAATATTAAATTGGTCAAATAATAAAATCGCAGAAAACCAGGATAAAGTAGCGCAAAATAAAAATTGAATTCAGGATTTATTTTTAAAAAATAGTCGTTAAGCTAACGCCTGGATTTGGTAGTACAAACTGGTAGGCGTTGTTTTTTTATTGAAAATTTCGATATTTGTGCAAGAATCAGAAATATTGACGAAGTAGTTTGGAGACAAATACAGAGCTTTTAAAAAAATCCGTTTTCAAACTAGAAAGTATGTTGTTATATGCGCAGTACAATATGCTAAATTATGTGCACTAAAATCTTTTTCAGAGCTCTGAAATCATATTATATTTCACGATTCCAATTGGGCAACTCAGTGAAGAAGCTCAGAAATCACTAATTAAACATATTGAAAGGTATGACGAATCCAATGCTCTAAAATTTATTATAAAACAAAATATGAAGAATCACTTTTAGTAAGTTTTTGTATTATCTGATTCTCTAATTTCAAATATGAAAAATAATTCTAAAAAATTCTGACAGTATTCAACAGAAGTTTTAGTTTTCCTCGAACTAGAGATAAAAAGTGATTGCGATGAGAATATTATTGAGGAAAATGACTAGGTCAAAAATGTGGTTTTAGTTTAGGTATTAGTAAGATTTCTTTATAAATTAATTTTTCATCTAAAACAAACTTCTTTTTAAAGGTAATTTAAAGTTGCTGTTTTCATTATAATTCATTATATGATTAGTGGTTGGCTGAAATTTTGATAATGTTCTTATCAGGTCATGGGCATGATCATATGTGTAGGTGGATGGGAGAGGGGACGCAAAATATTTTTATTTATATCTCCTTAATTTTTTAAAGGAACTTCCACAGGCTACTGTAATGCTTTTTACAAAACTTCTGGATTCCTCCTGCAGCGGTTTTTGCTTAGTCGAAATTGCTGGAGGAATCTAGAAGTTATATCTTCTTAGTTTCGAAGTCGAATTAGGATAGTAAACGCTACAGAAGCAAGAATTTCAAATTTTTAGGGCTTTTGATTTTTCACATTCTTTGTAATATTTTTTATTACTACTGAAGAAAGGTCTTTAGGGTCAACTGCTAATCACACTAGCGAGTGAAAGTGAAATAAGAATGAAAAAGTGAAAAAAGAATTAAATGGTTATTCATTATTCACTTTTGTCCACCTTTTATCAATTTTTTTATTCGAATTCGAGGTTTCGTCCAAATTCGCCTATGTGCGACACCCACGTAAAAATCTAAAGCCAAAGCTACGACCGCGCAAATGCTACCAGGCATGCAGTTAGGGTGACTACGATCGACTAAGAGGCACAAAAATACAGAAAACTTACGGCTGTTTGTGAATGACCTCTCCGACAACGCTATCGTATGAAATTAAAATGAAAAACGAAATTAGGCGGGACATTAATGGCGACCCCAAGTGGCAATTTCCGAATAACACCATCGGAATTTCCCACCCGATGAAACAGTGTACTACGCAAGTTCTTAAATGCTGTCGCTGCGGACTAAAAACTAAATTTGTCCTAATTTTTTTGCGAAACTGAATGATCAATGACTTTTTAATAAAACATGCAACTATCGTACAGGGCGCTTCACAATTGGACTGGGATATTGCTGATGAATCTCCAGCAAATATTTTCAACGAGTTTAATGGCATTGTCGATTACTATCATAATGTCGGGGTTCCTAGAAGCGCCCTGTAAACTATAGGAAAGGGTCTGTTCATAATCTAATTCCGTTATCGTAATTCAGAGGAAGGAAAATACTACTCACTGGATGACTTGATTGTCGTCGGGCACCGATCCCTGGTCCGGCAAGTTAACCGCCCTATACTGCAGGGCGTTGTACGTTTTCCAAAACAGATACTCCCTGTAGTATTTCAAACCCTCGTAGAGGGCGGCCATGAAGAATATGCCGATCATCGAGCCCACGAGTCCGCCAACCGTCGAGAACGACCACTGCTCGAAGAGAACAGTCCCGCTGGTCGAAAACGTGAACTACAAAATGTCACGATATTTTTCGGTGGTACATTTGAACTACCCAATCGCATTGCCAACTCACGCACCCACATGTTCATGCCGTGCATGCCCTCGTAGCCTGTAACGTTCATGTCCATGTGGTCGGAGTGTAGACCGTGATGGCCCGCGTGACCAGAGTGGTCGGCGTTCATCTGGGTGTGGTCCATCATGTCGTGGGGTCCGTCGTGCATGTTGTGCTGCGACTCGTCCATGCCGGGTCTGAAAACAAAATAGATTTAAATAGTTTAGACTTTTTCTTATGCGGGCATCTTAAAAGTCTGGTTTATCACACCTAGTTAACTCTGCAGAAGAGCTTCATGATCGTATAAGAGCTTCCTGCGATTTAATAAGAAAGCACTGGAGGTATACTTCAAAGAGTGTTGCGACTTTTTTCGTAGTCGTTTTGGTTAGTTCTCTATTAACAATACGAATCGGCCTGGAAATAATTTTCCCAAGAAAATGAAAGTACCTCAAAAAAATAAAATATCTGGAATAAGCAATCTTACTTAAAAAAATATCTATGAATAAGATTCGACTATAAAAATAAGGTAAAGTTGACGACTTAGTCTGGCGACATATTAAAACTCGCAACTTGTAAAAAGCAACCTCTGTCATTGTTTCAAATTATACGCTCGATTCGTTATAATCCGAACACCGATGAGACGCAGGATGATTATTTGCTTTATTTTATCGCAGCGAGGTTGCTGTTGTTTCCTTTTGCGGGCATGTTGCTGGGAAGAGAAAAAAAGTGGAGGGCACCTAGATGCGACGTGGTAAATAAAGAGGAATTAAATAAACTTTACACTCGAATCTAAATAAACCTGAACGATTTGAACAGGATATGCCAATTAGGCCTGTAGTGTCTTTTGTAACAGCACCATCAGTTGAACTTTCAACAAAATTAACAAAAAATTTTGAATATCCTGTTACCTTTAAACCTAGATGTTATCAAAATTTTGTTCTAGTCGACAAGGTTAAAGACATTAAAATTTGTCCTAAGGAAATTCCAATTTCCTTTGACGTCCAAACTCTTATTTCCTAGCATTCCACCGTTTGACGTAATAAATAAACTTAATACACAATATTCTCGCTCAGAGACAAATCAACCCGATCATAAGACAACACTGGTTAGATAGTTTAATGGTTTGTTTAGACGATAGATAGAAGCATTAATTATAGAAAACCCAGTTAGTCCACTACTTGCAGAAATTTTCATGGATAACATATCATACATAAACATCCTCTGAGTAAAACATTTTTTTGGTGGTTTAGATAAGTAGATGATATTTTTGCTTGTGCTACTGGAACAAACAGTCCTTTTCGAATCATATACATAGATAGATAACTCTTAAAACTTTCTGGACTTTACTATAACTAAACTACAGAACAAATTAGACTATTCCATTTATCATAAACCCTCATAATAACCGGAATCATCCTCACACACATCAAATGGCTGCTTTTTATTCTTTTATCTAGACTGCTTAAAAACATTACAAATTAAACATTATTAAACAGACATATTTTAACAATGACTACGACCTCTCTTTGCTAGATAAGATTATAACTAAAAAACAGTTTTAAATAACTCTGAACTCCATCTTTCCCAAATTAAACACCGAACCCAAAATTTGCAAAACAATAAAATACATTGGAGAAGAACCTATTAAGAAAATTTTGAAACATCTATGTAAATTTGGTCTTAAGATTGCCTGTATAACTGAAAGCACCATAGAAAAATGTTTAAAAAACAATAAAACTAAATTATAAAAACCTCAAAAATCCGGAGGCTACAAGTTTAAATGTCCCAAAATTTATATCGGACAAACAGAAAATTGTAACAATTACATTACAGTGTAGAATGTGAATATGATGCGTCTAAATGAGATGGTAATTTTAATTGGATACTGAGACAAAATGAAAACTCAAGGAAAAAATTGTAATTTCTTTAACGTAAAATATCCAGAATGATCCATTACACACCTATTGAGTAAAATAGAGGGAAAATTTATAGGAAGGACATGTAATACATCATTTGTAGTCAGGTAGTCCCAAAAACTAATGAGAAGTTGAGGATAATCTTTAGAAATAGCTTCAAATAATAATGTTAGTCAATGAACAGCTTTGCGGGTATGAAAAGAAGAAAAGTATTACTCCCTTCAACATTACACTACTACAGGATATGTACGAAGATGATCCTGACCGCAAAATACAGTTTTGTGAAACTATAACGGAATGTGCAACTTAAATTTATTCTTTCATCGTCAGATACTGTTAAGTGAATGAAGCCACATTTTTTTTAATAGATAAATCATACACATCCTCAAAAATAGATGCTTCGATCAAAATCTTACTTTTTCTTCAGTTCCTACTCTCGCAGTGTCTGGTTTCAACAGGATATTGCTCCGCCCCATTTTGCGCGACAAATACGTGAATATTTAAATACGATATTTCCTTAACAGTGGATTAGTAGAAGGAGATCAAAAGAACGGCCTGTAAGATCTCCAGATATTACTCCAATTTTTTCCTTTGGGAATATTTAAAATCAAAAGTGTATATGGAAAAACCATAAAATTTAGATGATGAAATTAAAAATTAAATACGAAATAAGACAAATGAATGAAAATATCCTGATTAATGTTTTGGAACGGATTCTAAACCGTTGTCACATTGTCAAGAAGTTCATGGTGGCCATTTAACAATATCTAATAAAATCATTTGTTTGAAATTCCCCGTTTCTCTTTTAGTTCACCAAAAACTATTCCACCTAACCGCAAAAAAGCGGAGACGAAGATGACTCTTCACTCGGCTTGATGTCTCAATTGTCCCCCTACCTATTCCTAACTTTATATCAAGGTCTGTCGATCGCGGACAGTACTAACGAAACGGACCTGCGAATATACGCGACGAATACCATAACCGCTATCAGACACCCCAATTTCTTCACGTGACGCATATTGCTTCACCGCTGTCCATACCATTTCGATGTACGCCACGGCAGATAACAGACTACCGATAGCGATGCATAATGTGCACGTCTTATCGCCGTACCTTTTAGAATTAAACAAATTCAATGGCACCTACTTGAAAGCGATCAGATTATTACGCGACGAAAGTCAGAGGAGTTCTTACCATTATAAGCGTTTTTTTTTTTAATAATATCCAACCGTTATATAAAATCTCGAGATGTTATCGGCAGGGGTAATAAAACTCGCAATCAATCGCTCCCCACGGGCGAATTTTTTTATCGCACAAATTTCGACGTAGTTTTGCGCAATCACGGGCATTAGAATATTTCGCACCTATTGTCTGCGTATGCCATTATTGTCGGCCGTTTCGCCGAAAGCATTTTAGCGGCCTTGGGTTTAGTTTTATCGCGTTCTTTTTTTCAAACGTTTCCGAATACGCAACAAGAGACGGGGAGAGACAAGATCTAATCAACAACAGTGGCTATGTGGTTGGCCGATAAGTCTTATTTTTTTTAAATATTGAATGCACAACACTATGGAAGCGGAAAACAACTGATAAAAGGATATGAAGCACCGTCAACGAGGAAGAGTTTTTGTTTATGCCTGGGACAAAAAATATTTAATTTTAATTTAAATAATAAAATACTCTGCCAATAAGTAACTTGGTGTCAAAACCATCGTTACAACCAGTTTCTATACCGTCCCAGACGAATTCATCGGGTATTTGAACCACCAAAAACTTTGGTTGTTGAATGTAAAGAGAAAGAACGAGAAAAAAGACAAATAGCAAAGCACGATTTTTATGACTATATTTCGTCCTTGGGAACTTGCATCACTAAACAATTGGAAAAAAACTATAACGAGATTTTAATACAAGATATAAAATTGATAAAGTGATAATGTTTCATGCACTGTAGATGCAATTTAAGCAAGAGTGACTTTTACTTGCTTATTTTTTTACATGTATGTACACTATACAAAATCTGCTTAATTCCACTATTACCACACAGAAAAAATATGTAGCTTTCTATTAATGACTGCATCTTAAATATCAACCACTCAAAATATGAAAATTTTGAACATTCCGAATGAAACTCACAAGACTCCCCTAGGTCCAGCTATACGTTCCATCGCCTACATGGGACCCTTTTAAACTTAAATCCCTGCTTTATACCACATTGCCAAAAGTAACAAATTGTATTTATGGCACTTATGTAGGTCCAAAAGAAAAGGATATGAGACATAAAATTAAATCTTTGAACTAGTCTTGTTCACTATAGGATATCAGCACAATTTATATAACATACCCGTTTTATAAAAAAACTCGGAGAAAACAGTCTTGGAATCCACAATCTGTTAGTTCCCACACGTTTATGCAATTCCGCGTGCGGAATTTCGTGGAATGGAATGTTCCTTTCACTGCTTTAGATTTAAGGTTAAAGCTCCCTTAGATCATTTTCTGGAGCGACATCCTCCCAGCGAACTTTGTTATAGTCCAACACGTTACACCACCGCCGATTAACAAGTATTTTTAATTAATAATGCATATTAAAGAAAAGCTGGAAGCCCACAAACTTTCGCAATCAAAATAATGTCAGTGGGGATAATGAACAGCCAAAGCGATTATTTATTCGGCTATCGTCGGCAACGTAGAATACGTTTTCCCTGACTCAATTCGGCAGGCGAAGGTAGCCGATTTGTTTATTTCTCGTCGCGGTCTAAGAGAACGTCAAATTTGTCAAATTCGCCCACTCAGGCAACCCTTTAAACAATTCACTGTATGGCTGATTGACTAGATACTCAACAACTATATGTGCAATACGGAAACGCCCTGTCTAATATTAGTGAATATTTAAATCAAATTTGAATTTTCTAAGGAAAACATTTTCAAAAATTCAATACATATTTTTACTCAAAACTACCCATTCATGTCTAGTAAAAGCTTGTACAAATACTATTTAAATCCAACTTCTAGGTTGTGTTTGCTTAATATAAAAAAACAGCTACAATATTAGCGGATTATAGATGCAATAGAAACAAACTTTTTCTTATCTAATGAATTATTTTTTGTTAAGTTCTGCTTCTTTTTTTGTGTTTGCTGCCAAGCTAACAACGTAAACAACTTTCAATATGGACAAGGAACATAGACGAGACGAGACAAGGAAGAAGAATATGCCGGCCGTCTTTATCTAGTTAGAGCTTTTAAATTTATAGGTCCATTTTATCACTTTTAACTTGTAATTTAGTCGCGACTTGCGAAGCGAGCGAAGGTCAACTTAAAATGTCGACGGTTGGTAAGGTAATATCATTACAATATCAATCATAGAATGAAGAACGTAATATCGCATCATTCCTAGGTCATTAAGTGCAAAGCCGCGGTTGCCTGGGGCCCAAAAGAAGATCTTAAATTTGAGACCGTGGAAGTTGCGCCTCCTAGAGCGCACGAGGTTCGAATAAAAATCCTTCACAGTGCGGTGTGCCACACGGATGCATACACCCTCAGCGGTCAAGACCCCGAAGGAGTGTTCCCGGTCATCTTAGGTCACGAAGGGGCCGGGATTGTGGAAAGCGTTGGCGATGGCGTTACGAACGTCAAACCGGGTGAGTTTTCAATTTTCCCAGTTTATTGACTGCTTATATGAGATGCAATTCCTAGGTGATCATGTCATTCCTTTATATGTTCCGCAATGTAACGACTGCAAGTTCTGCAAGTCGCCCAAAACCAATTTGTGCCAGAAAATTAGGGTGACTCAGGGCAGGGGGGTCATGCCAGACGGGAGTAGCAGGTTTACATGCAATGGAAAAACCGTATTCCATTTCATGGGCACCTCAACCTTCAGTGAATACACTGTGGTCGCCGATATTTCAGTAACAAAGGTAGATAAGATGACTTTGAAATTATTAAGGTTTTGTCCAAAATTTAATCAAACATGTCCATTTGCTAGATTATCAATCCTTGATTTGACCTCTAGAGTTCAAGGTTTCCTTTATTATTTCTTATGCAACCTGAAAAATAATAGTTGCTGCGGTCACAATTACATTAGGATTGGGGTGACCTTAACAAAATTACATGGATTTTGAATAAATTAATTGTCAAAGAATATAGATGGTCGAGGAGGGTTGATTTTTTACAGAAAATTTGTATATAAAATTGGGATTAGTACTTTTACTGATGTTATATGTTAGGAAAAAGATATCAAAATGCTGTTTTCATTACCAATTTAGACTCTTATTTTTTTATCATAATGAATTTTAATTTTATTGATAACACCCTCTAGCGGCGAATCAAGAAATCTAATTAATTAATAGCAGCCTTTCTGAAGTCATCGACTTATTATTTCCTTATTTTCGAAAATGTTCGGACACCCTCCACCCTGTTTCTCTTAAGGGAAAAACCAAAAGATTCGAATTTGTGCCAACTTAAGATTATTTCTCAAAAAACGGGATTTAAAATTAAAGATTGCGATTCTTAATTGGCTAGCCAGTACAAAAATTTTAAAATAACTACCTCTACTTTGATTTAATTCATTAAAGAGGTGTGGATATTTGTTGGATAATAGGTTAGCGAGGCGGCACCCCTCGACAAGGTGTGCTTGTTGGGGTGTGGGGTGCCCACAGGCTATGGAGCCGCCCTCAACACTGCCAAAGTCGAGAAAGGCAGCATCTGCGCGGTGTGGGGCCTCGGCGCCGTCGGTCTTGCGGTGGGACTCGGCTGCCAAACGGCCGGGGCTTCCCGGATAATTGGAGTTGACCTCAATCCGAGCAAGTTCGAAGTAGGTGCGTACCCAGTTTCATTGTATATGGGCATGCAAAATTATAAGGATTTAAAAAAGTTTCGTTTTTGGGGCTACATATTATCAAAGTCGTGTTTTTTAAAATTAAATAAATATATCATTTTTTGGATCCTACATTCATAACAAGTGTTTTTCTTTTATTAATCTAATCTAATCTAACTATCTAATAAAATATTTACAAAAGTCAACGGGGACAGTGCAGAAAATTGTATATGAAAATAAGAACAATGTACTATCGAAAAAGGTAGAGAAAAGTAGACAATTTCCATTGGAAGAGTGCTTTGACCCATGATAGACCATTGGGTACCGTGCGTTCAATTTATCTTGATAACATTTTAATTGGCAGTAACTGCTAAAAAGGTGTTTTAAATGAAGGAAATAAGGCAAACACATTAGGATCCTATTAAACACATCCAGATTCCTCTATTACTAGTGTATATGAAAAGACAGGTATTTCTTGAGGATCAATCCACTCAGTTTTGAAAGAATATAAGACTGATGAAAGACTGATGAAAGTTTGTTCACTACAAGAAAGGGTTGTAATAGACAAAGTATACGATATTGGTCTTTAAATAATCCTAGACAAGTACACGAAATAAAAACCCAGGGGTACCAATCAATTAAAGTACGGTGTGGTGTGATAGATAGGCATATTTTGGTTGCGATATTTATAGGTCAAAAGTTAACTAGACATCATCCTTTGCAACTCTTAGAGCACCAAATTTAATTTTTTTTTTCTTTTGGGGACACATAAAAAATCACGTGGTGCACAGAACTCCTTGTAATAATGTCGTGGAACTTCGGCAAAGGATTTCAAAAGCAATCAATCAGTTAAGACACAATCCAGAAACGTTACTAAATGCAAGACATCATACAATTAAGAGTGTACAAGAAATGTGTTCAGGTGGTCACATACTACAGTATTTTGAATAGTTTTTTTTTTTCTACTGTAGTGTGTCGTGTCATTTTGAGTGTTTTTGTTTTACTTTAATTTATACATTGTTGTTGCAGTCAGTCATGGTACTCTTTGAACTTATATAAAAATTTCCTATTTTTGCCGACTTGCCAAAAACCAGTGGACTAAAATATGAAGTGTGTTACATCATTGTAATCGGAATAAGATATTCTATTAAGTGTTATGTTTTATGCGTCACTTGGAAAAAACTTGACTACTAACCCTACATTTTGCTTTTTCTTTACCTTTATATTTCTAAAAACAAAAAAGTTCCAGCCAATTGAAATGTTATCAAGATAAATTGAACATACATATGTCAGAAATGAAACTTTTTCAAAATTTTGTATTTTAGTGGCAATATTCGTTGCCTTATGAGATGAACAAAATATATTTTTTACATCCCTTCCAATTAGCCAAAAATTTCGGATTCAACGAGTTCATTAACCCGAAAGACTACGAGAAGCCGATCCAAGAAGTACTGATAGAATTGACCGACGGCGGTCCGGATTACACGTTCGAGTGTGTCGGCAACGTCCACACCATGCGGGCCGCTCTGGAGTCGTGCCACAAAGGGTGGGGCGTGTCGACCATCGTGGGCGTGGCGGGAGCGGGACAGGAAATCAGTACGAGGCCGTTCCAATTGGTGACGGGGCGCGTGTGGAAAGGGACCGCCTTTGGCGGCTGGAAGAGTCGGGAGAGCGTGCCGAAACTGGTGGACGAATATCTCGCCAAGAAACTGAAGCTGGACGAGTTTATCACGCACGTCCTCCCGTTCGATAAAATTAACGAGTCATTCCACCTTATGCACAAGGGAGAGAGGTAAGGGCATTTGGGTGGGCGTAGACTTGGACGGGACTTAATTTTGTTTGTTCTAGTATTCGCACGGTGTTGAATATCGCCTAGGAGATTATGGCACAGGGCACCTCAGTTACCGAATTTGTCTAATTTTTGCAAAAATAAAAGGGTCGCGGAAAATGGCACCGGCTTATTATTTGACCTAAGATTCCCAATCAATCTATTAATTGAAATCCAAAATAATTTATTAAGTTTGAACTTAAAACAGTAAAGTCCGGATGTAAGAATTCAGAACTTTGTTTTGCAATTTAAAGAATTTTGGATGCATCTCTTTCACTCTACCAGCACTCAAAGCAGTACAAAAAAAAGGCACTAATTTTATACAGCCTAAACTTCGGCAAAAGCTCAGTTGCTGGTACCGCCGTTATTGATATGGCATTGTTTGCTGATGACAAACCTAGTCCTAACTTACCGACTAGTTTACTATTTTACCCGCCAGGCCTCTGCAGGGGTTGGACTACTCCGACCTTAATTATATTATGTACCCCCAACTAAATTATGCTCTAAGATTGACGTGTCTATTAGTAAGAGGATATTTACTCTACAAAGGACCTGTAACCAAGAGTACTGCAAACGAAACTTTATAAACCCGAAAATAAGGTACCCTCGATCAGCAAGTCTTTTATATGTCAAAGAGAACATTAAAATTTAGTTTTTTTTTTAGAAAAACATTTTATGTACTTGGGATACCAATTTTTGTATTAAAATAACTAAGTCAATAAAAAAGTACTAAATTAGCTGCAATAAAACTGTCAAACAGGGACCTTTCTGCAGTGTTAAATTGTTTTGTCTTCTCTATGTTTCGTCGTAACCACAAACCACAGTTATACTGTGGTCGTTGTAGCATTTTTATAATGAGAATCGTTTTATTGCTAATATTACGAAATCTACAACTACAAAATTTTTTATATTACTTTTCGATCACCCTGTATTTATTTACTTTTTAAGTATCGACACAGACCACTAAATAAATTCCCCAGCTATAAGAAAATTAACGGCAAATATATTACAAAGGCTTCGAAGAAATCGATAGGTACATTGCAAACGTTACTTTTGACATAAAATTCAAAATATGTCGGTAACGGTATAGCATATAGAATATGCCTAGAATTTTCCGGAGAAGTCAAGATTTATTTATTCTACTGGGTCTTATATTTAAAATAAAGTTGTCACTTGTTCGCAAAAATACAACTCTAGGTGTTTTTGATATTTTCCGCCAGCTAAAGGGATCACTACATAATAAACGGGCCACCCAGCATATTCCTTAAACAGGTCTTTGATAATTATCTAAGAGGCAATGAATATAAAATATATGTAAATTAATAAAGAATTAACAACATGAAAACTGGAATTTTATTTAAAAAAAAAGGGTATTACTGTGTTTAAAACTTTTTCGGCTTCTCACACTTCCACGTGTGTAAAATTTTTTTAATCGCCTTGGCACAAAACGCAATAACGTCATCATCTGAGGTGAGACTTGATGTGCCTGTTCAGATAACTATTCTCGAGGAACCCCCGACCGCAGATATTGCAAAAGAACCGCTTCTGGCCAGCGTGGGTCCTCTGGTGGATGCGCAAGTTACTCTTGAGCGTGAAAGACTTGCCGCACTTGTCGCACCCGAACGGCTTCTGGCCGGAATGCGTAAGGATGTGCTTTTTGAGCACCTGGTGTGTGACGAAACGCTTGCCGCACTGCTCGCACGTGTAGTGTTTCTCGCCCGTATGGCCAGCCATATGGGTGCCGAGAGCGACCACGAACTTTCCGCATATCGGGCACATGTACTTGACACACTTGATGTTATGCACGAGCCGCGTGTGCCTCGCGCACTCTATTCGACTGGGGAAGTCTTGGTCGCACACCGAGCACGGGAACTGACCACTGTCCTGCTTCGTCTTGCCAATCTAAACACGTTTTCTATGTATTTTGCGCATATAGCTACTAGATCATACGGGCCTTGTCTAAACTGATAAAACAGGAACTGTCGAAAACAATATTCAAATGGACCATTTATACGTGTGTCTAAGAACTGTACACCCTTGTAAAATATTTCTTTATGGTTCGATTTAGATAATTTTCTTTTCTTGGATAGATCTCTGAAAAATGTACTAATACCTTGTTTTCCTTATTGCTTCAACTTAAATGCATGGTCAACTTGGACTATTTAACAAAAGAGAGAGAATGAAGAAGTTCTATTGGGCATTTAAAAAAAATAAATTGCCGACGAATTCTTATTCGGGGGCACTTAGAACCCAACTATCCCAATTCCTATAATGTATCAATGTTTGTTGGTGGATAGATCTCTCAAAAACGGAACCAACTTTTGATGTTAAACATCTAGAAGGGTTATTAGGGATTTCGTTAAGAATAAAGTGTCAACGAATTCTTATTCAGGACTATATAGAACCTAACTATACTAATGTCCAAGAAGTTCGAATACAGGGTGGTCAAAACACCGAGGGCTCTCTTAAGCATTACTCTTGTAGAATGTTTGTTTATAGCTCAATTTTGAGAATTCTTTTTTTGGTGGATGGAGCTTACTTAAATGTTTTTCTTTTTTTTTTTCGTATAGCATCGACTAACTGATGCAGTTTTGTGAAGCGAAAAATCGAGAACTACTTTTAGAGATTTATGCAAATTGAAAATCACAACATATTCGTATTCTGCCTAAAAGTAACTAGACCAATTACCAAATTTTACAAATTTTAATTATACAAATTTCAAAAATAATATTAAATAAGACTTTTTAAGGGACATTTATTTTGTAGTATCATCTTAAATCAACAGCATTAATAAATCCATAAAATTCGAAAGGTATAATGTAGAGACTAACTAATTCTCTTGAACGACTAAGCTAATGACTGATGAAATTCGGAAAAGTGTCTGAGGTATTTGAATAAACTCCAACTGTTCAAAAATTAGTTTATTCATTCAAACCGATAAAATGTCTTAGTTGGAAATTAACGTAACGTAACGTGGAATGTAACATTAAAAAAAAACAAGGACCATTAATTTATTATTATTATTATTATTAATTTAATAATATGAAGTTGATAGGCCTACTGAAAAGATGAAAAGTTGATTTTAGACACTCCAGACTTTTAAGCGTTCCTTTTAACATATCTATCTCTTCAATTAAATTAAGGCAAAAGTAGTTTCTGTGATCGTTGGAATATGGGATAGCATGTACAGGATAGTATAACAAAAATAAGTCACCAACAGCAAATGAAATTTTGGGAAAAACTAAATTGCTTAAAACAAAATGGAAATTAAATATTAGTTATTTCAATTAGGTCACCATGTTTCTCTATGCACTTTTCAATGCGCCTTTCCTTATCGACAAGCTTCTCTTAATCGGAACGCAAAGGTTTTCTTTTGTTTGCGGTCATGATGAATGAATTTTACATTTTAATGTTCCCCACAGACAAAAATCTAGCGGCGTGATATCTGGGGCTCACGGTGGCCAGCAGATAAAAGGAATATTTCGTCCAATCCAACCTATAGGAAAATTTTTGTTTGACCAATTCCTTGCACCAGCCGAGTTACGGATAGGAACACCATAAAGCTGCAAATACAAATTGTACCGATCCTCGAGGAGTAATTCATCAATTTCACGACTAAATTCATTTTCTAAAAATTGGAGAAAAATGATCCCGTTCATGAAAAAAGTATGGTCCAATTATTTTTTCGTTTAAAATTCCACACCAGACGTTCCACCTTAGTAGACTACTGTCTCTTGCACTGTATCACCCAATGCGGACTTTCTTTACTCCACATTCCAATATTCCGAGATGAAACCGAAACGTTTGTAGTAAATGTTGTTTAATCAGTGCACAAAATATTGTTCAGAAACTTGGGATTTTCTAACTACATAGTAGGCAAGGATAGGCAATACCTGATTCTTCTTTCGCAGTCACCACCACATTCGAGAGTATGCAGGAATTTGGATTTAAAGGCTCCTTTCCTGCTTTTTTTCAACTATCTCCAGACGCAGTTTTTGGAAATTTGAGACAGTCCCGTTCTGACCAAAATATCCACTAATATTCGCAAATGTCCTGTGATTAATATTTCGGCCAGGATATTTAGTCCCATTTGCCATGACTTCAGGTAGATATAATAAGAAACATAACGATTTAGTGGGTTTTTAAGAGATCTATCCATGAAAAAATCAACCCGTAAGCAAAGATTTTACAAAGGTGTACAGTTCTTAAGTCGAACACACTGTATATACGCGTCGTTTGAAATTTCGTTTTCAACCAATGACACCTAGTGGCGTCCAACAACCAACATCGCCGCTGACAGTTCGCCAATTAGACAGGTTTCAGTTTAGATGTGGCATTTTTACAGCAATATTTTCTTAAAATATGTCCAGATCTCAATAAATGTTCTTGGAAAACGAATGTGTGGATATCGCCGATTTATCAAAAAAAAATCTGAAAGTGCAGGTTAGTGATGAAATCTAAAGACATGCGCCGAAGATCATTACCATCTCTATCAAATAGCTACCAAATAATATAGCAGTTCTATAACGGTAAAAATTGAGGTGCCGCAAGCGGCTATAATCTTTTCGGACATTATTAGCAACCCCAAGCCAAGTCATTGCTATTGCCACAGAATACCAGTGCCATGGTTATTTTCATTTTTGGTGTTTGGGATTGCCTCCGTACTTTTTTGTGTTTTTTGATAAAAATGCCCACCCACCGGAAAACCTGTTTGTGGTCAAAACTGTAAGGAAAAGAATGTGTATATTCACTGTGTTGCCTTATGTATAAGATAATTAAAAAGATTTAAAGGTGGTTTATATAGAACTCCCACTCACAACAAACTTTGCTCTTTCACGAAATCACAGCAAATTTGATAGAATCTTTCACAAAGCCAAGTAAGATCTATTTATTTGTCATGTAATACACTGGATCTGGGCATATTTTGAGAAAATACTGCCGTAAAATTGCCGCATCCAAATTATTCATGATTTGTCAGAGGCCATATTAGTTGTTGAATGTCGCAAGGTCCTATTGGCCAAACCCCCGAATTTGTAATAGCAGGTGTCATCTCAATTTTTTTTTTCATGTTTGTTTCATAAGTTTATCAGCATAAATAGGCCATCCATTATCTCTAGTAGCTATCTCATATCATAGCCGCCCGAGGCGTATCAATTTTTAACGCACTAGGGCCACTACATTATCTAATAGCTATGTGATTCTGTTCTGATATTAGGACGTTATAACAAAGTTTACAGAATAATAATTTATTTACGATCCCTGTCTCAGTGAAGTTGGCCCAAAGCCGCAAAATATGGTATTAGTGAATCTCATCCATTTGAGGACAATTAATTTTTTATTTCAAGTTTGCTTTCTTTAAATGTTTATGCAAAAATAATAAAATAACTAAAAATAAATTATAAACTAAAAATATTAATTAATTATACAAAACTGGATCTGAGGCTTAAAAACCCAGAACTGAAACCTAAAATGGATTATCAAGAAAAATTGGAGGGCTAAATATAACGAATAGACAGCTGTTTGCACTATTTTTTGGAACTTAATATCGTGCCTCAGTCGAGGCACGCCTACCTACCGCCTTCCCCGCACCGCTGTTGTTGCTCTGGAGAAGCGGAATCGACAAATAAATTAATGTGATTCGTTGATCAGTTTGATAGTTTAATTATGCCATCTCAAAAACAATATTTGAAAGCAGTTTTTTAATCATACTTGGAAAAGTACGTAAAAGTAAGGTAAAGAAACTAACTAAGCTGATTATATTACACAACCTATAAAAGTTCTATTTTTTTAAGAACTATCTTTAAAGATGTAATAATAGATACTGCTTATAACTTTAAGTGTTCTCATAAGAAGTACTTACTTTTACTACCTAACTTTTTTCTAACCCTTTATCTAAAATTTGCGTCTCCTTGTAATAGTTCTCGTCCAGAGTGGCAGCTCGCTTTAAATTTCCAACTACTACTGCTGTCAATATCAAGTCAAGCAAGAGTCAAATAGCGATGGTTTGTTAATATTTATTTCTTGCTGAGAAAAATCCAACCAAGTAATATGGTCAACAATTACTTTTAAAATAGGAAATCATAAATACAGTTACATATTTCAAATATTCCACTTTGTCATCGAAACTATTTGTATAAGCCTCGTATTGAAGCCGTCTAATATTTCAATCGGAAATTACATTTAACATACTCTGTATCATCAAGAAAAACATGTATAAAATAGATTTAAGCAGAGTGAAGCAACTTATATATTCTGCAAACTTTGTCAATAGTCTCTCTAAAAACAAGTAAACAATGAAAAGGAAATTTGAAATGAATTAAGTTAGGTCCATGCTGCTGGAACATAAGCAAAGATTTACCACAGGTTGATGACACTAAGTATAGTTATTCAGGAAAAATAACGCTTATGTTAGCAATGATACAAGTTTATTCTTATGGTATTTTGCTGGTGTTACCTTTCCTGATACTAATTCTGGAGTTTCTCAATATATTACGAAGAAGAACCTCTTCAAGCTAATACTCTTACCATATGAAGGTTGGAAGAGGTTTTATAAGATTCTAAGCTATTGTCTAATAGAAAAAAAAATACTTGCAACTTATTTTGACTAGATGGATTTTTTGATTCTCATGTATATTTTATTTTAAGAATTTAGAATATGATGGTTGATGTTGGCTTGTCTGTTCAATATTATTGGGCCTACATACCTTGTGCCTCTCCATGTGACGTTTCAAGTAAAGCGGGTTAGAGAATTTTGTGTCACATTCGGTACATTCATGAGGGAACTTGTTATCATGCATCAACAAATGGTAGTCGTAATTTTTCTTCACAATGAAACCCTTGCCGCACTGTTCACACACGTAGGGCCTCTCCTTGTCATGGGTGTGCAAATGCAGTAACAGATACCTTCGTTTTGGAAAAAACCGTCCGCACCTTTTGCACTCAAACTGGTTATCGTTCCTGTGCAATTGCAGATGACGACGCAATTCGTCCCCGGGAAACTTTTTGGCACAGAATGGACAATCATGTATTACGGGTTTTTGGGCAAACATGGCCATCTTGTTACGGGGGTTTGTGTAAAATTTGACTTTGTTAGGTAATTTCGGAGCCGCGTTTATGTACTTTCGCAAGGACTTGTGTACCGGTGCATGTTGTTTGAGGTCGAACGCGTTAAACTCTTTCATACATACAGGGCATGGGTGCATAGTTTCAAGTGCCTTATCTTCAGTTTTGGTCATTTGCATTTCATTTTCGGGTACAAACAGATCGGTTTCAGAGACGTCCTCAGTAGGAGTGGTCGCACCTCTATCATCTGACAAAGGTAGAGACAAGCGGGGTGAAGAAAGGTACTTTTTTAAAATCTCTGCATTATACTGATATTTCAGTTTGAAAGTGTAAGCGTTTTCCAACAGTTGGGCGCAATCCATGCACATGTTGAGAGGTAGATCTGGATTGCATATCTGCAAATAAGGAGTATAAAATGTGTCGTTTACAAAACCAAAACGTCTAACCCATTCTAAAGTATCTGAGGTTAGGGAAGCAATAATTCGCGGTATCTGAATCTCCAGGGCATTGATTACTAAACTTGAATATATCGAAAACAAATCGTCCTTGGATTCTAGGCATATTCGACATAACTTCCCAATCATTTCCGACGTTATATTACATGCCATTTTTATGCAGCTTAATTAAATGTGACCACCGATTATCCAAAATAACAACAGACAATAGAGATGACAACGTTTCCACCATAAAGTCTTATTTTCTTGCTTTTAACTACGTGGGGCAAATTAGTTAAGGACACTTGGTAATTACCAACATCGCTCATTGATTTTTCTCTATTCTGTGGATTAGACACTGACCAAATACAGAACTGCCAAAAGCGCCACCCAACGTAACAACCAAACATTTCGCGTGCATCGTTGCGTTAGCGTTTGTATTCAAGATAAAATGGCTTCCGATTCATTGAAGTTTGAGCCCAACCGACGCGGCTTTAACGAAAAGGAAGGTTCGCGGAAGCGCCGAATAAGTCAAAACTCAGATACAGGCGGGAAACGCAAACAGTTCAATGGCGACGAGGACGACGGCTACAATTTCAAAATGCTGGTCCCAAACGGAGTGGCCGGCGCGATCATCGGCAAAGGCGGCGAGACTATCGAAAGGATACAAAAAGATAGCGGGGCACGCGTTCTGGTGTCTAAGTCGCACGATTTCTATCCCGGGACGAACGAGCGCATTTGCCTAGTTACTGGTAACAGGGAATCCATTCTGAACATTATAGACTTTGTGCTTGAAAAGGTCTGTGAGAAATCATCAGAGAATCAGAGGGACAATGGTGAAGGGAGCCAAATAAAGATCGTCATTCCCAACAGCACCGCCGGGATGATCATAGGCAAGGGAGGGTCCTACATCAGGCAGATTAAAGAGGAAAGTGGCTGTTCGTTTGTTCAAGTTTCCCATAAGAACAACGACATGAATTTGCATGAGCGTTATGTCACCATCGTCGGTAATTACGACGAGATGAAGCACGCTTGCGATTTGGTAGGTGATTATATCCCCCCCAAACAGATAGTTTTTTGTATATAAAAATTATCTACTAAATTGTTACAGGTATTGGGCAAAATTATGGAGGACCCACAGAGTACAAATTATACAAATGTCTCTTACAACAACTTTGATCGTCCACCCTCAGGTCACAATCATAATCAGAGGCCACCAGATGGACCCCCGTTCAACTCTATGGGGCCCATGCAGCAAATGCAGATGAATAAACCCATGAACAATTCAGGGGTGAACCTCAGTATAAACCTGAACTCTGCAGGCTCCAACAGCACCTTGGGGGGTCTATCTCAACTGCTTGATCAAATAAAAATGCAGCTGAAAGGTTGTGGACTGACTGAATTGGAGGTTATGGAAGTATGCGCAGCGTTGACTGTGCTGGCCAAATATGGGATCTTAGGATTGGGAGGCTTGTCTATAGCCAACATTACGGACTTGTTAAGTCAAAGGGGCGACAATAGAATGTTTGGCACGCTGGAAAAAATTATTCAGGACTGTCTGATGACGAAACCTGCACCTTTTGGGGGTGGTAGTGGACCCGATAGGTCACAGCCATTTGGGCCTGGTCCTAATAGGTTTGGCCCAAATTCTTCTATGAATAGGGGTGGCAACTTCAGGAGAAAATAAATATCCACCTCCAAATAATAATTTTATTTATTATAAGTTCAAATTCGACAATTTATGTTAGTTTCATAGATCTATATTTCAGATATTCTTTTTTTATGCCATTGTTCATGCTCTGGGATACCTTTCCTCTCAATGTGTACACCTACCTAATGATCCATTAAAGTAACTGTAGTTTTTAATAAAATTTGCAAATCATTGTTCCAAAATTTTATAAAAAAAAGTGACCTAGGTATTATTGTTTTTATCTGCCCAAGATTCCTGACTAATGCACCCGGCAGTATAGAGAAAAAAAAAAAAAAACTTAGTATGCAAGTCGATAATTATTGCTACTCCCGGAGGGTTTCATAACTGTTACTCCGCAGACTGAAAAAATGTGTACTTAAAGCCTGGTCCTCGGAACTGTCCACTGTCACCAGCGACACCCCCACCACCCCGTCGCTCAAAAAGCAGACACCAATTGACAGTTGTTCATGGGGTCCCTTGAGATTAAGTTTTTGTGCATAAATATAATAACCCCAATAAGAAAGGTTTAAAAACCATGGGTGGCCTTAAACCTAGAAGGGAACATGGGCAGCGAAATGAGAAATATTCGTAAAAGAATATACCAGTCTCATTTAAAAGCGTTACCTTTTTGTAGTGGGTAATATCTATTACCTGTAATTATATGATCTTTTCGACCAAGTAATATATATTAATAATACTGAAATAAACTTCCTGCAGATACTGGGTTTTTCCATTACATGGAACGAAATAAATTAGGTTCTAGTGGAAGAAATGAGAAAATCAATACAACCAGCACCATTTTTATTAATGGGCTCAGAATTTTTTTATTTTGTTTCACACAGATGCCCAGCAGAAAAAAAATTCAAAAAAAATCCAAAGGTCCCAAATAAAACCCAAAACGGCGAACACCTCCAGTGAAAGCATAAAAAATTAAATTCAACTTCGATACGTGGCAAGAATCAGAGATGCTAGCCAGGAGGTTCTGAAAATGAAGCTTAACAAGTATTCTTGCGGTCAGTTGAAGATAATAGAATCGGCTTCTATACATTCTGTGAAAATCTAACCTATGATATCAATTTTGTATTCTGCGTAGGTCTACTGTTGATTGTGGAACAATTATTTAAAAAACTGAAAAATAATGAACGCGGCGATTAATATAGGGGTCGAGGATATGACCGCGACAATAGTGAGATTGATGCTGTTTATAGGCGCCGTATTTCAATTGGTTTGTTTGGTCGCCTGTATTTTTATGATCGATTCTACTAACGACACAAGCTGGGGTTCAAGAGTAATTCAGTAAATCAGTCAGATGCTGATATTCAAGTTGCTGGTTTCAGGACAGCGAAGACGACAGCTCCGAGCACAGTACTCCTCAGAACACTCCACGCAGGCCACACCACCGAACTAGGAAGCAGGAAAAAAAGAAAAGGCGTTAAGAGGATTCAGGGACTGTGCTATGCCTGGCGACTTTGGAAGAGTTTAATAGGAACTAACTGCATGTTAGGAAATAAATGATTTTGCCTTTATACATGTGAAGCCGCTTTCCAGTTAATTAATAAGTTGATTAACAGTGTTGCAGTTTAGTACTGTCTTTGATGTATTTACTAGTTCAACTTTTAAATGTTTATAAATGGATTTAAGTCACTTTCATTTGGTTTAATTATGAAAAGATTTTTCAGGGGTAAACTATTTCCTTTAGTTTACTTGAAGGTAAGGGGAACCCAAAACAAATTATGAAGTTAATAGAGCAAATAAAATTCCCTTTATAAAAAAAATATACTTATGTATCCATAAACTTTCGATTTTTGTATAGGTTAGGTATTGGTTTTCCAATAATAACTACTAATCCAGGGTAATCACGAAAAAAACAGCAAAAATTATTTTTCTGGAATGCGCTTGCGCGGCGAGTGGAGAATCTAAGTAGACTGACCAATCTATTTTCTTTAGACTGCCATACTGTGAACGCCATGAATGTCAACAATAAATAATGAATTGTTTAGAAATAAAGCTATTAAAAGCGAACGCATGGTGAATAATAAAGTTGCATGAGACAATAGCTTACGATTCAAAATGCAATAGCTCATTTAAAACATGGGTAAAGGGGAGAAATAATGCTAGTTTTCGGAAAGACATGAAATTTGTGGTGGTGTGTTTGTGCGTTGTGTTGTTTATAGTAGAGGTAAATTCTGCAGATTACGGGTTGTGTCCTGCCAATTGCACGTGCAAAGTCAACTCCCAAAGAGATGGGGCCAACTATCTTAAGATGGTCTGTGGAGAGACAAATAAAATTACCAGTCTGGAGCAGCTTGAACTGCTCAATCTCGCCAACGAGCTTTCGCAGCTGTAAGTTTCAAGTTAAACCTTCAAATAATGTAAATTTTATCTTTAAATCATTAGGAATCTATCCAACAATCGTCTGAAGACATTTCAACCAAAGGTGGAATTGGTGGCTCTTCAGAAATTGTAAGTGTTTCATGTTTTTTACATGTTCCTTTGACAAAAGGCTGTCCATTATTCAAAAACTGTATCTGTATTTCGACACTGGCAATCAAAACCCAACCAAGAGTATGCTTAATTAAATGAACCCTGTGACCCCAGTTTAAATCGTTTCGATTTCAAAATGGCAGGGCTCAGTAGCCCACAGTTTAGAGGTCTCTGTAATTGCTAGTCTGGTATGTAAAGCAATCTGTTAATTGTATTTATTCATTGTACAGACTTATTTAGGAAAGGGCATTGTCCTTTATGGGACAAAACTAATGGTAAACAATTTCATCTATTATTCAACCTTTCACCTGCACACCACATTTGGGTAATAAAAGGTTGGGGGGAACACCTCTTGGAAGGGTTCCTTGTTTTTAAATGACTTTTACAATGCTCAGCTCTAAATTAACATTTCGTTTTATCAAAAACACCTAACAACTAATTTCAGCCATTCAAATAATGCTTAATAAATTTGTTGGAAAATAGTAAGTGTGCAATTAACATAGCAGGTAGTATTTTTATTTCCGACAAAGGAAACATCAACAAAATGACCAGAAATTATGAAAATTTAAAAAATTATAAACGCTCCTATTATTAACGCTAGTGAACTACATTCTAGTAGTAGCCACAGCTATACCAGGCTAGAAAATTGCTTTATTGGTTATAAATATATTAATATTATATTATCAAAATGCCAGTTGTAGTGGACACCGCCTGCTGCGCAATCGTTACTTCAAAATTCCGCGCTAAAACCGCGTAATATTGCAGAAATTTAAGCGGTAATGACATTAACGTACTTTCCAAACACCAATTCCGCGAAGTACCCAATTTACGCAGACTGGATTTGTCTATGAATTCCCTACGGCATGTAGACGTGCTTGCGTTCGAGGGGCTTCACCATTTGGAAAGGCTCAAACTTAACAACAATCTTATCACGACCTTGAAGTTGGGCACCTTCAACAGTCTCTCCAACCTCAAACAGCTGTTAGTACTCAATCTGGTAACTTACTTTCTCAATGTGAACACATTTAAATGTTTTAGGGACTTGTCCAACAACCCTTTGCAGTGCGACTGTGGCCTGTTGTGGGTTCTAACCTTTGTCCAACGGAGTGAACTGAAATTAGTGTCCAACCCGAAATGCGCCTCTCCTTTGTCATTTAAAGGTCATTTTTTGAGAAAGCTCAAAGTCGGAGTGGACATCCACTGCAAATCGCCTGCCACTCACGACGGGCTGCCCCTCATCGACATGACTCCCGGAAATAACCAAATTGTATTCGCCGGAGACTCGCTAAAGCTGCATTGCCGCGCTCCCATTATTTCCGACTTGGTTGATGACTCTAACTTGGAATGGCTGTGGTTGGACGCCAAACCTAAAAAATATTTTAACGACGTTTCGGTCGAGACGGAGTTTTTGCACAGCATGGGTTTCATCGATAGCACGCTCATCGTGAAAAAGCTGCGCAAAGCTCACGAGGGGGTGTGGACCTGCCTCTACACATCCCGCGAGGGTAATCACTCCAAGAGCATAACGATCGTGGTGATTTCCGACGATACCGTATTCTGTCCGACGACGACGACTCAGAATAACAAAGGCACTTATGTGTGGCCGAAAACCATTTCGAATAATACAGCCGAGTTGCCGTGCGAGTCCCTGAATCTGTACTACAACGAGTCGGAGCAGAGGGCGTCGTACAGCTGCTCGCCGAACGGCACCTGGCAACTTTTAAACACCAGCCGGTGCTCGTATGTGTCGGACAACACGAAAATATTGCAGCAGTTTTCCAGAGTGAACTCGAGCATACCGGAAAGCACTCGCCATTTTAAGAACTTCACGTCGAACGTTACCATATTTAAAGATGTCATGGATTTGGTATACGCGGTCGACACCATCGAGAATTACTCGAGTCTCGACGCGTCCGAGAATACCAACAGTATTTTGATGGACGTGGCGAGTAACCTGCTGAATTTGCCGTGGGCGTACTGGAGGAAGGCGGACAAGGAGCACGGGCTCTGCCAGCGACTCGTCAATGTGACCGAAAGGATAGCCACCAGCAATTCGGCAACCCTGTTCCAACAAGTGCGTCAGTAGTTTGTTTAGGTCACTTATGCGCCTTTCCTGTCACACACTGGTGCGAAATGGAGGAGAAAACCTCTTACCTTAAGAATTGTTCAACATATCCAGCTGAAGTTGGTCGTGTTTAATTTGAGGAGATGCTAGGAATGTGGTCTTGCCTAAGGCACGTGGGTGTGAATTGCAGCATGGTGGCTAAGTGACTGAGTGTATTCTTTTAATTGGCAAAAAATAGGACGAATGTTTTATAAAGTCGTACTACTACAGTTTAGACCAATGTGCAGCTCAGCACATAAGAAATGCATGGTCAAAAGCGAACCTTCTGGCAATGTTTTTTGAAGCCTAACATTTTTTATTAAAAAAGAAAAAATTGAAAAGTCTCTTTTTTCTCGAAAAATTTCAAATTTAATCAGAAATTCAAAGCAACTATTCATTTTAAAAAAATGTAAAACTCTAATGCATACTTTAAAAGCATCTGTTTTTATAAGACGATTAAATATGAGCACGCGATTTATTTACAGCTACGTCATTTTGTCTTGGTCTTCCACTTTAACTCTCGAACTCAAAAACTATTTGGTAAAAGGTTCCATAGCATTGAGAGTAGTTATCAATTTGAGTATTTTCTAATGCTTCTCAAAATATTTGAGTCAAAACTTTCCTAATAGATATTTAGGGATATCCTCCTTCGAACCAGTGTGCGCCAATGTCGAATTTTTTTCTTTTTTTGAAATGTTTATGGTTATATATATCTATCGGGTTACAACGTTCTACGCCTTCCGATTCCTAATCTGCATTTTTCTCTATCCATCCACATATCGTCCTCCAGGCTTCATTCTCTAATTTCTCTATCGATTCCCTCGCTCCAGCTCTTGCCTTGTCTGCCTCGTTTCCTTCTTGCTTGAGAGTTCCAATCTAAAATTTTCTTTGGAATTTGATATTATGGCACTCTTTATACGTGTCCATACCATATTAGCTGCCGAGTTCTAATTTGATCGATAATATCGTTTTTCAGTAGTCCATCTCTTAGTGTTTTCTGTGTTTTTTCTTTCAGAGGCCATACTTCAGAGCTATATGTTATGATGCTTCTAACTATTGAATTGTAAATTCTTTGCTCTTCTTCCTTGGGCATTACTCTTTAGTGTTGCTTTTTCCAGAGTTCCGCCTTTGTCGATTTTCATTTCCAGGTATTCTTGCACTTTCGCTTCCAAATCTTTAGTGCATTTTCCAAATAAAGTTTAAATAGCGTTGGAGACATGCAAAAACTTTGTTTAAGACCTTTGTTAAAGGATAACTCGCCTTAACTTTCGATCTCCTTGATATTGCTATGCTATCATACGGTTTTTTTAGATCAACAAATAAGAGATGATCTTCTTGATTAAATGCTGCCTTCTTTTCTATGAGTTGTATTAGTGATTGTCGATTTTCCTGCTATAAAGCCTGTTGGTTCTTTGGCCTCCATATTGGCTTATTATCTTTCTATTATGTTTTTAAGTATTTTCCCATATATTCTACCAAGGGAACTTGTAACCGCTATGTCCCGCAGTTGATTTTGTCTCCTTGTTTGTGATTGGTTGACATTTTCCATTCTTCGCGTACTGCCGACGTGTTAAGGCATGTTTGGAATAAATGTTTCAATGCATGATACGGGATATTTCCTCTGCCATTTTTTAGTTTTTTACATGCTTCCCTGACCTCTGTTACTGTTATTCTTATTGGGGATCCTTCTATGACTATATTTGAGTATACATTTGGGTCATCTTTAAATTGTAATCTATCTTCCGTCAGCATCATTTCGAAGTATTGGTTCCATTCTTGGGGTGATGTAGATGAGAGTATGTCTCTTCTGGATTCTGTTCTCATGTTCCCAAGAAGTCTCCAACTTTCCATACTTTTCCTTTCTCCTATGTATGTATTGAGTCTTGCGCATGTCCTTTCCCATTCTCTCTGTAGCTCTACAACCCAGGGTGGGTCTTGGCTGACTTCACAATCTGCCTCCATCTGTCCCGATCCATCATTATTTCTTCGACCTGTTCAATGTTTAGCGTATTTAGGTCTGCTGTTAGGTTGTCTCTCCAACGCAATCTAGGTCTTCCCAACGGTCCTCTACCATCCGGTACTTCTTCCCACACTAATTTAATTAGTCGTTGGTTGTTTTGCCTTCTGACAACGGTTGGCACTCTGTGTACTTTGTTTTGTTTTCGTTAATTCTTAGACCTAGTTGCTTGGCAGCCTTTTCCAGTTTGACAAAGTCCTCTTTAACATTGATAGCGGAGTTACCCACTATATCTATGTCGTCTGCGTACGCCAGTATTAGACGGAGTCCCTGGTTTCTAAATAGCAGTGTTTCTGTATTGGCTTTTCGTACTATGCTTTCTAGAGCGATGTTGTCTTTTCCCATTGATTATTCATTTTTTCGCATATCTTTCTTCGTACTTTTGCTTATGATTCTTTGAATCTCAATTTGTCATCTACATTTTTTGAACTTAAATATTTGTATATTTTCCGGTTTTCTTATATTTCGTATTCGATCTCGTCCCACTAATACGGTTTTTGTTGTTTCCCGCTCTTCTTCTGATAGCCTAGCGCCTTCTCTGCCGCAGAGTGAATTAGTCAATTCTATCTTCTGTATCTTGTGGCCCAGTCTGGTGTTATATAATATTCTTGTACTTTCATTCTCCAAGCTGTTTGTAATAAATTTAATGTATTTAATTTAATTTAATGTTTATAGTTTATTTCCGAAAAAACATTCGAACACCCCACACCAATCTTTTTCGAGGATAGGAGGAGGGGCAGTGAACAAAATAGATTTGAATTCGGCTCAGCCTAAAACTATAACTACGCTTATAATAAGAAAGATGTCAATTTACGCTAGCCGGCTGGCGTTTCAAAAACTCGAAAATTGTTTATTTATTTTTTTTAATCTCAAATTTCTATGATTGTCTTTTTCTTCCCGTTGCTCTTATTGTAACACACGATATAAAGAATAATAATTATATGACTATCAACAGTGTGTCCCAGTCTGTAGATTGTTCTATAGGACCAACATATAGGGTGGACCGTTTATCTTGGGACACTGCCTTATCTCAGAGGGGATGGAGCCAAAAGTTAAATACAAACGTAATGGGGGTATTGCAAACCTTCAATTTATTTTAATGTTGTATGTATATACAGGGTGTTTAATTTTTCGTGGGCGAGTATCAACTTTTTTATTTTAAATGGAACACATGATATATTACTTCATTTTTGAATTCCATACAAAATTCTAGACATATTTTGTGTATAACGTTCTATACATAAGTCTAACCGTTTCTGACATTTTTAATTTTTTATGTCAAAAATTACGTTTGCAAGACTCCAATAACGGATTTCATAATAAATTTCGATACATATTAATACAGGGTACGCGAAAAATAAAGATTAAAAATTAAATTAATAAAAATGCCAAAAAACTTTTTTTGAAATGGAAACTACCTATTTTTATAGTCTTGTCATAATTAACATTAAAAATTAGTGCAAGTTTATATAAGGTTGTATATGCCTAATATTTTTACTTTTTGCAATATTTTCTTTTAAACATTTCCCTATCAATGATCTATGTCTATGACGGCGTTTAAACAAAACAAGTGCTAGAACGTAGCTTCGTTGGACGCGGGTTTTGTTGTTGAGTACTGTCATAATTCAAATATTTTTTGATGCGTTATTGAATTATTTATTTATTGTTTATAAATTAAATTTTTTCGCTTGCCTGCGTATCACGTTTAACACAGAGGAGAAGATATGTTGGAAAGTCACATATCGAACAATAAAAACCGGACCCTGAGTTTTAAGGAGGTTCCCAGAAAAAAAGGATTTACCAACAGTAGAACATATGGAACCTCGAAGAAAGAAAAACGTTGTCATATTTTGAATGATGAAGAGCAACTTAATATTTGGTTGCATTTTGCAGAAACCCCTGAAGATTCAACCCGAAATGCGCCTTTAGATCGGGATGTCAAAGAACAACGCTTTAAACGTGCCTTCAAATAAGCAACTGGAAGTTCTATAAAACCTGTCCAGTGCAGAAATTAGAGCAACCGGATTACATCAGGTTAGATTTTTGCATCAATCTTATAGAGAGACACTTTTCAGAAAATATATTTGCTAATATTATTTAGACAGATGACTAAAATTTTTAATTGGATAAATACCCATTACTGGAGCTATAAGAATAATAAAAAAAAGTATGGAAGTTACAAGATCAGGTAGAACTTATGTCAAAGTATAGTGCCCCATGTGGAGGTCCAGTATTTTTTGATCAGAATTTAAATTCCCAACGCTATTTCGAGCTTTTAAATGTTATTCATCCCTTTGTTGAAAATGAAGCGCCTGAAAGAGAATGACGAAATTTGACAGCAGGATGGCGCACCTTGTCACGGAAGTCAAGAAATTAGCACCTATTTAAATGCACATAGAGAATGGATTGGGGAGAATGGTAGTTATGCCTGGTCTCCAAGGAGCCCCGACTTAACTCCCCTAGATAATTTTCTATGGGGTACACTTAAATATTAAAATAATAAATAGTTTACAAACACAAACCGTCAACTGCCGAGGAACTTAAACATTGGAGTAGAGAAGGTATCAGCTATTTATATGGGACAGAATTTATTAGAAATGCCGTTATGTATTTAGAATAAAGGGTTTCTAAATAGTACTACTTATATTGCTCAAAGTGGAGGACATATTGAACAAATATGCTAGCTATTAATTTTTTATTGATCGTTCGTTAATAAAAGAATTACCAACATTATCGCTTATCCTTGGTCTTATTCTGTATAAATAATACATACATACATTTATATAATCTTTGGATAAGCGCATCGGCAAGGTTATGGTCAACTATGAAATGGTAAATCATAGGAATACACAACATTATACAAAATTGCCTTAATTTTTAATGCTAAATGTGACAAGATTATAAAAATAGGTAGTTTCTATAAAGAAAAGTTTTGGCAGTTTTTTAAATTTCTTTTTTAATCTTATGTTTCGCGTACGCTGTATTAATAATATGCTAGGTGTTTCAATTAAAATAAGAAAGTTGGTATTCGCCCATGAAAAATTAAACACCAACCGTATACAAAATTCAAATAAATTAAAGGTTAATTAACTTAATTAACTTAACTTAATTAATTAGCTTTTGTATTTAACTTTTGGTTCAGTCCCCTATAGTTTTGGAGATATGGTGGTGTCGCAAGATAAACCACCCACATGTATAGACATGTACAATTTGCCAGGAAAACTTCGTGATCGAATCGTTTCAAATCACCAAAGCGGTCTTCTCCGGTCTGCATTGTTCGTGGTTTATCAACCCGGCGAACCACGTGGATTCCTTGTTTTCGTGCAGCACGAATGATCTGCGCGACTCCACCGTCCTCCATGGCAAGATGATGGAAGCATCGATAGCGGTGCCGGAAAAACTGTTGCCCGTCGAGGAGGCCGAAAAAAAAACGGAGGAAAACTATTTCCTCATCATTTCCGCGCACAGCAACGCCAAGCTATTTCCCATCGAAGACGAACGGGTGGACGAAGAGGGTATCAGCTCGGCGGTGGTGGGGTTGAAAATCGGTGAGTCGTCCAGATTTTTAACGATGACTTCCCGAAAATTCTGGGACGCGTGTGCGTTTCGACACCTTTGCGCGTCATTTAGGAAAATTAGTTAATTTAATGTGTACTTGGATTATACCGAGTAACACAAGAAAGTGGGAACACTCTATTACTTTTAAACGTCTTGAGATGGCGATTTTAAATTTGGATGGGTTCATATAGGCTTATTGTCCAATTTTTGACAATGTGTAGTCAATGGTTGCATTTCCAGAAACTGCTGAAACTTTCAAATTTTAAATGACACAACCTGTAATTTTTACAATGATGTAATACAGTTTATATTTTAGTCCATTCCTTTTTAACAAATCGGCAAAAATAGGAATTTTTTATGATTTCAAAGAGTGTCGTGACTGACTGCAACAACAATTATTATTTACAAATTAAAGTAGAACAAAAATATTAAAAATGACAAGAACATATTTCTTATACACTCTAATTGTATGATGTCTTAGTAAATTTTCTGTATTGTTTCTTAAATGATTCATTGCCTCTGAAATCCTTTGCCGAAAAGCAAAAAATTCATTAAAGTTAAGTCGGGACTGTTGGCTGGTCCATAGTTCCGCCGTTCCTTATCCAACCCCTGGGATATTTCATGTAAAGAAAATAAAATTTTTAACTTGCACAACATTGTGGGGGGGGGGGGGCACCGTCTTGTTGCTATATATTGTTCTATTTGGTGCTGTAAGAGTTGCAAATAATGATCTCCAGTTTACTTTCGATCTATAAATATCGGACCCAAAATATGCCCATCTATGACACCCCACCATACATTATTTCGTGTATTTGCCTAGGATTATTTAAAAACCAATATCGCGTACTTTGTCTGTTACGACCCATTTTTGTAGTGTCCATAAAATGTTTTTGGAAAAAATATTGTCATTATATAAAATATTCAAACAAAACTGCATCCTCCTTTGACATTGTTCTGCACTTAGTTTTTGAGTTTTACGAAATTTAAATGCATTATATTTATATTCTTTCCAATACCTGTCTCTTCATATACTCTAGTGATAGAGGAAACTGGATGTGCTTCATAGAAAACCTTAGTTTTCTGCAAATTTCTTTGCCAGCCTTGAAAATATCTGTTTTGAAGGAGCTCGGCGCTCTGGAGAAAGTCTAAAGCCGGGTCCAGACGGGTAACTGAACCTCGTAACGTAACCTGCTCGCCTAACCTTTGATGTTCAGTTTGAACCGCATCCTGTATCAAAATGCTGTGTCAAAATTTTACAACGTACTACTCGCAGCGAGCCGTCGGTTGTCGGTAAACTGGCGAACCATCAAAGAAACCTTCCAACTAATGACACGCGTTGATGTTACAGCGTCTGGATGAAAACTTGAGCAATTCGTCGACCGCACCGGTCGAACTTTGTAATTGTTTAGTCTTGTAAAAACCACCTATCTACATGCACGAGAGTATCTGTCTTGTAAAACATCCATAATATTTTTAAAAAATTAGTAAAAACCATGCATGGAAAGAACTCGGTGAAGCGATAAATATGTTCTCTGAACTACACTATTGTTCTTCTCAGGTAGCACAATATGTAAACCGAAGATTGCCATTAAATTCTCATAGCCAACAACAGCAACATCAGAACCCTTCTGCACGTCACCAGTCTCCACATGAATCCCATTTTACACATTCCTATCAGTCACCTCAGCCACTTCTATGTCACCTATTAAATCTCCATATTACCCAACAACTCAAATGAACAATCCATCTACTAGCACGCTGACTTGACCTCCACTTCCTTCACCAAACTCTGAAACCACTTTAGTTTCGTCTCCCATCCCCCCGTCCATACACTCCAACCATAGTCCTGAATTATCTTGCCATTCTAAGTCGAATGCAAGCATTGATGATCTTTCATTGTAAGTTTAATACCTTTTACTAAAAGTTAGATACATTAATTTTTAATTCAGAATCATTTTTACCTTGCTTGCTTGCTTGAAGAATGGGTTTTGTTTCCAAAAATTAAGTTGCGGTTGGATGCTAAATTCGTTAAAAACCATTTTAACAATAATGACTTGTACAATAATTCAACCATCAACGTTGTTTACTAATATGTCAAACATAAACATATTTTTATTTGTTTTTCAGGGCACTCTTTTAAATTATATAAAAATTTCCTTTTTTTTTCCCGTTCGTTACGTTCAGTTAAAGGTATCAATCTGTATTGTGTTTCTGTTTGCGTGTCTTAATCTTGTTAACTTGGTATTATAAAGGTAACATTTTAAAGTAATAATAGAATTTTTCAATTTAAAAATATTTTCAAGCCCTTTTACAATTAAAAATCATTCAGGAAACTTGCAGCGACATGTAAAATCTTGTCAGAAAGAAATTTTCGACAACATTTCTGCAGGTTCATCACAACCGCCATCGTCGAATTCGTCAGCAACAACTAAAAAAGGCGGCTAAATATCCAACCTACCTTAGATGTCATTATAAAACAAAAAAACAATATTTCAGTTAACATTACTCCTGATTTGTTGAAGGAAGCATGTACAGATCTGGTAATAGTTTACAGCCATCCATTCAGCATATTTAATGATTCGGGTTTTCGAAAAATTTTAGATCTGATAATAGCTGGACTAGAAAATAAAATCCCAATTAACCTGGAAAATATAAAAAAAAATGTGTCGTTAAATGCTTCAAGTTTAAAGTAAAAATTAACGACAGTATTAACGGGAAAGTTATTATTTTTCAAAGTTGATGGGGAAAGTAGACTTGATAGAAGTATATTAGGAATCAACGTTCAACTTATTGGCAATAATAACTGTCTAGTTTTAAAGGCGTTGGCGATGCGGGAGATAAAGGAAAGAGATGCTTCCTCGTACATTTCACAAAATAGTATTGACTGTATTAAAAGAATATCAGTATAACAACAGACAATGCTATGTGCTATAAATATGTTAACAATTTTTTTCTCTTATTTTTAATAATAATAGTTGCTTTATTTACAAATAACCAAAGATTAACTATGACACAACATTTTTAAGTAAGTAAAAGTTAATTGAAATAAAGCAAGGTTGGAAACAAATATTATTTAAAATATAAAGCAAAAAAAACACACTGTTACTGGCACACCACTAAATTGCATAGCAGTTTGTGCATGGTTTTCAAGTAACTAAATTTAATGGGAATTAATGAAAGAAACTAAAACATATTCGTGCCTCTCTAAATATTTCATTCTAAATTTAAATTTTTAATATTTATAAAAAGCAAAAATGCCATCACCATTTAAAATGCAGTTGATTGAAATTTTTAACATTTAAGTTTTTAAAAACATAAATTTTACGTTAGTAATTTTTGCCAGCTATGATTAAACTGTAATATAAAATTTAAAAAAAAAAAGCACGTTGAAATATTTTTATTGCAAAAAATAGTAAAAAACCGGTTTTAACCGTTATTTAATTTCGGTTTACGAAAACGAAAACTATGTTTTTTGGGTGTGAACGAATGATTGGAAACGAACAAAATACTTCTCGTTTTTAGTCCCCCAAAAAAGTTATAGCCAATTAAAATGTTAGCTAGATAAATTGAACGCACGATACGTTCTTCTACTCGTTAGGCACCGCCACCAGATAGATACACGTGTACTGAAATAGTTTTATTGTTTTCTCTTGCTTCTTTCATTTTATTATCATATTTATTCACCATTTGGCTAATTGTAATATGCCATTCGATTGCGAATGCTATGTAGGGTTTGCATGTACTTTATAGCGGGTTTAAATGCGGCCCGAGTTCACGTCGACCGTCCGGTGGTGGTAACGTTAAAAAAGCCGCCGTCGTCTTCGTTCGAAGTCAACCCGTTCACGCCAGCGGTTTGGCATTCGGAATTGAAAAGATGGACGACCGAACCGTGCGAATTTGATAAGCAAACCGATGCGCACGTTTCATTCATCTGCCACCAGATAGGCTATTACGGTCTCTTGCAGGACGCGGCCTACATAACTAACATGGTAACCCCTCCCACATTATTTTCGATAGGTGTCCTCTTATATCCCGGTCGTTTCGCAGAGCACGTCTCCCGGCTATTTCCGGTTGTGCCACCCCGCCATCTATATCGGCAACGTCGTTCTCTTCGTGTCACTCCTAGTGGCCGTCATGACGTATTTGTTCTGCTTCGCCGCGATCCAGATGCCAAGAAACGCGAAACACTGCCTCATCAATACCTGGCTGTCGGTGGCGCTGCTATGCTACATCTACACCTTAGGCATCTACCAGACGGAGGACCAGAAACTGTGCCAGATCGTCGGTCTGGTGTTGCACTACCTGTCCTTGAGCTCGGTGCTGTGGATCTGCGTCTCCGTCAATTCCATGTACAAGAGGTTCAGCAAGAACGGCGGCGTCATGTTGCAGGACGACGACATGCCCATGGAACAGACCGTCGCGCGGAAACCCACGCTCGGCTTGTACCTCGTAGGATGGGGCGTAGCTCTGATAGTGTGCGGCCTGTCGGCCGCGATCAATATACGCCACTACTCTTCCCCGTCGCACTGTTTTCTCCGCACCGGTCCCGCGCTGAGCGCCCTCTACGTGCCATTCCTTATCCTCCTCCTCTTTCTCTTCTTCACGTTCCTGTTGATCAAGTGTGCGATATACAAATGGAACTTTTCGCACGGCGGCCACCTCAGCGAGGGCACGCAGGCGACCGAGCACGTCGACTTGGACCTTCTGGAGCCTAGTTTCACGCAGGGAGACGCGCGGAGCACGCGCAGTTATTCGTCGAAGACGGCGACGAACGACACCGAGGACAACGAGCGGTCGCCGTCCGCTCAGCTCAAGGCGCACGTCATTTTCTTTTTCCTGTACGTGACGACTTGGCTTAGCTGCGCGTTCGCGACCGTGCCGCCCCTGAGGACGGTTCCCTACGAGGCGGAGTTTTTCAGCGTCGCGTACGCCATATTCGGCATCACGCTGAGCGCGTTCACGCTGTTCTTTTATTGTTTCGCTCGCAGCGACGTCCGGAACCAGTGGCTGCTGATGTTCAGGTGACTATTTTTCTTTAAGGAAATCGGTACCATAATACTATATTATGCAACAAGTGCGGTAAACGGCATTTAACTCACGAGTTTATTTGACACGAGCGAAGCGAGTGTTTAATAAACGAGCGACATAAAAAGTTTACCCAACGTGTTGCATACTATTTTTTCTCCGACCGTTATTTTTTGGGTACATTTTCGCAAAACTACACGAATACGTTGTCTGTAATATGTGACTGTCAGAATTGACAAACGTCAAAATTCAAGGCGTGGGAATATCTCCGAAGTGACTCGGATTCGACATCTGAAACTGATCTTTAGATGTTTATTAACAATTAGGTTTTGTTTGCGCATTTGTTAATCCCAATAAGAACAAAGTAATAGTTATGTTTTCGAAATATTAAGCATTAGATCATCTTTTTCAAATTTGAAACCTGTTTCGCTTAACAGTCTACTCAATGACATGCGAGTGCCATCAAATAATCGTTTGGTTTTTAATTGCTCCGTATTGCATGTTGGGTCTACAAGAAGAAACAAGACAGAATTATAGATATCTTACTTTTTGTATATGTTACCGTGAACCTGACTCGCATTCCGCTCTGTACCTGCTTATATAGAGTTTGAGGGGGGCGGAGTTAAAGCATGAACATTGTCTCGGATGACCTGAAGACCTGAGTCGAGGTTAAGATTGTTCGATTGCTTGTTCCTATGGATTCTGGGATTTTTCGTTGGTTGAAAAGTTGATTACATGCATGAAATGACAGGTCCTAACAGGCTTTTGTGAAGTGCGGTGTGTGGTAAATAGTGATCAACTTCCTGAAAAGTTAAATACTCTAATAAGAAGTAAACGAGAAAACAATTATTTTTGTAGCAGAAAGGTACTCTAAAATCGTTTTTAAAGTAATTTCTGCTATTAGTAAGTCTATAGACGTTCAAAACGTGTTTATATTTTATAAGCTAGTGACGAACAAAAGTTAATTGTGTTATTAAAAGCAGGTGAAACGAATATCCAGTATTATGTTACAAACAAAGAGTTGTTTAATATACTTTCCGAAACTCACACATGAATTGCAAGTCAAATACAAAAATATTGCTTATGAAGTCGTAATGCTCCATTTAAATTCGTGTTAACAGTGTCAAATGAAACACTGTGCGCCTAAAAATGGTATTCTTGAAAAACCAATGGTGAGCTCCGAATTAAATTCTAGATGTCAAGTCGATTTGATAGATTTGCAATCACACAGTGCAAGATTAATTGACCAAGTTTGCCCAGGTACGACCGTTGAAAACCAAAAGAGCGGAAGAAGTCATAACTTTTTTCATTTTTTTAAAAGATTTGGTTCTCCCGCTATATTGCAGTGACTAAGTCATATCCGAACTATGCGCTATGTGGATATTGATGACCATGTTTCAGGTGTAAGTGACATGGATGACCAAAATACCATTGAGACCAATCCACCTTCACGTCATGTATTAACTTATCTTGAACGGAAGTGGCTTTTACTTGATGAAAATCCATTTATCAAAATAAATAACAAATAAAAGTTCAGATTTTCACGAAATTATATATTTATATATTTTGACATCACAATTGTTTCGTGTCTTTATCAAATGGACATTTGATAGAGACAGCCATTGATTACCAGGATTCAGACTTTTATTAATTAGCAAACAAAAATGGCCACTTGAAGCAGCTTTTCACCCGTAATCAATTTGCAAAGAAAAGTTAATTTCCGTGGAAGAGATTTCAGCTCAAGAAATTTCTGTAAGAAAAGCAGTTTCTGCTAATTCAAAAAGCTATACACGCTGTTACAGCATCATCTAAATGTAGCTGTGAAAACAAGAGGCCATGACGGTTAGAAATAATGATTTTCGATGAATATATCGGACATACGCCAAGTAACTTGTTCAGATTCACTGATATATCCTGACAATCGCCGGGTTTCGGACTTTCACGGTAACATATACCTAGTGTAGTGTTGAATGGTGTTACGTTGCATTGATATTGAGCAGACTCTTTTTGAAGTGTATCATCTCTTAGAAGGCGATTTCAAAACTTGGTTTTCATTAACTGCCTTTGAAATATCAAAAAAAGTGGCAAGACTTAAGTTTGAAGCCTCTGTTACGCGCTGAACATAAGAGAAACTAAAGTTTAAATTGAAAATTCCCATTTGGTCACACGACATCAACTACTTGTGAACTCACCTTCCTAACAGCATGTAAGGGACATTAAAGATCATTATTATCGCATTCCCGATCGAGATATTTTAACAGGGATTCGACGAGCTCTTCGCAAGGACTGTTAAGCTGCTTTGGCATCTTGTACACTTCGCAGTCCAAACTGTTCTTAAATAAACAATTTTGGACTACAAAGTCGCCAACTATAAAAAATGTGAAGCTTAGAAGGGCACAAAATTCAACCAAACCAAAAACTCGTAATCAAAAATGTCAACACATGGATTTGGCAATTAAATTTATACTCCTTTGCTTATATTTATTTATATTGTGCGTTACGTCGCCGTCGAGTCATTCTGAGAACTAAACGTAGTCGATATTTTTATGGGATTTCCGGAATCGCCAAATATCGTATTTGGGTATTCCTTGAAGAGGGTTGTAGGTGAATTGGACATCCCAAACGCATAAAAATTTATTATAAAATATATATTATTCAATAATCATAGATAACACTCTGCAATTGTAGAGCTTCGGTAATCCGGATTAATAAAAACCGAGACAATCCGAATTAGTGAAAAAATTCACCAAATACACATTATTAACACAAAAAATGTAAACATTTACTAACCCCTAAATGATGCTTTTCAACCTCTAAGAAATTTTCGACTCGTCTTTTGCGGCTTTTTTATAAGTCGGGGATTCACCTAGAGAACACCATAAAATTTACAGAACACATGATCCGGACTATGGAATACATAATAAATTCGGATTATAGAATACATAGTGCAAATAAATAACATTTTAATTTTGTCCTTATTACTAGAGTTCGGATTAGCGAAACTCTACTAGATATTGATCGGATTTGTCTAGTCAATTAAGAAGCTAACTTAACTTAAATTTCAATCAGTCAGTCGTGAAATATTTCGGTAGTTAGCGATAATCTGGTCAATATTTGTTGTTTATGTATTGTTGAAGTGGGAAGAAACCCAGTATACAAAATACTTAATGTATTACTTTCCGGAGCGATACTGTCCTGCCATCTACATCCCAAGAGGCGAATGGTTGTCGAATATAATTTTACAGAGCAACGCCAAAAAAGCCGCCTTCAGTGCGATATTAATTTTTTCGTTATAGATCACAGTTTTCAATTAAATTTGTTTGTCGTCGTGTTCGTAGGTGGATGAGGCACAAAAGGGTGTTTCGGTTTCACACCGTGTCGGACACGTCGCCCACGTTGCAGGCCCAACCGTTGCCCCTACCCCCTCGACCCAACAGCGAAGTTCATTTCACGTCGAGGTCGTCGAGTCGCAGCTCGCACCGGGCCAAATCGATTTCGTTCAAGGGACACGACCTGAACGACTCGATCAGTAATCGGAATTCGTTGCCCACAAGCAGTAAGATCAACAACCTGAATTTGGTAAGGACTTGCCCTTTTTTTCGAAGTTATTATTATTATTATTACAATCTTACTTCCATGGATCATGGAAACATGACGAAATTGACAGTCCTACAGTAAAGAGTTTTATATGCTAAACCATGGTTATGTGATTGTTAGAAACAAAGTGTTATCTTTAAAAAACGTATAGAGGCTATATCTTCTTTTTCTTTACACGACGTCTTGTAACATGACTTTTCTACCAATCCCTTTACTTTTATCGAGTCTTCCTTGCATGATGTCATATAATATTGTGTATTTTTAATTTGGAAGTAAGTGCCTGAGGTAAGTTGTTTTTCGAACTTTAACCACGGACATCAGTTTTGTTCTATCTTCCATGCGTCTTAATCCTTCTGCATTGGTAGGTTGTGCTGTCCAAGCCATCAAGCATTTTGAATGCTTTGAGTCTCTATATATTTTAGTGTCCAAGACTCCAACCCGTACAACAATAATGACCAAAAAATTATAATCTTATTGACATTTTCAGATAAGCAGATAAGCTGCGAATCTATTGAAGAGCTGTGGTGACATCACACAACCCTGTTTAATGCCTTTCTGTATCGAGACTTCATTCGTTTCATCTTTGTCTATTTTTACTGTAGGAGTTTGGTTGTAATAGATGTTTTTTATGAGCTTAATGTCCCCTTAATCGGTGTTGACGTGTTTTAGTTGATCTACAAGTTTTGTGTGTTGCACCTGTTCGAAACCCCTTTGAAATTGAAAGGTTCCTATTCCGCGTCTAAATCCAAATTGAGTGTTTATCTTTCTTCTTGACATCTTTTATAGGTTCTGCTTTTTATTACTTTCAAGGACACTTTAAGGGATTGGCCCATCAAGCTAATGAAACGATAGGCACCACAACACCCAAGGTTGTTCTTGATTTTGTAGAGGTAAAAACACCTATACAAGCCATTCTTTTGGGAGTTTCTTCCTCTATACATTTGATTAAACAATTTGTTTTGCCTGCTGTATACCAGCACATTTTACAAGGAGTTGGAGTTTTTATAACCACATTAGATGACATACAAATTTACTTATCATTTAGGAGTAAGGAAATGCAGTTGGCCAATTCGAGAATTAATATAGATTTAAGGAGAATATTGAGATTTCGAGTGAACACCTCTTGAAACTCAGTACCGGCAAATCAAAAGTTTCGCAGTAATTAATCGGTTGCAGATGCTAAAAGCTCTTTTCCAATTTTTATTAAGAACTTGGTTGTTCCAGTGACCGATAAAAGCAAATCTAGGCTTAATTTTTGCTCCAGATTGCGTTTTATATGATCCTATACGACACAACTGAGAAAAGGTGAATCCAAATTAAACAAAGTTTGAAGAAAATCGCATCTCCTTACCTAAGGGATCAGAATGGCAAACTGAAACTTCATATCACAGTTTTTTTTTTGTACATAATTTAGAAGTGAGGAGAAAGAGTATATTTACGAGACCAAAACATCAAAAAGAGATTTGTAAGAGATCATTTACATATAACATTGCTTCAATTTTAAACTGTGTCCGCGTCGTTGATGTCTGCCCCTTTGACCAAACCCTTATACATCACACTTAATATGTTTGATATCTCGATTTTTCTATTGTAGCGTGCACTAACAGTACACGTATAGTAAAAGCTCTTTATTCACTCTTTCTTCATTTGTGTTTTCACTATTCGCGGATTAAAAAAATGCGACCCAATTTCAATGCTCGCAGCTAAAAATTTAAAAATTTCTGAAATAAGGTCGTCTATAGCTTCAACTTCACCATCAGCGAAAATTGTTCGTGATCCAGCAATAGAAAAAATGGAAGTAGCGTTGTCATTATGAACCGAAGACCAAAAAAGGTGCCCCTGAATAGTCTAATGGTCCGGGCGAAGGCAAATTGTCTTTGCTCTCAGTTTATATAACCTGATAGTAGATGGAGGACTTCAAGCATCGGAAAGTTGGTTCAATAAATTTCAGGTGGGTCAATTATTGCATAATATTAAAATTGTTGGAGAAGCAGCACCTGCGGGCACTGCTGCAGCAGAACGATATCCAGAAGAACTTGCAAACCCAGTTGCTGAATAAACCTTTGCAAGTATTTAATGCAGGCTAAAGTGCACTGTTTTGGAAGAGAATGTCAAAAGCGAAAGGTTGCTCCTGGATTTTAGGCAGCAAAGGATAGAGTTACACTGCTGCTATGTTCTAATGCATCTGGAGATTGTTTCATTAAGCAACTGATACTTTACAGATGGTTTAATCGTTGGGCCTTAAAAAATCAAAACAAAGACAACCTCCCAGTATTTTGGCGTGCTAATAAGAAAGCCTGGGTTACAAGCGCAATTTTTTGTGACTTGTCCCGAAATTGTTTTGTTTCTGAAGCTGAAACTTATTTAAAAAAAAAACAGAATTTAGACTTTAAAGCATTCCTAGTTTTGGACAATGCACCAGGTCATCCTCGCGTACTTGAAATTCGCATCCAAATATAGGGTATTTTTTTTCGATGTTTAGAACTTTAAGTTGCAATAAAACAACGATGGATTATTGGATTGACATGAATTTTATTTATACGAAAGATAATCCTGTTGCATTACATTTTAAATATGATTTCTGGCATATGACCGCCACGGCTGGCGCGGATGTAGTCTTGACATTAAATTTTCAATGATTTTTCCAACATTTGTGGCCGTCTATCGGCAATAACACGGCGAATGTTGTCTTCCAAATGGTGAAGCGTTTGTGGCTTATCCGCATAGACCAATGACTTTTCATAGCCCCACAGAAAGTAGTCTAGCGGTGTTAAATCACAAGATCTTAGAGGCCAATTCACAGGTCCAAAACGTGAATTAGGCGGTCACCAAACGTGTCTTTCAATAAATCGACTGTGGCACGAGCTGTGTGACATGTTGCGCCGTCTTGTTGAAATCACATCTCCTGGAAATCATGGTTATTCAATTCAGGAGTGAAAGAGTTAGTAATCATAGCTCTATACCGATCACCATTGACACCACCAGTCCATAAAGCGCACCAAACAGTCAGTGTTTCTGGATGTAACGGTGTTTCGACATACACTTGAGGATTGCTCCAAATGCGGCAGTTTTGTTTGTTGACGTAGCCATTCAACCAGAAGTGCGCTTCATCGCTAAACAAAATTGCTTATGAAAATCGGGAATAACGGCAATCTCGTTTTGGGCCCATTTGACGAATCTACACCTTACTTGATGATCGTTTGGCTTCAATTCTTGCACGAGTTGGATTTTGTAAGCACGTAAACCAAGATCCTTCCGCAAAATCTTCCATAAAGTGGATGGACACAAATCCAATTCCAGTGCTTGATGGCGAATGGACTCATTCGGGTCTTCCTCAATGCTACGCTGTACAGCAGCAATAGCTTCTTCTGTACACACTGTACGGCGTCTCTGGAGATGCGAGTTATCAATAAGAGTAAACGTGGCGCGAAAATGTTCCATGGTTAATCGAATTAACTGCTCTGATGGACGATTATGTCGACGATAAAATGGACGTAGTGCGCGATACGTATTCCGCACAGAACCATTATTTTCGAAATAAAATTGCACTATTTGCAAGGGTTGTTCAGGCGTGAGTCTATTCATGATGAATTGCCAAACCAAACTGAGAATAAATCACTTGACAGCTGTTAAATCGGTCGCCATCTTGAACAGTGATGGCAACTTAAAGTTCTGTACATCAAAAAGAAACACCCATTATAAAAGTGATATTTTTACTTCCTAACACGACGGAATAATCCAAGCTTTTAAGCTCCATTACATTAGACGAACTTTCAAAATCATATTGGATAATATGGAATGTCATCCTGATGTGAATGTTATGAAAGAAATTTGACATAGCAAAATGCATTGTAAACATAAAAGAGCCATTGGAAGAACTGAAAAAAAAAATTCAAACTTTGACTGCAACCTTAGCCGAAATTACCAATGGAATAGCAATGGGTTCGAACAAATAGAGTCAATTGACATTCAGGAATTACTTGAATCGCAAGATGAAGATTTCACTGAAAGCGACTTTTAGGAAATGTTAAATTTACCGCCCAATGAAGGTTTAAGAGTGGCAAATGAGCTTAATTTGGAACTGGACGAGAAAGAGCAATGGACTGTATTTTTTGTTAAATTGAAGCTAGAAATAACGCGGCGATTCAAAAAATAATATATTGATGTAACGAGACGAAAAATGACAATCTCTTTTCTTCTTGGCCTACCTTGATGTAGCTCTGGCTGTTGACCGGCACAATTTCGCAATACTTGACGGCACTCGAGATTTTAATTCTGGCACGCGGAAAATGCTCTCACGTTGGTCTCTACCTGAGTCGTACTAGTCCCGATTACAGCGGAGTACGACACCCAAGCGACATACGAGTTTTTCCTGGCCATATACCCAGTGAGATTGTCACCAAAATGCGCGGAGAATATAACCGCAGCAATTAATTAAATGAAAACCAATTTCAATTTGCTCGATACAAAAATTCTCGAATTACAAAAATTAAAGAGGAAAAATAAAACAAAACAATTACAATTGGACGGAACAGGAACAAAGTCTTATTTTTCATAGGCAAATGCGTATCAGTCTGAGTTGAAGGAGCTTTTAAAAAACTGCCAATCAAGAGAACATCACAAAATTCTTCAATCCATTGCCTAAAATGTTCAAAAAACTTCAAATAAATTGATTCTTTTATATATTTGTTTTTTTTTTATACCTAGGAACGTATCCCCTATAATCCCATATAAATTCACGGAATTCAGGGTTTCTGTAATAACGGGATCTTTATGGAACATATACACCGCGAATAAACAGCTTTTACTGTATGTATTTTACTACTTTTAATTTGATGGGAGAGCCCAAACAGCATTTGGAATTTTCTGGGAAGCTGAATTCAGCATTGCCTATTTCCGTGCAAATAATTTTTATTATGATTGTTGTTATGCGATTTGTTTTGCTTATACTTTAAATGTATTATTATTATATGAAAGAACATTTTCCGAGGATTGTGTTTTTCGCTTGCACACGAATTTTCGTTTAGCCCCGCACACAGAAATCTGTGAAACTTTGGTGGTGATGTCGATGCGTCAAAGGTACTCGTTTCTTTCAGCAAGCGCAGTATAGGTCGGGCGTGGTGCCCCATATAATCGAGAACCCGACAGTGTCGGCTGACATATTCTACAATCCTTATCAGATAATCGCGGCCCGGCGATTTTTCCGCAAGCAGAGGCGGGAACGGATGAAGCGGAATAATTTGGTGGCCCGCCCCCCTCGCGACGTCAACAGCGACTCCAACTCGGTGATGTCGGAGCCGAGGCCCGTACGGATCAAGCACAACGACCGGCACGACTTCTTCGGTACAAACTCGAAAGTACGGCCTCAATATGTTGATAGTGTATGCATATGCAGGGTGTGATTTTACTGACATCATATAATCTAATTAGTGAATCTGGAACTGGAAAATGTGATTGATACAAAGCACAAAAACATAGAAAACTAGAAACTGCCTATGACACACCGCCAAATTCTTTGCATATTTTCTATTACTCTTTGTAATAGCAATATCCAAAAACACTTTTTTTTCCTCGAAAAAACAGAAAAACCTGACGTAGTTCAAGACGCACGTGAAATCTATGTCGCTATGATTAAAAATAGAACCATTAGCCCGTCACTATTTCTGCACCACGTTGACATCTCCCTTGATTATCTATATCTATGACCGCTAAATAATAATAATAACAATAAAGGCTTTATTGCAGGGAATTACAATAGGTGAACTTAAGGCAGCTAGCTTAACCTACTTACGACCTACAAAACAACCACTACAATGACCCTATAATTCTATTTAACATTTAATTTAGTTAATTAATAATTAAACAGAAGCAAAGAAAAAGGAAGAGATGGAAAGGGTCGAAATATCAAGCAGGCGGAATGAGCATCAACTCGTAAAAAATGCTTAATAGTTGGTCTAATAGCGTTCTTAAATTTTGCACCAGTTAATTGTCTAATATTATGTGGGACTTTTTTTTTTTGATAATTTAGCTTTAACTAATGAGTTCGAGTTCGAGAGTGACGGATATCCAACTTATGAGTGTCGTAACGGAATTTGATATTCTTAAAAAAAGTTAGCGCTTGTAATGTACAGGGTGGCCCATTTAAGGGGGCCTATACCTACGAGTATACAAAAGTTGTTTACATTTTATTGCATTTTTTCTATAGGCCTTTCAACGACAAATTCAACGATATATATGAGTATGGGTCTGTGTTGCACCGTTTCTAACTTAATAGCGATCATCTTCAGAGTTCGGGTCATGTTTAAACCATCATTGTCGGGTTGCTTATTAACTTTTTAAACTTTTTTCCATCTATTATTTTTACGAAAATCTTGCTTTTCTTTAGACAATGACAAATTTAAAATATTTTCTTGAAATACGCGGTGTTGCCACGCTTCGCAAAAATGATACTTTTCCCAAATTTCTTAAATGAGACACCCTGTAGATTTTTGGTTTTTCGAATAGCCACTTTAATAGCAATTTCAATTATATAACATAGCACGGGTTTCTGACTTACCGTTTTGGCTTAATCGGCAGATAAAAGTAAAAACTGGGTATAAGATTTAAATTATTAAGATATGAGACTGGGAATTAGCTCGTTATCAATTTGTTCACAACCGTTTTAGTGCATTGTTAAGAAGTGGTATTAAAAACAGAATATTAAGCTTTGCACAATTTTGCCAAATTTCTCAAATTCCTTATTTCTACGTTTAAATGTCTACGTGAAATGATTACAGTAAATTAACACTAATTACTAATGCATATTACTTACTAGTAAAATTAATGAAATTAGTTTTTCAATATGTCCGCCGTTTTGAAGAATACAAGGATTCCTAGCTGGCCAGGAGATAGTTCCGTTTTGTCAAATCCACACTTTGATGGTAAGGAGCGCAATCTTGCTGCCAAATTAAATTTGGTAGCTATCTTTGAGGAATATTTTTATTTAAAAGTGGCCGAATTTCGTTCCTTAATAAATTTAAATGTCGTACGGATGTTACATTTTGTTCGTAAAGTATGGGTCCTGAAATTCTAGAACTCCAGATTGCACATCATACTTTTACGGATCTTTGCCCCTGTTTGTGTATATTTTCTAATAAATTTTTCTAAATAAATTAAATTTTGAAATATGTATCTAAAAAATGCCTACGCATCATATTATTGCAAAATTCGAGTCTTAAGTTGCTGTTTTTGTACTGGTGTGAATTTAAATCGTTTATAACTGTTAATTTTTAACCATGTTTGAAGTGTGGTTCGTCTTACGTCTACATCTGAAACGGCAAGAGCGGTGGAGGTCTCTGGAGTATTTTCAAAATGCAGAATAATATCTAGTTGCATATTTTCATCCACTACTTTTTTCACTAAAACACTTCCATTTGTCCGAAACTGCTGGTATATTTTGGCAAATATCTGGTATATTTTGGCAAATATTTTTTTTCTTTGCAATATCTATGAGGTAATTTGGCTCTCTGAGAGCCAGAGCCGGACTTTTGTTATTGGCGATGTAACATTCTAATAGGTCAACTTTTTTCTCTTTCCTATACATTATACAAAATAGACTCAACAAAAATGCAACTTAATAAAATAAATAGAAAATAGTGGAAGTGGAAGAAAATTCGCTTAAAGTATTATAATACACTGATACCCGTCAAAACGTCAGTCCATTACCACAACAGAGATTACTATTGTTTTCAAAGCTACTGCGATGATTATGACAAAAAGGTCAAAATTCATAATATTATCAATTTAGTGTTTGTGTCTTTCAACTGGCAGGGTTCTATTTATTTTTGAAAGACTTATTAAGAATATGAATGTTTTTGAAAGGTTTTTTTCCGTTTAAGGATCTTATTTACAAGATTCTTAACTTATGACGTAAAAGAATTTAGGTATTATTGAAAAATAATTGCTAATTAAGCCAAAACGGTAAGTCAGACCCCCTACTATGTTATATAATTGAAATTGCTATTAAAGAGGCTATTCAAAAATGCAATAATATACAGGGTGCCTCATTTAAGAAAATTGAGAAAAGTGGCAACACTGTGTATTTGAAGAAAATATTTTAAATTTGATTATTGTCGTTCTTTTCGTAAAAATGGATGGAAAAAAGTTTAAAAAGTTAATAAGCAAGCCAACAATGATGGTTTAAACATAACACGAATTCTGAAGATGCTCGCTAAGTAAGTTTGAAACGGTGCATCACAGACGCATACTCATATATAACGTTGAATTTTTATTTGAAAGGACTATTCAAAAATGCAATAAAATGTAGGGTGTTCTATTAAAAAAAAATACTTTGCTTTACCACCCTGTATATAAAAAAGTGACGATTAGGAAAAAAAATTAGGTCATTTTAATAGAAACAACTTTTGTATTAATTTTTTTTGGGTTACGCCCGTTGGTTTCGAGATATGAGTATAAGGACCACCCTGTACGTCTTTCACTAACTTTTTTTTCAATTTGTTGTTTAATAATTTTTTTTGGTATAAATAAGTTTTACATTACAAAAGTTTTTGCGAATACAATTGCTAACATGGCCTTAGTTCGCTATCCATGACCATATAGATTTTTTGTAATGTAAATGAGTTCCAGCAAAGAGCTGTTGAGGTAAACCTTAACATGTTTGGAGTATAACTTGTGATTTCCCTGGATGATATTCGGACACATTAAACTTTTATCAGCACTAATAATGGAGTTTGAATTTATATGATTCGCAATCTTCTTGTTAACATTTAACAAGGAATCCAACAGGGTGTGTTGGTAGACAAAATAGTAAGATCGCATAATCAGTTGACTTATATTATGTCATTTCAATAACACCCTTTATATCTAGTAGTTGCATGGTTTATCATAACACGACGTAATTCGGCGCTGATTTTAAAATCTCGAAATAGGTGAACAACACAAATATCCACGTGGAACAGGTGCGCCGGACGCTGCGCCAAAGGAACCCGAACATCTTCTCGGACAGCGACGACTGCGATTCGAAGGGCCTCCCTCTCGAAAAGCTCGCACTCGACAATTCGGAACGGTGCAGGAAGCGAGGTACGTGATTTCATCATTTGATTCCGTCCAGCCTCCGAAAGTTAATTTTGTCTTTTGTGCAGACCCGTACCGACGCAAATGTCGTAAAAAGCTCGACGGTGCCATCGAGACGCCCATGCAGACGATAATGAGGACCGTCTCGCAACAGTGCACTTTGGAGTACAGTTCGGACAGTGCCGTGTCCGATTCCGTGCTCGATAAGAACGGCGCCGGGTCGCCGGTGTCGCCGAAGGAGGCGGTGCGGCGCGACCCGAACCCTAAAGGGGCGGACGCCACGCCAGAAACGACCTTACACGTATGTGTGAGGCGGGAAAATAGTCATCTGGGCGAGGACGACGACGAGGAGGAACACCAGTACGTGGAGATCGACGAGTTCAGGTCGGAAACGACGAGATTGAGCGGTGCCGAGCTGAAGAGGAAGAAGGGGACGTTTATGCAGCGGTGAGTCTTTGACGACGCGAATGTGGTGGAAATCTCGACCAAAAATCCCGCTCTAATAGGCTGATTTAAGAAATTAATAGGCGAAGTCTCGTTAAAAAGCTTATTTATTCGGAAACGACGTAATAAAGTCAACGGTATGGCATGGTCAATGTATTAAAACAGACTGAAACAAAAATATTCTTCGAGGAAGCGGCGCGATAATAGCTCACATCTGTGTAAACAAAACCTTCAGTGTGCAGCCCATGAGCGTAAATCTGTTAACCCTGTCATCAATATATTTACCCAGGGACGCAGTTACGTTTCACGGGCGAGCAAAAAATTTAGGAGGCTCAAGAAATTTCAAATAATTAGAAAAAAAAAGGTTTATCACCAAATCATCTAGGTCTAGTACGCAGTGAATTATTTGATTTCCGACAAACGCGGATGCAGATGTTTGTTACCTCTGAGTTTATTATCAGCGTAGTTTCGATTTTTTGTGACATAACGTAAGTTCGACGCAAATAGGTACTTTCCAGTTTATTGTTCATTTATCTCCATAAAACTTATGATTGATTGGTATATTTTAGATCTTAGGTGTATTTAACTGATCATAATGCCTTTAGATCCTATTGTTGTGGCTTAAATTATAGCATTGATACAAAATGGTCGAGGAAAACGAGAAACTGCAAGAATGGTTGGTACGTGTCTATGAACTGTACAAAATGTATACCAACCGTACGAGGAGACTGGCTTGAGAGGGCCAGGATCCTGTGAAAGAAGGATCACCAACCAAAAGCATGAGCGATTTGTGGTGTCCGCCATTTTGCGGAATAGCTTCTGTTTGACCTCAAAATCCACTTCAAGAGACTAGAAATATTAATATTGGCTAAAGAATTGTTGGAAGAAGGCTTTATGCTAATGTCGAAGGATCTCTACAGGACCGTCATTGCACCAACAGCATGGAATAGCAAGATTAGCTTTTGCCCGAAATCAACTAAGCAAAGTAAGCAAAATACTGTCTTCCGATGAATGCCGTTTTTGCCTCACCGGGCTAGATGAAGGTCGGAGGGTAAGGAGAAGACCCTTAGAAAGATATGCTCCAGGTTGTGTTAATGAAAAACTTCCATATGGTGGTGGTTCCGTTATGATTTGGACGGGAAGCTATTCAGAAGCACCCACAGAGTTCGTTTTTGTATCGAATGGCTCTCTGACTGTTCACAAGTACATTACGGAAATACCGAATGATCACCATGTTCGAAAATGGCATTTTTCTGCACGATAACGCTAGACTCCATACCAAAATTGTCAGTCAATATCTGGATGATGTTGGAATTAGGCGGTTTGATTGGCCAGCACTCAGTCTAGATATGAATCTCATCGAAAATATGTCAGGCGAGATGGAAAGACGTCGTGAAAGACATACTCGAGCTCCAAGAAGTGCCCAAGAGCTGAGAGAGTGTTAATGCAGGAATGGAACAACATCGACCAGAACGTAATCCGTAATTTAATTCGTCGATTAAGAGCAGTCAAAAACGCAAGAGGAGATGCCCGTTATTAATCTTCAGGTTTTCTGAGTACTATTGATTGTTACTCGTTTCTTTAGTTACAAATATAAATTAATTGGACCTTGTTTATAATGGACAGTTTCTGTTTTCCGACAAAATTATGAAAACCAATATAAGATTTTCCTATTAAATGTTAAATTCAGTTATAGAGAAAAGAAGGTAGAGAAGGATGGATAATTTTCCATCTACGAGATCGACGATTCAGTGATAATTTTTTTTCCAAAAAAAATTGTAATTTCCTGAGTGACCTAATTTCTTTGCCCGCCAGTGAAATTCGAATAACAAAAATAGTTGAAATGAATAACTACACTGTTTCACGTTTTCGTTTATATTTCACTCGATGGTGTCATTTATACTGTCCTTCATGTAGTGAACAAGATGACAAAATTTTATCGAATTTTCGATGGTTTACAGCCTTTATTAAGTTAAATTAAACAAATAATTAAAATAAGATACCTGTTTAACAATGAATGAATTTACATTGATAATTTTGTTAAAAGTAGTTTGTGCATGTAATGAATGTTCTCTGCAGCGGTGCATCCATTTTTACCGTTATAGGGTCACTATATTATCTAATAATAATATAATTAATGAGTTAAACTAATGTTACAAGCATTTCAATCGGCGGCCACCTCCTTTTCCTTCCGCCCTTATTTGATGCCTTACAATTAAAAGTGATGTGCCAAAAAGATTTAGAATTTTATAAGGATGACAGTGGTATTATTCTTTTACTAACTCATAATAAATATGATTTACCCACTCCGTACTGAAGTTAATATCCGCGCATGCTCGCCTAGATTTTGATTTTACTGCAAAACAGTAAATGGGAGTCTTGGTAACCGCGGCTTAAATTGTATCGGTTTTTAAATTTGTTGAATGCGGGCAATAGAGTTGTTTCCTGTTATTAGGTTACGTTCTCCGTCCGAGTTTTCGCGAACCAGCAGCGTCTCGGCGACGGACATCGACGAGATTTATCAGCAAATAAGGCGGGACCCGGTCCAACCCAAGGGCTATAGGCGGGACTACGCGACCGTGCCCGCCCAACGCGCCCATTCCAGCCCGTTCCTACATGACTCCGCCCTCAGGGGCGGGGCCGCTTCGAAAAGAAACCGCGTGGTCTGCGGAGGTGGTTCGTTTGACGTCGAGAGTAAGGTTTAAGTTCTGGTGGGCGCAAGGGTATTTTTTTTTCTTTTTAATAACACTCGAAAGAGATGAAAGACTTTTTTTTGTCGCGAGCGATCCCAAACGTATACAACACACATACAACACACGGCAACACTGGCGTCTGGCTTTAGTTTTATTCCGTTTTCGGGTGCTCCGACTAGTTTTATGAATCTGAAGTATGTTTTTAAGTTAACGAGAATAATTTATTTAAGTTTTTAATGCTCTAGGATAAGGATGTACGTTCCTAATGTTTTAACCAAGTATCTTGTGTGTGACGTTGCATTTTGCGCTCTCTATTGACGGCATTGTGTATTAGATGTAATCAGTTGTTGTTTCATGACAAGTAACGACTGACAAAATTTGCTTGGCGATTGAAAACTTGATCGGAGGTATGCTTCCGGTGTTGTAAGCTTGCGTGCAACGCGTTTCCAAATCTGACGACAATTTCCCGTTTTTCCCGAATTTATGACTGAAACAAGATTTAATCGGAAGCCCGGGCAAAGCGGATATGTTTAAAGAGAAAATAGATTCTGCTATTTATGATCCACTTCGAATGAAAAAATATGTTAAATCCAGACAATTGTCTGAACTGTCTTTTTTCTTCTAACTTAAAAAACAAATGTATTCGCTTTGCCAACTAGCATGGCAAAGTAAATAAAAAATACGTTGTATAAAAAACAACAAAAAGTGTATTGTGGTAATACAAATAAGTTAGAAAACAAACGCTAATTCAAAAGTGCATAATACCCAGTGTAATTAGTGCATTGCTCATCAGTTCATTGTTTACAGCCTCTGCACTAGATCCGTTCTCCAGTTCCAATGGCTCCCTAGAATCCACGCAGTTACAATCTTTTTCTGAACTGTTGTTAGCTAATGGCCTACCATCGTCAATTTTTTTAATTTTGTTCTTATTGGATGTCTGTGTGAATCAGTGCTTGTTTTTTCTCTTTTGAAACTTTTACACTGCATTTTTTAAGCTGCTCCTTTTTTATCGGAGTTGAGGATTTTTGAGATTTTCATTTTCTAGAACCAGTCGATGGTGGTTAGTTATTTTCGGAACGGGTCGTACATGAAGGGGGCTGACATATTGTTGTGACTCACCCAAAGACACTCTTGACATTTTTAGTGTAGTAACAGGCAAAACATATTAAGATTTTTGCTAGTTGATGCAACAGGAATGGAGACTTAACGCGTGCTTTTGACAGTACAGAAGATGACATGATGATTTTTTGTTAATTAATGCAATATGTGATTTTGCTACCGTTCAGAAGTAGTTCTACTTGATGTCTTGGCAAGAGATTGCTCAGGAGCAGGAAAAGATAGAAAAGACGAATTCGAAGAACCTGTATCTTTTTTAACAAAATTTAGGTATAGCTCAGCGAGTGATTTTCATTTCTATTCACTGGAATCTCCTGGAGGTGATCTGTTAATGGAAGCTGGTGCCAGGTCATCTTCGTTAGGACGTTAGGATTAAAGAATAGATGCCCGTATTGCCGAACCCACTAACTGCATTTTGGTCAGTGGAATCTTTGAAATGCGCCTGTGTAAAAATGTCATATTGATTGATTATTCAATCAAAATGATTTTTTGAAATGTATTTAGTTCATGCTCAAAATACTTCTATATGAGACAGTAGACAGATACGTCCAGGAGGATAAACAATAATAAGGTTATGTTATTGCAAGTGACTAATTCCAAAGCTGGATAAAACTTATGGGGCTCAGGGTTCTCCAGATGTAGCAAGCACTTTCTTTCTTCTCTTGGTGTAACAATCTCCACAAAATATTTAAGCCAAAGCAAGAATGTTGGACCATTCACCCAATCATTATCGGGTGCAGGATCCTTGAGAAACTGTTCTACTTGAGGTGAGGCAATTGAGGTTGGTTCTGGGGCATACAGTGTAACATCTCCACCAGCTTTTCCATTTTTAAACGGATTGTTAATTTGATTATCTTCCGCGAAATCATACGTCAATTTTAAAAAATCGGATTTCGCTAAAACGAAGAAAAGTAATATGCATAATGTGTTTATTAAATTCAATCTCTTGTGTACTGGTGAAAACTGTCATAAACCTGCCCAATTTTCCTTTTTTGCCTATTGAACGTAACCTATGAAATACCATACTCCTTTGAATCTGTCACAATAGTTCACCAATTTTTGTTAACGCAATCGCCATGGTCTCCTCGTTCCAGCTTGCCTACTAACATACTTATAAACCATCTGAAACCAAGAAAAAGAATTACACAAGGTTTATTAAAGGCTAATTAAATTATAGCTCTTATTAAAAAATGCATATCGAGCAAAGCAAATACTCACCAGGTGAAACGAAGAATCTTCACCTTTAAACAAATGGATTTAAGGGTCGTGACGCCGCATAAACATTATTACATATATCTGACGCCTTATTACGTTACAAATATCAAGAAACTTACTTTGAAACAAATATTTTAACAGAACAAATTTTTAAAACGAGTAAAACGAATAATAATGCCGCGTTTATTTTTCGCTTGGTTCGCTTTGCCCCGGGCTTCCTCTAGACTCAGCTGCCATTATAATATACAGGGTCTCAGTTATTAAATTTCGCTTGTTATGGCGTTAGGGTCTCGTAATTGAAAAGCAACCCGCAGAGTTCAGAGTTCATAACCTCAAATATGTAACGATCTGCCGCCCGTTGTCGTCATTTTTTCGTAACGCCGCGTACCAGATGCGCACGTGTTCGTGAAATGCTCAATAATTGTTCTTAAAGCGTGGAATTTAAATTTGATCTGCATTCACCCAAAGTACGTTTGACATTACGCACGTGTCAAATTTTCCGGCGTCTTCCTCGACGCGCCACGAAAATCTGTGATACGACTATGATATTGAACAAAATATATCCTTAGGCAGTTATCAATTTACTGCAGTACAACTTACCGAGATACTGGACGACATTTTTGATAAGTATTTTTGTCGGAGCTTGGCCTTAGGTGTAAATAAGTTTGTAGGTGTGCGAGCCACGGTATATGGACGTAAAGACTGTTTTCAAATGAAGTATTTATTATATTTAAATGCCAAATGAATTTATGTATAAATATTTACGTAATAAAAAATATGAATGGATCAAATGTTTTTTTAATAAAACTCGCGGCTCTCACGATGAAGCAGTTTATTGCGGTCCTGCATAACCTATAAATCGACGCGCTCGCGCCTCCGGAGCGCTACAGCTCGATGCTGTTGACTGTATTGCTGATGATATCGCTCGATTCTTGCAACTGATTCTCGTCGATCACCAAGGGCGGCGCGAACCGGATAATATCCTCGTGCGTGTGTTTCGCTATCAGGCCAGCGTCCTTCATCTTCAGACACACGTCCCAAGCATCCGCGTAGTCTGAAAATCGACACACGGTCGCTTACATTGCGGAACATCCATGTTCTGATTTAACAGTTTGGGCATAATAAAATGGAAACACATTGACTGTGGAATAGTGAATAAATAAAAAAATAAAAAACTGAAATTCAAGTCACAACTTCAACTCTAGAAAATTTAACGAGACGATAAAAAATGGTCAAATTTCTAGCTTGTGGACATTTAAAGCAATAGTATTCCATTTTCCAATATGTAAAGGTAAGAAAAAGCATATAAATGCGAAATACTCTAAATAATCTAAAAAGCTATTTCAGGTGAAAATAAGACTTTTTCCCATAAACTTGATTTCGAAATACAGGGTGTCAAAGTTGATATAAAAAAATCGTTTTTTTATTATTTATTCGGAAATCTTTATTCTAATTTTGATTAAACTTGGCATGTTAATTTGCGGTAATAAAAGACTTCTTGTGCGCCACTGCTTTTTTTGTATGTTTAAGATTAGGCAATTAAAAATCTATTCTTTTGCCACTTAAGGTTTTTTTCGTAACCAGTTTTGTTTCTGAAAAGAAAAATAAAAACAATTTCCCTGTATCTTTCTGTACATAAAAATGCGAGCAATAATGTTTTTTTATCTTTATATCATGATATTTGGATGGCCTTATGGGACAACTTACTTATCGCAACATATTTTCTGCCTCCGGGACTAAATGGTTCAGCATTCGATAATTTTTTTGGGAAATGATTTTCAAGCAGTTTCAGATGAGATAAAGTAAACATATTACACTTTACTAGTTCAAAGATGGCTGCACGACAATTTTCTGAAAAGATGAATAGATGGTCGGCCTGCGGGCTCTCCTCATCTAAACCCTTTGGATTGTTTCGTATGGGCTACGATGAAAACGAAAGTTTATGAAGAGTCGATCAATGATGGAGGTACTCTACACCAGCGAAGTGTCGTGCAGCTATACAATCTGTCGTCCGTAGGTGCCAACTTTGTTTGATGTCATTTATTAACGCAAATTAGTATGCGAAGTTTAATCAAAATCAGAAAAAAGATTTTTAAATAATGAATGAAAAACCGATTTTTTTATAAAATCTTTGACACTTGTGTCTAGAACACAAATCAAGTAGGACACATGTTTATGAGAAAAGGCTTTTTACCTGTAAAACCGTGTATAACTTAAACATTAATACGACGAAAAACAATAAACATTTAACCTTTTTTTAGAAAAACCAACAAAAACATTAACTCAGTGTAACTCTTCGATAATTAAATATAATTAATTATGCTGATCTCATCGGACAAGTACACATCTAAAACACAACACACACAAACACACACACACACACACAACACAACTTGCAAGTTATTCAATAAAATTTATATATTTTATTTATATTTCATAAAATAAAATCATTTTAATGATTAGATTTATATATACAACACTTTTTAAGTTAAAAATTTATAATGAGTCATTGACGGAGCTAGATACAAAATTTTGCCAATAAATGTTTTTAACAAAGAACTCAAATTTTTGTTTTCTAAGAATCGGTTTTTAAGTGAAACCTGCCATTTGTTTTTGAAACTACTATATTCAGTTTTCCATTTTCCAAAACAAAAATATTTAGCCCCATGTCCAACATTTAACATTGACTCCATTGTTCCATCATGCGAAGTAATATGGGGTGTTATTTCTCCGCAAACTTTCGGGACATTTAGAATCATCTCTCTGAATCAACCAAATCTACCGAAACCCACTCACTTCTGTTGATGACGATAGCGTTGAGCAGACCCTTTCCTCGCACCTCGATGACTACCTTCTTGTTGAGGCGATCGCGAAGGTTCCGCCGAAAGATGTCGCCCATCTTCTTCGCGTTTTCCGCCACCTTTTCCTCCTCCAGCACCTCCAAAGCCGCGATCGCCACTTGCGATCCTAGAGGATTTCCACCGAACGTGGATCCGTGGGTACCGGGTTCGATGACCAGCATGACGTCGTCGTTGGCTAAGCACGCCGACACCGGATACACGCCGCCTCCCAGTGCCTTGCCCAACACCAAAATGTCGGGCTTCACGTCTTCGTAGTCGACTGCCAAACGTTTCCCGGTCCTGCCGAGGCCGGTTTGGATCTCGTCTGCGATCCAGAGCACGTTGTGTTTGTCGCACAGTCGGCGCACACCCTTCAAGTAGCCGTCGGCGGGAATCTTGATTCCGGCTTCGCCTTGAATGGGCTCCACCATGAAGGCGCACACCAATGGGTCGGAGAGAGCGGTCTGCGCGGAAAGAAACGTTCGACCTAGTGCGCAGCCGAACCTGTCACGCACTTACCTCGAGCGCCTGGAGGTCGTTGAATGGGACGCAGCTGAAGCCCGGCATGAACGGTCCGTAACCTTCGAAGCTCTGGGGATCGGTGGAGGCGGACACGGCCGCCAGCGATCGACCCCAGAAGTTGTCACTGCAGAAGATTATCTTCGCCTGGTTGTTGGGAATGTTCTTTTTACGGTAACCCCATTTTCGCGCCAGCTTGCACGCCGTGTCGTCCGCCTCGACGCCTTTTTTATAAATATGTTTTCTTATTGGTTTCAATTTGATTTAGGTTTTAGTATATAATTTTTATAAAAAATGAGGAAAGTTTACAAGAAAATATTGTTAAAATATTTTAATTTCAGATTTTGCTTTATATAAACTAATTTTAATAAGTTAGTCCGTTTGTGTTAATAGCATGCAGAGCTATGTCAAGAGAGCAAAAAATATGCACATTCGACTGAGCATAAATTAATCTTTATTAAATGAAAGAAATGAAATATGAAAGTCAAAATAAATTTTTTAAAATTATATCATCATATTATACAGGCCCAAAATTGCTAAAACTATCAAATATGTTTTTTTTTTTATGGAATCCCCTTTATGATATATCTTTAAGTCTACTGTCAAAATAAATATGAGTGAAACCATAATATTGACACTATTTATAAAACTTGCGGATTCCTCCTGCTTCGGTTGTTGTTGAATCGAACTTGCTGACTCGAAATCCGCTCTATACCCGCTTATATATGTTTGAGGAGGGCGGAGTTAAGAATTTTAGTTTTATTGAATAAAATTTTATGTCCGGTTTCATGATTGTGTTCAGCAACTGCCGATGAGTTTATTTGTCTTAATATTGATTTCTTCTTCTTAATTGGTTTTACAAATTTTGGAAACGTGAAAAAGTTGATTATACGGGCTTTGGCGGCAACTAATTTGGCATTGATGACATTCTCCTGGGATAAAAATCATATCTTGGAAAAATTTTGATTTGTACAAATTTCAGCAATTACAAAAAAGTAAAACAAAATGAGACAAAAGTGACAACCTAAATAAATTATCTGACATTTCTGAATAGCATAGCGAATAAAATTTTTATTTTGTGCACACCTCGGAAAACATCAAACACTAATACACCTCCTAATACGATTCGATGGGTTATTAAAAAGTACATTCCCTGGTAAATTCGAAAATTGAAATTAATGAAGTTATTGGCAATTAAAGTTCCTATTAAAATGAAATAAATTTTTGGACGCCCTGTAAGTTTATGCGAATTTTAACCAGGTTCAATTTATTTATAAATACTATCTCATCTGCACGAATTTTGACTATAATATACAAGCGGTTCCATAAAAAAAAACGCCGATGCCTTTAGCAATCTGTGTGGTAAGGAAGTAGAGTGTGCCCTATTTTTGATAATTTTACGGTTCATTTACGTTATTAATAAGGCTAGCGAATTGCGACTTTCGTGATCAACAGAAACGTCACAGCTCTCTTGGATTTTTATATATAGTGTGATATTGGACATTTTGCATTTCTAAACATTCTTTGCAGTTCGGATATGTGTGTGATCTTATCGAAAAGGTGAAAACGTAAAAAAAAAATACGTAACATCCAGTAGTGTTGTCAGTTTTCTTCTAAGACTCCCAAACTTTGATATATTAACTGTATTTTAATGGAACACCATTTTTGAATTTGTTACGAGCTTTTCAAAAATATATAACACGTCAGAGTCATTTCAAATACAACTTTGTTATGAGCGTTCCATGGAAAATACAGTTTTTTTACAGAAATAACTTAGCTGGATTAATAAGGGAGATACAAAGTACAACCATTTGAAACTTCTCAAACGAAGAAAGATGAATGGCTGTCGCCGTATGCTGCTCACCAGTATTCATCGGTAAGACCTTGTCGTAGCCGAACAGTTTGGTCACTTTTTCCGCGTACTCCCCCAGCACATCGTTGAAAAAGGCCCGCGATGTGTGATGTAGTATGCCGCTTTGCCGTCGTAACGTTTCTACTATTTTCGGATGGCAGTGGCCAAAGTTATTGGCCGAATAGCCGCTGAGGTAATCGAAGTAGCGTTTACCTTCCGCGTCCCACACGAAAACTCCTGAAATTATTCGTCTAAACAATCTAGATCGACATTCAAGCTATATGGAGACGTGTACTCCGCTATATACGTCAATTTTATGCTGTGGTATATGTTTTTAGAGTGCTGCAACCGGTATAAATTACCCAAAAACTTGTTTTAACAAGATTGCTTTTGAAAAATCGTCGCTGGGCGGGGTTTTTGTCCTTGAGGGACGCAATGTTTTTCTATCGTGCTCCTGCGGACCACTATGGAACTTTCGCAAAATCGATGTAATTTAATTGTGTATACACCCTGTATAAAGTGTCTTTCACATCTCGTCGAACTTCAATGTTACGGCAAACTTTGGTAAATATTAAAATTTGTACTGGTAATGGCGATTTAAAATAATATTTTTTGAAATACTCGCACACCCGGTATTATAGACGAAAACTCTCTTCGACACAGTTTACGATACTGTTCAAATCAAATTATCCCATCTCTAACGGTTATTCATGTATCGCCAATAATTTATTCTCAAAAACTTAAATTTTTAGGATATTTGACATTTCTTCAAACAATGTTCGAAATGGAGGTTATAGCATTGGATCTCCCACGTTTTATAGTCCAAGAATTTTTCCAATAGAGCACATGGTTTTCGAAAAAATAGTATCTTCCTGAAACTATGCAGTCCGCCGCAATAGTTAATGACGTTATTGCGTCTAAATTGGACGCGAAAAACAGCGATTTTCATATGTATTTTTTTCAAATATCTCGAGCGGCGTGTGTGATAGACGGTAAATAATTAATTCCCGAAAAGTAAAATTTTCACTGTATTTTAAATTTTTGTGCACAATTGAAAAAACCCTGTATATAATCGAAAAAATGCCTAAAATAAAAGTCATAGCCCCGGATCTCCCTCGTTTTTTGGTTCTAACATTTTGCAGATCGGTTGAATAGTTCTTTGAGAAAATCATGTTTTTCTGGAAGACAAAATAATCAAAGAAAAAATTTCTTTTTAAAATAATTGATAATATTTCATTTAAATTAATTTAAAGAATATAAATGTGGGTCCGAACTTCTACCTCTCTGCCAAATCTAAAGTCGCTAACTACAAATTAGCCTTTACTCACAGAAATGTGCTTGTGACCTTTTAAGAACGATACTGGTACTAAATAAAATTCTTGTTTTTTATTCTTCTGCTCATAAGAATAAGAATAATTGAATTTTAAATGAATTTGTTCAATATTTTTTCCGTTCACTGTACCTTTAACTTTTTAATTTAACAAAAGTTGAATTTATTGTATATATTTAATGTCCTTGTTTTTGAGAGTATGCCCCTAATGTTATGTCCTTTATACCTTCCGCACCCGAGTTTTATTGCCGTCGGCAGGTAACTTCCATAATTGGGGGAAAAGCCAGCACGATGAAGATAGACTATATATACCGTTCGCCGCAAACGTCTAAGAACAATGAACAACGAAACACTCCGTAGAAGTAGAACATATTACATTACTTTGATCACCAAAATAATTTAAGTAAAAAGGAAATTCAGTTGAAATACAATTTTATTCTCTAGTTGGTTATTTATGTTGTTTTGGCTCTATTTTCGACTTAGTTGCGACGAATATTACAATTATTGCACTAATTATTATTTGGACACAGTTCTATTCACAAAAATAAAACTGGCTAGGTTTATATTTATCTCTATTATTACAATTCGTCATTATAATACAACACCGCGTCGGAAGCGGAAGACTGTATCCCAGAATCTCCGCTCCGAGATCCGGACTATTTTGCGCTGCGGGGACGACAAAATAATCCAACGTCGGCGCCGACCGTAATTTCCCGGCCGTTCTAATGTCGTCCAAAATGTTATATTGGGGCGAGAAAAAGACGTCTTCCTCTCGGGCATCGAACTCCACCGAGTGCAGCGCCTTTAGGTCGTTCGCAATCCTTTCATATTTCTGCATCCTCCCTCTCTAAGTGACAGGCGGGTGTTGGATTTCAACTCCGAAGACCTGGTCCCGACTCTATTCTTCATCTCCTCGACTCGACGAATTTGCGCCCGGAGGTCTTCCTGAGCAGCCATATTTCTGAACGCAACTCCCTGAGCAGTTGATGTTCCCGTTTCGCCAGTTCTTGTCTGCACATTATCAAAATAGTCCCCCACGTCTTTGGCGACCGTCGTTGCCCGGCGACAAACTCGCGCTTTCATCCCTCGAACGTTCATCTTGGCCGATTCTAACCTGGCAGTCGCTCTTTCGCACTCGAAGAACAAAGAACACGCGAGATAGTTGGCCGATGAGGTCTGGAGAGTTTCCTGCTTGGTGGTTTCGCATGGTTTCTGCGGGATCGATCCAATTAGAACATTTTCCTACTCACAATTAGCATTTTTGTAATTAGCATTTGGGCTACTTGTTACTGCGCCCTGGTATCAGAAAGTAAGTTTGAAGGCAGTTGAAGAAGTTTCATTTTGAATGTCGGGCAACTATTAAGGCGTTTTTTTGTAGATGAAGATATCTACTAATAATCTAAAACCAGTCATTTTCGACGGTTTAAGTTCATTTTGTAGATATTATTTTTGTGGATGAAGCTACAATTTTCTCGAGAAAAAAATATTCATCCAAAAGACATTTTCAGGCAGTTCGTTAGTTCACATTCAACAAGCCTCATACCCTAACAAAAGAAGCTTATCGGGTCGTATGAGAAGTTTTAAATAATATTCAACATTCAAATTTTTAATTACTTCTTTTTGCATAAGTATCACTTCCAGTAATCATTTCTTTTATCTTATAGGACGTTGAAAAATTTACCCTAACTTTGAAAAATGATTTAATTTAAAATCGATAAAATCGATCTTTATTGATATTAGTAGAATTTAAAAAACTAAAAAAATAATAAATAAAATGAAAATTTTCAGGAGTTCTTTTGCTGATAAGTGAAGCTTGTTCAAACAGGCATTTTAGATGGTTTAAGATCATTTTGTAGATATTTTCCACTTTTACATGAAACCAGAAAGGCTATAACTTTTATTAATTATTAATAAACAAATAGTTGCCTACTTGCCATCATTTCCATAATCCTAAACCTAGTATCAGGTCTGATACCGAGAGGATCATGAAAATGTTTTCTATTTATTATTTCGCCCTCAAAAGGTTCATTAGAAGTTCGCTGGTTTAAAAATATATGGTAAAGTCTGTTCATAAATATAAGAAAGTGGCTAACTGATACGAATTAAGGAAAGACCCTAACAAACTGTTATTTATGTATGTATTTATGTTTAAATCTAAAGTAAAATTACAAATTATTTTGATTACCTACTTAAATTATTTAAAATTATTCACATAATATATCAGTATCACTATCGTTATCATCGCCTGTTCTAATTATTATTTGTTCTATATTATTTGCAATATGGATATACGATTGTTCTGTTTTTTCTATATGTTTAACAACATTTGTCCAACTTTGTGTAGGGATGTTAAAAACTTCGGTTTCTATAAGTTTGAGGACAATGGAGTTAACACGGGGAAAAACATTGTTACGACGAATGGCAGATTTCAGTTGGTGCCAAACATGTTCAATGGGATTAAATATACAGTGATAAGTTGGAAGCCTTAAAACTGTATGCCCTAGATTTTTTGCACAGACGTATTCCTTTTGTAGGTTCAAGCTTTGTAGAACCTCAATTAATTGCTTTTTGGTATATCTTAGTGAAAATAAATGTCGTTATTATACCTGTAGTTTTGGATTGTTGCATGAGGAAGGGGTTTTAGTCAACTGTCTATTGTGATAATTGTCCATTACAATTATGCTACAATATTGTAACTAGTTTGTTTTTAAGCCAACTTTCAAATAAATGTGTCTTCATGGTAATCCAGAGAAGAATCTTTAATATTTTCCGCAAACAGAAAAAGTCCATTTGGAATCGAACCATCTTTAGAGCTAGCACGCAAAATAGTTCTTTTAACTCTTTTTGATGGCGTGTTTGTGTTTGTTACACTTATCAGTTGAGTCAACCCAACCCTTTTCTGCCACATTTAACACCGGTTTCATCTTTTTCAAGCCTCCTAATTAAGATATCTAATGTAGGCACGCTTTGTTCCTCGTATAACTGGTAAATTTTACGCTGTATTATATCTTGATCACTTTCATCTACACTCGAGAAAATGTCAGCATCGCTTCTTTTTTTCATCGCTGAAATGGGATTATTCACAATTTTTAATACAGATGAAGTTGGAATTTTCGTCAATGTGGCCGTTTCTTCTAAAGATGCTTGCATGCTGGCATCACGTTCAATGAGAGTCAAATAAACATTGTTTATAACTTCCTTGGTCTCAATAGAATAGTGTTTTCTACATTTGGGCGGGAGCATCTCCTGAGATACACTAGACTCGCGCATATTTTGCATAATTCGCACACGATTCAACATGGTGTCGTTTAAAAGGTATAATACTTGTTTATTGTTTGTCATAGACTGGTAGGTAAAAACTAAACCTGTATAGTAGTATGTAAAATAGTAATAGTAATAGCACTTCCATTTTAATCGTTTAGTTTATGTGTATGAGAGGCAAAGTCTTATTTGTGTATTTTGAGTTTGAGTTCGCAATAATGCAAGTAAAAATGTCCTCTCATAGTGATGAGTGTAAAAATGACGGTGATAGTACGAAAAAGAAGAACAAAACCGAAAGGATGGTTGAATTTATATAAAAATTAAGACTACAGTCTCACGAAGAAGAGCCGCGACGAAACTGTAAAAGACTAAAATATTTTGGAAATATAACCAGTGCAGAAAGAAATCAAGTTTTATCATATTTTAATCGTTTGGGTTCAAACGACGAGCAAAATGCCTAAGCACAATTCCACGATGCTTATTTTGCTTATAAAATAAGACTTAAACGTGTGTTTTAAAGCAATCCAGTCAATTCACGGTTAAGTAACGGCAAAATGGAATACCTACAGAACAACTTAAAAGCTACAGGAACGTGTGGAAAAGACAAGCGAGGAATGTATGGTTCCACGCATAGGAAATTATGTCC